CCCCATCCCCTTCCTTCTTCCCTCCTCTTTTTGCTATATTTATATATCTTCACCTCTTCACCTCTTCTTCTCTTCATTCTCTCCTCCTCTCCCCTCCTCCCCTTCACTCACTCACTCACTCACTCCGTCACTCACTCACTCAGTCAGTCCGTCACTCAATCACTCATTTTCGGGTACATTCGCTGTTTTCAATATATATATATTCTCATTCTGTTATCCTATCCTATATCCCATATCCCATATCCCATATCCCATATCCCATATCCCATACCCTATCCTATCCTACCCCATCCCATCCTATCCTACCCCATCCTACCCCATCCTACCCCATCCCATCCCATCCTATCCCATCCTATCCCATTACACAACACAACACAACATACATACCAACCCTCTGCTATCTTGTCCGAATACCCACTCACCCACCAACCTACCCACCAACCTACCTACCCACCTACCTACCTACCCACTAACCCACCCACTTACCCACCATCCCACCCACTTACCTACCTGCTAGACAAATACACAAACACAAACACACACACAAAAAGACAGAAACAGAAAGATAAAGACAGAAAGATAGAGCGGTACAAGGAGAAAGTACAATCAATCACAAGGAAAGAGTCCTGCTATGGAAGAAGGTCAGCGGAGTAGACTGGTTGATTGATTGATTGATTGATTGAACTGGGTGCATTGAACTAGATGAATAAAAGAATGCTGGTTGTGATTAAGGAGAGAAACGTTCCAGCTCACTTCTCTCGCGTTCTCTCTTTCTTGGTGGTAAGTTGGGGGACGAGGTATATTAAAGGGAGGATTGGTAGAGCCTGGACCGTGGTAATCTGGGATCAAGCAATTGTCCAATACTTCAAGTTCCAAGTTCCCTAATGTGATCTTCACTTCACAATACGAAAAACTCCAAGAACGAAACGAAACGAGGTAATTCCTTGGGTTTGATAGGTGGTGCTTTTCATTTTTCACAAGGAGCTTCTGAAGCCATAACAGAAGCCACCATCTCGCAAGTATAGAGTCAGTCCTCTACACACACAGCGAATAGGAAGCCTGGCTTCACCCCCGTCCCATCCCATGCCATGCAATGCCATCATCCCATCCATAGCATGCCCGCATCAGAAAGAACCCAGAAGGGCAACACGCCATCATCTCGGGCATCTCGTCTCGTCAACCACACTTCGAGAGAAAAATTATGCGACCAACTCGACAACGCCACCAGCCTCAGTAATCTTGCGCTCGGCCTCCTTGCTGAACCATCTCGCGCGCACTACTAGCGGGACCTCCGGCAGGCGGCCCTTGCCCAGCACCTTGCTGTAGCCGAGCGGGAGCAGGTCGAGGACGGGGATTGTGTCTTTCTTGCCGGCGGAGGACAGGTACTCGTCACGCTTCTCGGCGGGGATCAGGGACCAGAGCTGTTGGGGTCTGTTAGCCGGTTTCGTGCCACTGGCTCCGTGTAGACGATCTGGCGGAGAGCAGAGGCTGACTGGGCTTGCTTTGGTGCGCGAGTGTTGGTGGTGTTAAGCTCTTGTCCTTGAGCTGGCTGTTCCGAGCCTCCATCTCGAGCTCTTGCAGAGCAGACATACTCTCTCATTACCGCAGAAGCGCATAAAAAGGGGATGCCGCAAAGTATCGACGAGAGCACCTCGGAATCCCCACTTCCCCACACCCAACAGAAGAGAGAGGAGCTCGACAGAGCAAGGAAGAAACCCCAAGGAGAAAAAGCGAACATACCTTGTCCAAGTTGACAACGGGCTTCCAGAAGTGGTTGCCTTGCTTGTGGAAGTAACGCATACCGACCTTTCCAAAGTATCCCGGGTGGTACTTGTCCATGTTGGTGCGGTGGTGGTGCTGTCCTCCGGCGAGACCGCGTCCACCAGGATGCTTGCGGTGCTTTCCTACACGACCGTGTCCGGCGGAGACGTGGCCGCGGCTGTCGAGAAACCAAAAAGCGTCAGCGCCAAATTCTTCTCCAGGGACAAATATACACAGTATGCTCGGCTCCGTGCCGTTCCCCGGCAAGATCTCCGTCGCGCCCCTGGCGGGTTGGCTGGCTGGCGTGTAGGGTGAGGAGAGCTGGCAGACAGTCTCTCCAGGAATCCTTCCACACCGGGCACAGAGCACAGCGCGCAGAGGCAAGCTCCCCTCTTCTCTCATCCCCTCAAGAATTCATCGGCCTTCCCCCTTCGCCTTCGCCCTTCCAGCGCGCTCACCCCCCCACCCCACCCGCCTGGCAGAAACACACAAGAGAAAAGCATAGCACAGGGGAGTGGAAGTAGGAACGTACTGCTTGCGGGTCTTGCTCAAGTGAGTAGGCATCTTGTCTCGACGTTCGTTCGTTGGGCGATCGATGTCGATGTGATGGGTTGGTGTTGTCGTAGCTCTCGTCCCCGTTTTCCGAAATTGAAAATAGCTCCAGTTCAGCTGCGCTTTCTTTTTCGCGCTAGGGTGGGCGATTAAGCGAGGGATCCACTCCCACAAATGCTCTTGGGAGGGCTACCGAGTCTGAAGCCCTACTTTTTTTTTTACTCATCTTTACTTTCGGTCGAATATGGTGCTGATTGCATGATTAAGTAAAGCTACCTCTTTGTTCATTTCTTTCCTTCCACTTTCTGATTTTCAAGATTGTTGTTTACTGGGCTGGGAAGTGAGGGTCACATGTTGAACGGATTTTGTATCACGTGATGGGCAGTCATGAATCGACCAGATTCTACGGAGTACGCTCAGCTCACCAGCCCTCCCTCCTCACCAGTCAATGGATCCGCTCTGAAGATTGGATTTGAATTGATGCTGTCTCCGCTATCCACTGCCCGGTCAAACTCCTCCTGATGGAGAAACCAAGAGCTAGCTGTATCTATCCATTCAACGCTGCCATGAATCCCCATAATGAGAAAGAGAAGGAAGTTTTACGCCAGTTGATTCCAACCCGCTCCCCCCCCTCCATCCAGATCCTTCGCGAAAAAAAAAAAAAATAGATCTAATTTACAAACCAACCAAACCCAACAACAGTACATGCGCCCAGCCTTCGTGAGCAACAGAGACCATTTTGTACCTTTTGATGGCCCCGATGCGCTGGAGAGACGAACATGCGATGCAGAGTGAATGATTCCGGGCATATTCTCTAGCTATGCAGAATGATGATGCCTTGAGCGCAAAACTTTGTGCCGCCGTAGTGCTTTTGACAGACCAGGGAGTGGGTGAACGCCGAATGTGATTTTGCCGATGTTTCCCTAGTTGTGAGAATCTTTATTTTGTGCAAGCAAGGCTTTCGTGAGGACCAAAACGCCAGAAATGGAGACGGAGGACAGATGATAGAGCCGTGCTATATTAATGGGCCCCAAACACGCCCTCAACTCCACCATTTGAACTACCTGACGCGCCATTGGGACCAATAGGACCTAATTGAGGACTCTTGCCATGGGCAATATTCCAACCACCGCTATTTCGCTTCTCACGCTTTCTCTCATCGACGTCGTCTTCCAGGTTGAACATGAAATCGCCTTGCTCCTCGTCGATTGGAGTTGTAAATCTGTTACTCATGCTACTTGAGCTGACTTGTCGCTCGGCTACTGCTCGGGCGCCACTGATAGGGTTGCTGGGGACGCGGTTCGGGAATTCGCTGCTGCCGTTCGACTCGGCTCGTGAGAGGCGGGTCCGTTGCAGTTGCTGGGAGATGATGGACATGGAGGATTGGCGGGGTGGTGAGGCAAGGTAGGGGGAGGAGTCGCCTGAGACGGTGGGTCGGGCGATAGGTCTCGAGCTGGGACTGGCACCTGGATGAAGCGATGAGTTGCGGAGAGGAGAGCCAACATGGCCGAATACTGAAGGTCGAGCTCGGTCTTCGTCTTCCTTCTGATGGCGGGAGAAGAGAGAGCCCCAGCGGGAAGGACTAGCCCCAGAAGGCGAACCGAACTTGACTTCGTTGTTCGGCGTGGCGGTTCCGCAGTTAATAATCGGTCTACCCTCCTCGGCAGCCGTTCTTGATCCTCGTCGAGCCTTCTCCTGTGGGGTCATGAGATCATTCAGAGCTTCTGGCAGGTAATCCTCCTCGAATTGGAAACTGGGGTCCCAGTCGTAGTCAGGCTTCGGCAAACTCGAAGACATGACCTTGGGCTTAGCATATCGCTGAGAGTGCATCGGCTTCTTTCCAAAGTATTCCTCGACTGGGTAGGTAGGTGGTGAAGAAGGAGTACCATTGAATCGATCCCTCGTATCATCACCGAACGCCGAACTATGGAGACTCTTCAAGGCTTCCGACGTTCTTCCATCTTTTGCTGCTCCAAGAGAGCTGGGTGGGGACTCGAGACCGAACTTGGCTGGGACAGAGGAAGCAATAGGGCCATTTCTCGCAATCCACGAAACGCCATTGCTATCGAACGAAGCCGGCAGTTGGGCGTCCAAAACACTCAGACCCTTGCCAGCCACCGGAGAGAGACCAAGACCATATCTGCTGTGGTCGTCATCGCGAGGGGAGCCGTAGTTGGAGATGGGACGAGGGGCATAGCTGGTATCGATCGTAGGTACGTTGATATCTATGCTCTGCTGGCGGCCGACCAGAGGAAATCCGTTTTCCTGGTTCGGGTACGCGACTGGATATGGTTGGCTGTAGGGCGAAGGGGCAGCATTGCGGATAAAGTTCGATAGCGTCGAGGTTGAGGGTTGGTTGTGATATCCGTCTGTATTCAATCGGTTTCCGATGTTCAGGTGTCCACCTCCCATCGATCCTCCATGCTTGTAGTTCACTCGGCGGCCATCGGGCAGGACGTGAACATTTGCGCACTTGGGACCGAATTTACAGTTACCCTGCGACAATCAGCTTTCGGCGTGAAAAGTTCCGGCGCGAGATCCCGATCCTTACCTTTGCAAAGTATTTGCAGATGTTGTCGTTCTGGCTCGCCAGGTCGTGGCTGAACGGGCAAGCCGCACCGGCCTGGCATGTGCCCTGGCGGAAGAACTTGCATGGTACATGTGAAGTATCTACCAGCTGTTAATACCCTTCTCCTGGCGCCATATTTTGTATTGGCCTTCCACACGATTCCACGACTCACTTTGTCTGCTCGGGGGGCTTCGGGGACCCTCGAATCGACCCATACCTCCGACTGGGGGTGGCGGACCGCCGGAGCCTTTGATGGTGCTTGGTGGGGGGATGTTCAGAGATCCTGAGCTCGAATGTCTGTACTCAGTGGGCATTCTCGGCGTGCGTTGACTTAACATGTCCTGTGTGATAAGGATAAAATCAAATGCTCGAATTAATTGTGCGGCGAAGAGGAAGGGGGGAGAGTGAAGGAGAGTGAAGCTCTTGAAATCGCGACCCCGCCTCGAAGTGGGGGGGGTTCGTCGCGTGGGTAGTGATGGGAGGTGAGAGATTGGTGAAGAATAATTGGAGGTTCTAAAGTCGGGAAGATATCCGTCTTGAACGCAGACTGAACCTAGACCGCCTAGTCTCGTCTGGGGAGGCTTTTGCGGGGGTCAGGTAAGATGTAGTAGTATTAGGAATTGAAGATGCAGCAGCAGCGGCGGCGGCAGCACGCAGCTATGTTCGACGCTCAGACTCTGGATTTTCACCGCCGGGTGGAGTCAAGTCGAGTCGAGTCGAGTCGAAGTGAGTCGAGTGAGTCGAGCCCGGTCGAGTCCAGCCCGGTCGAGTCCTTCGCTCCAGTCTAGATCCCTGTTCTATCGACGGCAACGCTAATAATGACGAGCTTTTGCCGTTTGAGGCCTGCGCGCTGAACAGCGAACGGCGAACGGCGAGCAGAGCGAACAGCGAACAGCGGCGTGTCGACAAAGTCGGTCGATATAAAATTCCAGAATGAACTCGGGGTACTTGGAAGTGGCAGAGTGATGTTGACGTAGTAGGAATAGTGTGGCAACCACAACCCAACAGCTTTTGATAAGAAGACAGAGAGGCTGAGCAAACAGGGACAGCCAAGTAGGTACTGCTACGGTAAGTACATAAGTCGACAGGCGGATCCTGGCTTGGAAGGCATAACAATAGGTTTGAGGTACCTAGTAGTAAGTAGGTACCGGTACGACAGTACTAGCTACGGTACCGGTACCGTACTTAAGGCCCATCCTGCGCTTCCCGCGCCGCGTGCAGGAATCGATTAATTCCCGTCCGCTGGAGAGATCGTGATTCGCGATCGTGACACCCCAATTCCTCAACCAGCTAGGTAGCTTGGCTAGATGGCTAGTCCGCCCTGATCTGAACCAAACCACCTATCTAGTTGTCTTTCTTTATAACGGTACGGTAGGTACCTAGGTAGGTGGGTGCATTTATTTATATCCATACCAATATTTACCGACAGGCATACCTACTGCTCAGACCCTCCCTAGGTAAGGCTTACTCCGTACATATAATAATTATCCGCATTAATGATCCACTCATGCACACGAAGCCTCGATGATGATCCGCCGTAGATTGCGTACCAGCGTGGCAGTTCCACTTCAGCATCAGCCGGATTATTTATTTCGACATCCTTCTCGGTAATCCAGGATTGCCCTCAATGCCCCAGGTCCCCCACTCAACAACCTCATTCGAATAATCCAATAGCTCTTGCCGTGTCTGATAGCATTTAGCCCATAGCCCCAGATCATCCCTATTCAGTACCTTGGTTGGGATAACCATCTGCATCTTCCAACTGTGTTCTACGATCCAGGAAAATCGTAGCGCTTCGTCGGGCTCGGGGATATCCAACGAGTCGATGTAATCCACGAAGACTTCTTCGGGTGATTCCCATAACAGCGTTTGTTTAGTCCGACCTTTTCGAGTCGTGCGTCCATAGTATTCCGGGATGTATACTTTGGCCGCTTTTTCAATCTTGTCAATCTCCGCTTCGATGACACAATACCAATCCCATCGTTTACGCAGCCAGCCAGCAGGCTCGTTTACTATTTCGCCCCAAGTATTGATTAGCGGCGCCTGGGAAAAGTGACGATCTGCAGATATATAAACCAACTCACCCATGTAAAAGCCGTTTCCTATTTGACGATAGTATCTCCGACTGCGGTCGTACAGGGTATCTCTGTACGGCTTGTTGAAAAAATTAATCAAGTCGGCTTCTTCCTATAGTCCGCGTAATGTGATATAAGCGCATGCGATGTGGTCGGCGGTAACCCGAGGATCAAATCAGGTGGAACTTACCTCGTCAACTGTCCGATAGCCGATAATTTTTCTTCCCTGCGCTCCATCAAAAAGAAAGCTGAACGAGGCTAGCAAGGCCACGCAAAGGGACCTCGAAAGTAGCATCGTATTCAGAAACTACCCGAAGTAGTCTTGAAGCCTGCAGAGGAAGCGGAGCTCGCAGACGAAGAGGGTGACCACGGGGACCTGAGGTAAGTACGTGCAGGGAGAGGTATATATCCCCTTCTGTCACGGTTTTCGTAATCCTTCCTTCTAATTGATTAAATCCATACATACTCCGCTGCTCATATTCATCTTGCTAATATTAACAACCGGGAAAGCGAATTTTATTTCTCGGCTATAAACAATCGTGCCATTAATAATAGATACCTAGTCACGATACCTAAGAATAGGGGGCTCGGAGGAGTGCTTCCAGCACGCTTGTTAATAAGGGTGTCGTAACTCAGACCTTTGCCTGGCTGGCTGACCACCATCTCGCATCTCTTCGACCACGGGACTCGCGAATCAATGCCAGAGGGACGAGTGCGTGTATCGATAAGAGTCAGAAGAAGAAGAAAAAAATGAGACATGAAGGAGAAGAAGAGGATAATGTGATGTCGGTCAGATGATCCCGTGGATAAGCTGCATGTGACGGTTCTACTCACCCCCTTAGAAGTCCATCTCCGTAAGACAAGTAGGTATTGACTCACCACGCCTCCTATTCATAGATACAAGAAACAAAAAGTATCTACAGGATGGGAATCGTATTTAAAAAAGATACCAATGATAGCAGATACTCATACGTAAACTCGGCAATTAAAAAAAAAAATCCGTCCTAAATATATTAACGAACAACATCACCTCTCCTAGATTCCTTCCAGGTCCTCACTAGCTCCTCCTCCCTGCCCATCTCCCTCGCTAAGCCCCTCACACCCTTATCACAGTCTCCTAGAAAGATCACGTCGGCTCTTTTCGTCCCCAACGACCCAACCCTCTCACGATGAGACAGCGCACTCGGCGTGCCTTCTTCGCCCACCCACAAAGTCCGGCACCGCCTTAAACGGCGCAACCTCCAATTCCACAGCCCAAAATGAGCAGCAGATCCGCCCCCTCCACTCCCCGACACGCCTTGTGAAACCTCTTCGGGAGCTGCTCTCCAAAGAAATCCCCCATAATCCCGGGCTTCACGAACCCGCCAACAGCCCAGCTGCATACAGCACCGCACAGCACGGCACGCTTCCCTTCCCTGCAATCGCCCGCCTGACGACCTCAGACGGGAAGCTCGCACAGTGCCGGCTGATCGAATCCACCATGCGCCTGCACGAACATGCGCTCAAGAATCCCCGCCTGCGCCTCCAGCCCATCCACATACTGCAGCGCCCCGTTCCCTAGGAAGCCCTCCCGCCACAACATGGCGAGGAGCGCGATCCTCGGCTTCCCTGGACCTGGACCCCGAATCAACGAGATCGGGAAACAGCGCTCGCGCACGCGCGTAGAACGGTGAGGGTTCATCCTGAAGAAAGACAGCTCGAACTGGGCTTCCGGGAACGGCAGCTCTGATCCGGGTGCAGAGGGGGACGAGAGGAGCGAGACGTAGAGGCCCGCTCCCGGCGTGCGGGAGTCGGGGATGCCGGCTGCGGTGGAGAGGCCGGCGCCGGCGAGCACGACAGTCTTCTTCTTCTCATTTTGAGGGGATGGGAAGAGCATGCACTGTGCTACGTCGATGCGGGCACGCGGGGGCGCGAGAGCCCAATTTGGCGGCGTGGATGAGCTTCTCCAGGGCAAGCTGACCACGCTTCTACTGGGCTTTCGCGTCGGGCTTTGAGAAGCGCCTTACTTTAAGGCCTCCCAGCCGTTCTTGGAGTACTTGGGGGACGCGGTGGATTTGGGGGTTGGTGACTTGGTCTGGCTGAGGCGGAGGAAGAGGTTGACCGGGAGTCTCAGGGGCGCGATGGCGCGCTGCTGGCAATGACAAGGCCGGTTTGAAGGTTGAGATACCCATCTTTTGTAGTAGCTATAAATTATGAGGAGTTGCCGTAGTACTTGGGTGTTGCCAGATGTTGAAGCTGGAGAGAATGGCTTGGGAGAAGGTCGTGTGGTAGGTATACTGATAGGTACAGCAGAGAACACGATGCCAGCCCTTCCTTCTCCCTTGGGGTCTAGATATCATATGAGCGAATGATGAAGGTGGAAAAGCCGCAAGAAGATCACAGACAGGTAAGGGATATATGCAGTCACATACAGACATTATGATTAGCCCTGGACGCAGCGGCAGCGATTCCGAGTTCTTGGTGTAAGCAATCAATCTAACAAGCCAGCGGGGATCCCATCTTCCGTAGACTGTTTGCTCATCTTTCTTCCCAGAGGAGAAGCACAGGTAAGTATGTACCGGTATTGCCTTCTTTCAAGCCAACCGCGGCTTCTCCGGGGGTCGAGAATCGCGGGGTCGTTTGGGGAAAAAAAAAATCTCGTTTCGCGGTGCGGGGTCAAAAAAAAAACATATCTCTTTTGTAATATTCACGTATCAAGAAAAACCTTGTAAAAAAAATTGGAATGGAAAAAATTGCAAAAAAGATAGTGAACACGAGGGGATTCTGCAATACATATACATTAGCTCCTGGATTCAGGTGGTATGGTGAGCGGAGTACACACCGAACCCCTGCGGGCAGAGCCCATGAGAAGACACCGGTTTTTGCAGAACCGACAAGATCCGATCTTGAGTCACACGCCATAACCACTATGGGGGACGTTAGCTGCCTGTCATTGGGAGAGGACTGGGCGAGAAGCTTACCTCGGCCACATGTCCTGACACATTGAAATGTGCTGGTTGGTTTCCGGGCGCGGTCGTGTGTTGTTATACGATCTACTCTGTAGCTTGTTGGATTCCAATGTGGGGATCGTGTTGGGCCGAAGTGAAGGCGAGTTCGTTCGTTCCACGGCGGAGGAAAGAAAGGTGGGGGTGGGAAGGCAATGTATATATATATATATATATATATGTGTGTATATGTATGTATGTATGTATGTACGTATGATATATACAGAGTAGACTAAATCCGGAGGAAAGGGAAAGTGGACCCTGATATATACTTCTGTAAGTCCACCTCTACCTTTTCTCGTTGCGCCGACCGTCGACGCATAAAGCGCATCTCAGCTTTGGAACCGGTCAAGGCATGCGCTCTCGGAGGCATGAGAACATGAAGTAAGTTACAGATAGACAGATACCTCGACATGCAGATTTATTTCCACTCCCCCGTCTGTCGACACGGTACTGATCATGGTGTAGATAGATACCTAGACTACAGCTACGTATAACGTATACATATATATATATACCTTATACACGTTAGTCTACAAGTGAGAATAGTGAAACGGCCTCGGTCCCTTCCGCTCTGCACGCCTTCACACTTCTTTCTGTCTTCAATTCATTGGCCGTGTAGACCTTGATCGAGACAAACAAACGTTCACCCCACTTCGGCACTACATCCTCCGCTTGACTCGACCATGGAAACATCACAGACACCTCTACTAGCAAGACGGCGCTCTGCAGTTGATTTCCCAACACCAGGTTCTTTTTCAGAGGTAAGTCCATACAAAGGGGGCAGCTAGTCTAGACACCTAGTGAAACGCCGAACGACACGCTTTGTTCCCTCGCAAGCTCTTCAGGTCCAGATGTCCTCTCAGCATTTCATCTCTACTTTCCTCTCCTTTCCTTTCCTCGTCTCGTCTCTGCTCTCCTCTCTTCTCCATCTCTCTCGTGTAATACTGTAATCGGCAAGCTGTTGTGTTCTCTTCTCTCACGACCTCACGCGTCTTAATATCTGTTTCTCTCCATATCTATTCTTTTTTTTTCTACTGACGCCCGTGTCCGGCCTCGGTATCATCTCGTTCTCGTTGTCGCCGTCCTGGTCGCATCTACTCTTATTACTATTTATTATTTTGCCGAGATCCATTCCATCTTCAACACCATCAAGAAAGACATCAAGAAAGATGCAGATCTTCCTCTTTCTCTTGCAGTTCTCCCTGCCCGTCCTCGTGGTCGCGAATGGTGGGCAGGCTCCCATGCATGCAGACCCCGAAGAGCAGGTACGTACAGTACATATAATACAGCACCCTTCTTTTCTCCTCTTCCTCCTCCTCCTCCTCCCTCGGAGGGGAAAGAAAGCAGGGGACGACCCGACCCCAACACGGTATCCATCGCTATCCCCGCGTCCAACTACCTTACCCACCAAGCATGCATGGATTCTAACACGAATGCACCTGCGCAGGTCTCATTCCATGCCGATGACACATCGCCCAGCGCCCTTCCCACCACCGCCATCTCTCCCATGCCAGCTGCGCTATCCGAACTCCCGGACGCAACCCACCAGCACCATCTGGACGCCGACGCCGACGCCGACCCTTTCGATGACGACCTAGAGCTGGGAGAAGAGGATCTGGAGGAGGGGGATTTTGACGATTTTGACGATCTAGAGGATCTGGAGGAGGAGCTGGAAGAGGAGGAGGAGAACACCATCGTCATCACCAGCGCCGCTCCCCTCGCCCAGGTGCTCACGCTGCTCGTCAGACCCATCGCGGCCTCGGGGTCGACGACTCGAGATATGAGAACAGTGACAGCCTCGAGCACCGTCGGCCGGATGGAGGGCGCCGAGGCGACGAGCATGGCGATCCGCGGGGGCGGGTGGAGGGAGGATGCTGCTGCCACGGCGACGACGACGATGGAGGAGTATCTGGATGAGGCTGAGCAGACGGCAGAGCCGGAATTGTAGCGTGAGAGTGAAGAGAGGAGGAGAAGGTTGGCGTTGGGAGTGGGATTGGGATTGGGATTGGGGTTGAGACCCGTGAATAAAGAGGATGTTTCGGGCTCGGCTATCTGCTGTTTGATGCCCCTTCGTGGGTGGGTACCTGTGTGTGTGTGTGTGTGTGTGTGTGTGTGTGTGAGTCCAGAGCGGGCTGCTTGCTTACCGAGCAGTAATTACATATGGTGAAAGTGTTATGTTATGTCGATTTTTCACTTGAGATGCTGGATGCTAGATGGGAGGAGAGGAGAGGATTTCGGTGCACGGAGTAAAGAGCGGGAAGTCAGTAGGATAGGTCCAGAATCTACTTCCTTGGTTTTCACTCACTCACTCACTCACTCACTCACTCACTATTCATTCCATCCATTCCGTCACGGGGATGCATCCATCCACCACCTATCTAACCCCAACCTTTGAAATCGTAATTTATTACGGGAAAAGGGGATGGCCCCCATCACAGTTAAAAAAAAAAAGGGCCTTATTTGTTTGAAAAGAAAAAAAGAAGAAAAAAAAAAAGATTGTGTGGATCGTAAACAGACGAAAACAAAACCCTGCAGATTCCTCCGCTGATTCCATCCTCCGAGATCGAAAGGGAGGGAAAAAAAAAGGGGGGGAGGGCGGGCACTCGCTTAATCCTTCAACGGCCTTCAGCACCAACAACAACAACCCTACTGTTTGCCTTTGCGCCGCGCCTTCTTCTTGCTACTTTCCAGCAGGAGGAAGGGCAGTGATACCAGCGTTCCACCCGTCCTGCCACTTCCACTCGGAGACGGCCGTGACCTGGATGCCGTTCTGGAAATAGACGCGGATCTCGGGCGCCTTCGAGCTCGCCGCGTACCACGACAGACATCCGACCTGCGAGCCTGGGATCGACTCCTGGTTGAAGGCGCCGTCGTACCAGCTCCCGTCGTTGCACTTCTCGAGGATCGTGTCGTCGGGCCCGGTGTAGTAGACGCGGATTCCGGTCCCCGAGGATGAGGTCCAGCTGGTGGCGGAGATGGCAGCACGGGGCGAGGCGGAGGACACGGAGAACTTCCCCGTCTCCCAGTGCCCGCCGTCGTCGTGCGCCTTCTCCATCAGATCGAGGTTGGGGGCTTGGTAGTAGACACTTGACGGTAGCGAGTTAGCTGGAAAGGGCGACCACTTGAGAATGTGGAGTAGCTCTCATACCGGAGACTGGCGTTTGGACCACCTTTGTAGGCAGTCACTGCGATGCTACTTCCAGGACAGGCTGTGCCCAGGTGTTGATCCTTGTACCATGATCCTGTTTGAGGTTAGTGGAAGATGCCCAGCATGGTTGAAGTGCTCACCATCATTGCTGTACTCCTGGACGGAGTTGTCAGGCGCTTGCACATAGACGCTGTCTTGCACATTAGCACTCTACCGACTATCCCATTCGGTGGAAATTTCTGCAGACACGGCCTTCCAGATTTACATGTTAGATGGGCACGTACCGAATTTTCAGGTCATCGACGGCCAAGTAGGTGGCAGCGATCTGGGAGTAAGGCGCGATAGGGTAGTTTTTGCCGCTCAGCTCTCCGCTGAACCATCCCTTGCCGCTATCCGACTCGTCATAGCAGAGTTCAGCAAGCTTGAAATCAGTAGTGATGTAATAGAGACGAATCTACGAGGAAGTCAGAATCCATATCACCGAGTGAAGAAGATCTTGAGGGACTTACGTGCTCAAGGCCTGGCGTGGCGGCAACAGCAATAGGTGAGCTGATCTTGCCCGTGGCGATGACAGTGTCTCCACCCCACCAAGAAGACCCGGATCCATTGTATCCGGCTTCTCGAATTCCTCCATACACGTCCTGAGAGGCCCTATGTTAGCAGAGCTGGTGGGATGGACAGCGAGACCTTACCTGAGTGTAGACCCTCATGACGCCAGCACCTTTGCCTGTCTTGCCGACTGCGGCGATACTTGTGCCTGGACGATTTCATTAGTTGCACATTGAGGAGTGGATCGGTAGGCAGAGAGCTGGGATGGAAGTAGAGACTCACGATTCACAATGACCGAGGCGTTTGGTGGTGCCATTCTGACAGATTATTGAAGTCTGAACTTTGAAGATTGGGCGAAGTCTCTGATGTTTGATGGAGCAGATGATAGAGAAGATCGTAGATGGATGTGAACTTTCAATTGAATTTATTCGAGCGGGGAGACGTCTTATATAGAGATAGGAATCAAATTCGTCCACAGAGTTTAGCCAGTTAGAAGACCCAACGTCATTGCTATGCAGTATGGCAAGATAACTGATGTACAAGACTTCCTTCTGACACTGTCGATCACCTTACATCCAATGAATATCTTCTTACACTTACAAGCTACAGCGCGAGAGCAATGCAGGGCATGTGGTGAGACGTAGACTTTAGGAGGCTCGCAGGAGGCTCTCAGGAGATAATAGTGGCAGGCCCTCTTTAATGGGAAGCATGTGCATTGATTTGGGAAATACATTATGTAAAAGAAACGAGCATGTTGCTCTTGATTGATCAGTCTGCAAAGAATTGGTGGTACGGACATTGCCGTTTGTACAACTTTGGCTGGCGTTGGTTGTCTGGCGAGATTAGGTAGATTCGTGATCGTCCTCTATCAGACCACCCAAAATGTAATATTCAGCGTGAAGACGAACCACCACTCAATTTGGGATCACCGAGAGGACTCAGGACGTCAGTTGAGGTATGCAAGCTAGAGATGGACCAAGCCAATTGAGCCTCCAAGATCTTGCACGCTGCCTTCGAGTTTTGACGCCTCTAACAAGCACAGCATGCCTCAAAATGGGTGGAGAGTTTGAATCCAAGCTGAAGGGTTCTGATGTTGTACTACTCGACATAACGTCAGTTCCATGCCGAACTCTCGTCAAGCTCTGCATACCCCGCATCCTGTGTTCCCTAAAGACCCCTTGGTTTGGAGCTACGCTTGAGGAGAATTCCATTCTCTTAGTTGAATTAAAGGGTGAGAAGTATCCAACTGAAATATCTTACACTGTCTCTGGTCGCCCGGAATACCCGTTACAAATGAAACCGGTACCCAGAAGCTTTTCCAGCACGTTCTGGGACAGATACCTGCGAGCATAAAATCGTGGAGAGCAACTTGATCTGATCTGGCGTTTCTCGTCCCAGCTGGAAACGTGGGACAGACGCGGGGGCATACTCCCAGCAGCTGGCTACTAACAAGCCACCATGAGGTTTGCGGGATGTGGAGAAAGCGAGGTCTCAATGTCGTATGTTCAACGCTGTAGAAGAGCGAATTGATATGTCATGATGCTTGCCAACCTCACCATGATCTTCAGACTAATTGACAAAGAGGAGCTGAAAAGCAACACGGCGTTCTTGTTAGGGCGAAAGGCACTTTCTGACTTGCGTCTTGGATGTGCGTGGCTTCACAGCTGCTTCTGCCTGCAAGCAGAAAGCCTAGAAAATTGAAACTAATACTATGCATGATATGTTTCAATGCATAACGGCGAGAGTGATACTGACAGAATTGTAGTACTCTGGGCAATAGAGAACCAAAAAGACGAAATAACAGTGAAAGCCGCATTATACACATAAAACACGAAGCTTGATAAACATGACATAGCCGACGACGCTCAGGTACATAATCAGAAGCCAAGATGTTTACAATCAGTAAACGCCAAGGGGGCATCGATTGACATGTGAATGCTTACAAGAGGAGGAGATAATTGACAGGTTCGGCTTTTTCTCTCGGATGGTAGGAAAGATCAAAGAGCTGCATGAAACAAACGGGATTGCGAATCTTTGAGCCCCCCTTGCTGATCAGCTTCTACGGGACGGTATTGAAGGCATTGCTTCGGATACGATATGAGATGTGCTGTCCCTCTCGCGGCGCCTAATATTTTCGATAACAGCTTTCATGAAGATCCATTAGAACCTTGAACACTTGAGCATGATGAGCTGGAATCAAACAGCACTTTGAGTAGGTACCATGTCCGGTGCCCTGTAGCCCCAGACAAGCCCGATCCGTGCATCTGGCCGCGCAAAATACTTGAACACCTTGGAATTGTATGAAGTAAATGCCCGGTGTCGGTCCCTTTTTTCCCCCTTTTCTTTTTGGCTCTTGGCCGCCAGTGTCATGCGTGGTATCCAGTGTGAAAAGGCCTCTCGCGATGTTTGGAAAGAATGGAGGTGCAGGATTAAATGCGGAAAAAGTAAATGGAGGTTGACCTAAGCTCAATGCGGCTCACAGTTGATATGCACACTAGTCTCGTTTAGAACCTTGGCACCTTAGTCATAATCCCCGTCATTTACCAGAATTTCAACATCCATCTTCATAAACCAAGAGACCTCTGCCCGTCAGGCAGGATCTCACAACAATTTGCAGCAACCAGGCCTTCCGTTCTTTTCCATTCAATGTATCCGGCTCAAAGACATCAACTCCACGCTGGTAGCCAGCTTTTGCCGCATCACCTGTATGCGATGAGGACCGCGCGGTAATTAGACTATAAATAGCACTTATCACTAGAAAGTATTGATTGCCGCTGGTACGAGAAACACAAGAAGCTAACACGTAGGATCCCCCACAAGATCATCCTGAAGGAATTTAGTCGCACGACTATCGCACACCGCTTTCAGCCGACGGACACTACGTAATTATCCCCAATTATCCAGATGTCGTCGTCGACTTCGGGATGTAGACAGTGCAAACACATCAGCGTTTCGTGACGCGATCGGTTCCAGCCATGGCGTATCCAGCATTGTACGAGGAAACGGACCCGAAGCTCAGTGATGAGCTGAAGGCCGAGTCTCAGGATGGCAATCCCGAGTTCAATCTGGCTACGGGCCATAATCAACTGGAACGTGGACTCAAGAGTCGGCATATCCAGTTCCTGGCTCTCGGTAAGCATGGAATTGCCTGTCCATCTGATTAGACCGCTGCTAAAAATTCAAAAGGCGGTGCCATTGGGACTGGCTTGTTTGTCGGATCTGGAGGCATCCTGTCCGAGACAGGTCCAGTTCCGCTGTTCATGGGATACGTCTTTATGATGTTCGTCGTCTGGTGTGTGATGAACGACCTTGCAGAGATGGTGACCTATCTCCCTATGAAGGGAATCTCAATTCCGTACTTCGTTGAGCGATTTGTGGACCCCTCGTTGGCCTTCGCCGCAGGGTGGAACTACTGGTATGCGTATGCCATGCTGGTTGCTGCCGAAGCCAGCGCGGCGTCTATCGTACTGGATTACTGGAATGCTCCAGTAAACGTCGCGGTCTGGATTGGGATTGTCTTGGCAATAATATTGTTGTTGAACGTCGTTGCCGTATCCTTCTTCGGCGAGGCAGAATTCTGGTTCGCCAGCATCAAGCTCATCACTATCATGGGCCTCATCATCCTCGGAGTCGTTCTCTTCTTCGGAGGCGGCCCGAACCGTGATCGTCTTGGCTTCAGGTACTACAAAGATCCCGGAGCGTTCAAGTCATATATGGCTCCAGGCAGTACGGGCAAGTTCTTGGCCTTCTGGCACGCGTGTGTGAAGGCTGGCTTCGCTTTCATTACCTCTCCCGAGCTCATCGCCATCGCCGCGGGAGAAACAGTGGATCCGAGAAGGAACATCCCCAAAGCTGCGAGACGCTTCATCTGGCGACTAGCTATCTTCTACGGCTTCGCGTCTCTGATTCTCGGTGTCATCGTACCCTCTGACGACAAGAGGCTGCTCGGAGCTGGCAATGCGAGCGCGAGTCCGTGGGTGATTGGAATCCAGCGAGCTGGAATCGGTGGCCTGAACCACGCAATCAACGCTGCAATCCTGACGTCCGCATGGTCGGCCGGGAACTCGTTCCTCTACTCCGGATCACGGGTTCTCTACTCCATGTCCCTCAACAAGCAAGCGCCAAGAGTCTTCAGCATCACCAACAAGCGCGGAGTTCCGTACGTCGCTGTCTTATTTACCTGGTCCTTCGGGCTCCTCGCCTTCCTCAATGTCTCGAATACGGGGGCGACGGTGTTTAACTGGTTCGTCAACATATCCACCATCTCAGGCTTCATCGCCTGGATCATCGTCATGATAACCTACCTCCGATTCCGCGCGGCTTTTGTGCACAACAAGCTCCTGCACACACTTCCCTACCGCACGCCGTTCCAGCCCTACTTCACCCACGTCGTCCTCATCATCATCTTCCTCCTCACCCTCACCAACGGCTTCCAGATCTTCTGGCCGGACAAATTCAGCGTCGCGGACTTCCTAGCGGCCTACATCACCCTGCCGATCTTCTTGGTCTTGTACTTGGGCCACAAACTGTGGTTCCGCACGCCGTGGGCGAGGAAGATTGAGGACATCGATGTGCTGACGGGGAAGAAGGAGATGGATCAGCTGGCCGAGATGGAAGTCATCAGGGAGCCGAAGAATTGGCTGCAGAGTGTTTGGTTTTGGATTGCTTGAATTAATGAAGTGCTCTGGCGAAGAGGGAACATTTACTATAAATCATGGAGAAAGGGAACCAGCCATGTAATGATTTGGACATGCGATTTTAATTAGGCCTTTTGTAATTTTTTAATATTTTTACTTCTATAGTATAATTCCTAGAAGGTGACCTGCAGTCGAGAAAAAAATCGAAGCTTTTGTTGCGCGTCGCAGCGTTTGTTTCATTTCCAAATAGGGAAAATCTCCATCTCCTATCGAATCGTTGTTCAGAAGGCGAACCGCTGTCGAAAAATAAGCAAGCTTTTTGTTGCACGTCGCAGCGTTATTTACTTTCCAAATCGGGCAAGATTCTCTGAAAATACACATCAACTGCCGATATTAGCGAACGCAATAATATTTTCTTCCCCTTTTTGCACATCGCAGCTCCGTTTACTTTAATTTTTTCAAAACTGATAAAGGCTGAGTCCGACCTAGCTTTGCGTTGGGAAAAACAAAAAAAGAACACTCTTTTTTTTTGCACATCGCTGGGTTTGTGTACATTGAAAGAACCACCTGATATCTCAAGATGTAGAGAGAATGAGGCTGTCAGGCTGAGTTTGGTTGGAGGAGTCATGACCCTTTCTGTATTGCAAGAACCAGAACGGTTTGTATATTAGAGCCCCCCGGGTGTTGGTAGAAGTGCAGCAGTTGAGAGACGGGGAGTGGGGGGAATGACAATGTTTTTGTTCGATGCAGTAAATAAGTGTCTCTGTTCATGTCTCGGAATCTGGAAGCGGGTTTCTTCTTGTAGTTTTGTAGTCTAGGATGATATGTTATATCGATTTTTTGAGATGGACAGATGCTATCTCCAGCAAAGAGCACATGTTGGAGGACATTAGGAGAAAAAATACAGTCGTGGACTACTGATGCGAAGGAGAAGACGGGGTCCAGTCTCTCAGACTCAGCTATTCACAATTGAGAGCTTTCAGTGTTGATCCTGAGCAAGAACAACCAGGCGACAAAGATTCATCCGAGATCCAGGCAGATTCGGGAACTATATGCCGCTTCGCAACCTAAAGCAAGACTGCCGTGAGCTTTCAATGACCACCTACATGACTGAGCAGAGGTATTTCAGATTCTGAGTTGAGACCGACCCTTTTAAACGCCCTGCCCAGAACACCTACCCGCTATGCAAAAATATCCCAGATATCTACACATATCCCCCCTCCCAGTGTTATATCGTACACCGACATCCACAGGCCCAAACCCCCATTAATCACAACTCCCGTCCTTCCACCCAGTCCTCCACCTCTCCTCCCACTTGGAGCAATCAAACTCCCTCTTGCCCAACTTCCGGTTAACATCATTATGCGCCTCGCACATCCACCGCCCGAATTCCTCCCGGCTCTCCGTCCGTACCTTGTTCCGCGCCATCCAGTCCTGGAAATCCTCCGCGCACACCCAGCACGGGTACAGCTTCGCGAAGAGGCTCACGAACGTGCTGGCTTGGGTCTGCTCGGTGGGGGTGGGCTCCGTCGGGTAGGCGGCGGTGATGGAGTGCAGCAGCGTCCAGGAGGAGCGGCCCAGTTGCTCGACGTCCGGCGGGCACTCTCTGGGGGCGATGGTCGTCGGGGTTTTGGTGAATTTTCTGGATTGGGATGTCATGTCCTTGAGAGAATTGCATGTTCGGCATCTGGTTAGGGTAGTTAGTATTGACGTCTGGAGCCTGTAGAGCTAGCTTACTCACGGCTTGCCATCCTTCCCGAGGATGATGCCTTTGGGTAGCTTTTTTGGAGGCTCTGTGGAAGATTCCGCAGCTACAGGAGCAGTACTGGGTGGTTCTCGCTCCCGAGTATCATCTTCCATTTTTACGGATTGTGAAGTAGTCAAGAAAGATGGGGATGTGTAGAAAAGTCCGTTGCTGGAGCTCTGGATTTCTAAACGCGGTGATGGCGGCCGCTTGAGCGGGGACGCGAATCTCCATGACGCTTTTTCAGGTACACGACTTTCAACCACATTATGCCCCCCGCCACTCAGCGACAATGGGCACGAATAGCAATGAAGATGGGAGCTCTACCCCGATTTTATTGTTGAAGACAAAATCAACGCCTCATGATGGTTACGAGGAGAAATTCTCCACCAAGAAAGATGGGCTTTGTTTCTCACCTACCTTCGTGCCGGTCCTCAAGCCTCGATTTTTGGATAAGGGCATTGATATTGTGAGAGATCTGGTTCGGAATAAGGAGATTGGCAAGGAGGAATGGAAGAAATATGGCGGCATGATATTTACGTCCCAGCATGCGGTGGAAGCGTTCGCAAGGCTTGTTGAGGAGGGCAAAGGTGCGAATCAATCAATATTCTACCGTTCTGTACAAGACCTAATGCAATGGGCATAGGCGATGAGCAATGGCCATATTTACAAGATGTACCGATATACACTGTCGGGCCAGCAACTGCTCGAGCCCTACGAGCAATCTCGCAGACTCCGGCTCTCAATATCTTTGGCGCAGATATGGGCAATGGGGAGGCTTTGTCACACTACATGCTCGATCACTACGGTCGATGGTATCAAGACCGGAAGAACAAGCCGCCGCTGCTCTTCTTAGTAGGTGAACAAAGGCGTGACATTATACCCAAAACCCTGATGGATCCTACGCTGGCCGACGAACGCCGCATACAAGTCGATGAACTTGTGGTGTACGGGACAGGCGTTATGGAGTTCTTCGAGGAAAACTTCACCAAAATATTACGAGAAACCCGGGATCTGCCTCTGAGGTGGGTAGTTGTATTTTCTCCCACGGGATGCGAGGCTATGCTCCGGGCACTGGGGATCTTGGATCCAAAAACAGGGAAGGCGAAAGCAGTTGGGCCGCCCAAGATGAGAAGCACATATATTGCTACCATTGGACCCACGACGAGAGATTTCTTGCGGCATAGCTTTGGATATGAACCGGATGTTTGCGCCGAGAAGCCTAGTCCGGAAGGGGTTGAGGCAGGGATCAGAGCATTTTCGGAAAAAGATCAATGATAGCGGTTCTATTCCAGCACTTCTGGTCGAACTGGGTCAATTTTGTGATCAAAAAGATCCAGGATGAGAATACCTAATGGTACCAGGTATGACAAAGGGAAGCCCTGAGCCGTTTCAACGAGGTACTTTCGAGGATCTCGGCCCTCAATGTCCCTTCCTCTATCGCACAAAAAACCCAGTCCTCTCACACCACCCTCCGTCTCGTTCCCTCGCCTATCATACCTGTAAGATAGCATCACCCAATACCACGTCCGTCAAGGGATTCATGGCAACGACTCAAAGACTTCGAAAAGATTTTTGTAGCAAGTCGTCACCAGAAGTGTGGTCGGACAAGCGTGCATCGGATGCCACGCAGACGGTAGCACAAAATTCGCGATAGGTCCCCGATCTACCCAGCGTACTGTGGCTCTGAGACAAGCTCTACCTATTTGGTGGAAGGTACGCTTCCCAGCACACCAAAAAGGGACGATTGCAGAATGACCATGTACGGATAGGGGTCGAGAGGAGAGGGTGGTTGGTACGCATCACAGACTTGGAGTACCGTGGCGTATGATACTTGGTACTGCAAGCGGGCGTTGGTGGTTTGGCTTTCCAAATCACCTGCAGCTTCTAAGTGTTTTAACGATCGTGATCAACCGGTCTTCTCAACTGCGATGGGCAAAAGTACTTAATTTCATACCTTTTTTGAAGTCGCTCGACCGCTCCGAGTCACTGCAGAAATAAGAGGCCGCTTGTTTCTTCTGTACTGCATCGCCTTTTTGTTTTCTCTTTGTCCCTTTACTGTTCATTCATGCTCTCATCGTGTCCCGATGCCGAGATGCATGGTGTTGGCTTGTGCGGTCAGGGTGAGATGGATTGGAAGCTACCCTTGGCTCGCTCGGTCCAAGTCATACATCAAAACCTCGTCCTTCCTAATCCAATCCTGCCACCAACCCCTTGGACGTCCTATCATCACTCGCTCCTCAGACTAAGTCACTACTACGAAGTATAGACAAACAATAACTGAGCTGGGCTCGACGTGATATGATTTCGATGTGATACGGGTTCCTGTGTTTCAAGGTGGATAAGGGGCGGAGTGCTGCTGACGAGTTGGGAGACATTGGAGCTCGCCTTCGTCGTATATACAGGTCGGATTAGTTGAAGGGGAAAAGGGTTTTCACGATGGCATACGATCTTCGGCCGAGATAAGGAGGGTTGGCCATATTGTGTAACGTGAACGTGTCAGTGTCTGCAGCATGCGCTTTTGATTTCTCACGTACCAATTTCGATAGGCAGGTACTTCACAGGGCGCGAGCCAAGCATTTAACATGACGCTCGTCAAATAGATCTCAGATTATTCGAATGTCATTGCAAATTCCCAGTCTTTAGATCTGCGTCATTCGCACATGGAGAACGAGACAGCCACCGAATCATTCAAGTAACCTTTGCACGTCTATCTCCACACCGCCCAGCTCACAACCACCCCCACATCTTCTTCACTGCCCTGGAGAACCAGGACATGCAATGAAAATAAAGGATCTCTCAGTCATCTATCAGCACCCACCTAATCCAAGCGGCCGAAGCACGCCCGAAGAAGGCCAAGATCATCGCCGCTCCCTATACAGCTCTGCTTACGCATAGCCGCCATCTTCCCAGACAGTCCGGGAGCAAAGGCCTCACTCTTGAGCGCTGAAGAAAAGTTCATCTTCGAGAGCGGGTCTGTGGCTTTTTTGAGAAGCTCAGAGAAGGTCGTATACTTCTGTAGAGGGAGGAAGGTCAGCGATGGTTTGCGGGTTGGAGTGCAGAAGAGAAAACTTACTAGAAATGATTCTATGAAGTATGATTGACATGGAGAAAAGAAAAGAAACCAGAAGAGAGGGAATTGGAATCGAGCTTATATACAAAAAAAATCCTTAGCGCGCCAAGCTCTGCGCTAGGCCTGGTGTGAGCTCACGTGATGGTTTCCAGGACACCCATCCACTAGCGCGCCTTGGAATTTTCGCGGCCTATATAATCCCCTCTCCCTCCCCAACTCTTCTCTTCTCTTCCTCAGCTCTGTAAGTTCCATCCACCCCGACCCCAAGGTATACATCCACCTTTGCTAACGCATGTCACCTCAGCTTTGCCTATTGGCTTAGATCAAGTGTAGTATCTGTTCTTTTCAGTTTAATCTCTGAAAGACGTCTAAGGGCGTCACATTGATTATACTTATTTTTGTCCCTCGGGGGATCGCCTCTGGGCTTGCCTATGCTTTCTCCCACTGTGTCACTGGTATTACACTGCCTCCAGTTGACGCGACCTCCATTTTCATTGCGGACTCTGGGCTTGTCTCGGGTCGTGAAGAAGATGCCCCGGTGTGGGGGATGGGAAACGATCAGAGATAGGCTAGGGTATCGAGCCTTTGGAGGGTGACAGGATGGAATCAACCGTAGAAGAAGCACCGAGGTTGAGGCAAACAGTGGAAATAGGAGCGGGCTTGCGGACTGTGTACGTACCGAATGGAGATTCAAAGCCTTTGCGACGTACGACTGTAAATTTCTCCCTCTGCTACGACGGCGAACGCCCATTTCATGTACAGAGATTTACAAAATGAAGATATACTTGTGCCTGCCAAGCTCACTGAATGCCAGCCTCGTAATTCCTTTGGCCAAGTCACCCTCCAAAGCCAATCACATTTCTCCTGGCAATCTAGCCCCGGGCCATCAAACTACCCCCCCATGAGACAGGGGACCTTACCTCAAACCACCGCAACGAACTCAGTATTCTTCAATTGACGTCCATTCCTCCTCAAGAGCAACTCGACCTGCTCTCAACCCGTCTACGAATTCATCCATAATCATTTTCGCCAATCCGCTCTACACAATGTCCCCAAACAACCAAGAGAATTCCTCCCCAAACACCGGCACGAGCACACCCACCTCCCTCTCCTCCTCATCCTGGGCCATGCCCTCTACAGTCTCACACGCCGTCACTGGCCTTTTACGAAGATTCTCCACCGAACCCTCCTCTTCCAAGCACCAGTCTCCCTTACAATCTCCGTCCTTCTCGGCCTCGAAACATACCGGTATGGACGGTGTCTATACGCCTCCGTACCGGCAAGCTTCTCCATTCCAGCCGCCGCCTCTATACCCCGTGCATTTGAAGGGCTACCATTCCAGTACGCCACAATCTGCGAGGCTGCTCAGTACAGCGCTGGCCGAGGAGATACGGTTGCTGGTACCGGCGAGACTGCAATTGGTCGAGGACTGGAACTTGGTGTATAGTCTCGAGGAGGACGGTGTCAGTTTGGGGACGCTGTACAAGAAATGTGAAGAGCTGAGGGGGCTACGGAATGGGTTTGTGCTGGTTGTGAAGGACGGCGAAGGCGGGGTATGTTCTCCAGTATCACCCTTCTTCTCAGAGGGTCTCCATTTTGTGCTACTAGGATACACATGCTGACTATATATATGTAATGCAGCTCTTCGGCGCCTACTTAACAGAAGCACCCCACCCGGCCCCCCATTACTTCGGCACAGGCGAATGTTTTCTCTGGCGCGCCTCCATCCTGACCTCCTCTTCAATACCTAGCAACCTCCCTCCTCCGCCCTCAGCAGATACCATTAATGCCGTCCGTAGCACCACCGTCGGATCTCCTCAGCACGCTCCTCCAGACCTCCTCACATCCGACTTCGCACCTCCTAAAGCCTCGCCCTCACACTCCTCATCCTCCATCCTCTCTCCCCAGACCCCACGGTTTGCCTCCGGCGTGTCCACACCCAACCGCATCCGCTTCAAAGCCTTCCCCTACTCCGGAGTCAACGACTACATGATGCTCTGCGAGACGGGCTTCCTAAGCGTCGGCGGCGGTGACGGCCATTACGGCTTATGGCTAGACGACAACTTTGAGCGAGGGATCAGCAGCCACTGCTTGACGTTTGGAAACGAGCCGCTGAGCGAGGAAGGTGAGAAGTTTGAGATTCTGGGCGTGGAGCTGTGGAGTGTCGGGAACATTTGATGCTGGATTTTCGGGTGTGATTCCGAGCCTCGAGGGCTTTCGGGCGACGCACGGGGGACTGAAGTAACGAATATATCGGCTTGGGACTATGCCATAAGAGGATGGAGATTTCATGATACCCGGATGATTGTTTTGTGGGCATTTACTTGTTGGGCCGCTTGGCTGGCTGGGACAGACAGGGCAGTCTTGGAGGCATCGCTTTGGGTGTAGCTGGGAACTGCACCGCGCACAAGTTGCGTTAACAACCATACCTCGCTAGTTGAGAGTGGCATGATGCAGGGAATGGAGAACGTTGTCCTTTAGTTCCCTTGGTTTCCTATCTTTACGTCCTATCCTCTCTCCCAATCTCCAACTGCTCGTCTCGATTTCCGACCAGACTATGATTTCCTATTGCATTTATTTATTTCTCACTTCGTTACCTTTTCGATCCGTCCCTTGTGCAAACTAGCCTGGAGTCACACCATTCTGCTTTCGATAGTGCCCTTGAGGTGTTCCATTCGTATTTCATATGGACCTTTTTCTGAGGTTTTTCTTTTTCTGTTCTGGGAGAGAAAGGGGAGAAAGGGGGGAACTGTCCTTGAATACTTACCTACTTGAAAGACAAGAGGTCTACATTTTGATGGCTAGGCCACAGATGGCAACTGACTGCGGAACGGAGGGTATGGGCGACTTTGCGGGATAAGAGAAGTGGGCAAGTAAGAAGTAATGAAATATGATTTTTCTGATATTTTTTGTTTGTATCTGTCTTTTTCGCTCTCTGGGTTGGAGTCAAGAAGATTTCATCACGGCGTAGTTGCACTCACTATCTTGATTCTTGGATAGCGAAGCTTTCCGCTGTTGTGGTTCAGATCTAGACGTTGTGGTGTTTATGATGCTTTAAGCAATTCTCCAGTATATTTTCTCTTCCGAACAAAGCTGTCCTCTTCTCCGGTTTTTACCGGAGGGTTTTATCATAAACTTTCCCAGCCCTTCCTCGTCCCATATCCAAGATTTGCAAAACAGTTACACAATCACGGCACCCGGGGCTATGACTATATGATTGGCAAATACAGCTAGCAGAACCCCGAGAGGTGGATGGATGTCCAGTCATGATTCCTATGGACGTAGAATTGTCCTATTCACGATGCCGAAAGGGAAAGAGGTCGTAGTCTCTGACTCTGGCCATTCACGATCTCGGTGGAACGAAGGGAAAGTCAAACCCACGGTGAACACTGGGGGCCCAACGAGACTGTGTGTATATTAAGTCGTCGTCGTGGCGTATGAATCTGGGATTATTTTCTTCACCGTCTAGCGATCAAACATACAACTTACAGGGCCAGTGCCAAGTTCAAAACCACGTTCAGCACACAAGTCAGACTCAGAACCGGAATCAGAACCAGAATACTAAAGGTTGGTATCTGACTCAGTGGGACTTACATACACGCGGATATATACACGTGCACTGAAAGCCTCCTCCTCGATATTAAGTCAATCGGAGAAGCACACTTACTTACCCTCTCCTATCTCGGCTAGCTAGAAAGAGTAAACAGCACCCACTCCCGCTACCCAATCCATCCCCTTCCCCCCAGCCCCCCCCCCCTTCTCCCAGGAAGAAAGAAAAAGAAGGGGAAAAAATGTGCGGTCACGCCGACGAGTTCTGCAGAATCCCAACCTGCATGAACCTCGTCGCTAACGGCGCAATCGTCACGAAGGACTGCGGGAAAAACCCCTGCGCCTCGTACTGGCGGACCGACGACCCCTCCAAGAAGGACCTCTTTATCGAGGGCCACCACCGCGGCGCGCGGCTCTGCAAGATGCACGAGGGCGAGCATCATGCGAGGGAGTGGGAGCTGCGGAGGGTGAGGGCCGAGGTTGAGGCGAGGGCGAGAGCGATGGCGGATGCGGAGGCGGCGGCGGAGGTGGCGGCAGAGGCGGAGGCGGCTGCTGCGGAGGCGGCGAGGAAGGCGAAGGGGATTTTTGGCTGGTTGCTGCGGCGTTGATGAGGGTAGGTAGGTGGTGGTGGAGGTGAGAGAGGAAAGGGAAAGAAAGTGTGAGGTAATGTTGGAAATATGGGGTTGTAGTAATGGTGTTGGTTGGGCCGCGGCCTGGCGCTTGTGATATATACGGATGGGGTTTCCTTCTTGAGCTGGCTGCTGGCATGGGTATATATACGGTTACACGAATGGCTTTCTGTCTCGACTGCGGTGTGTGGTGGGGGGGGGGGGGGGGGGGGTTCTGCGTATGCTTTTTTTTTTCTCTCTCTCTCGCTTATTGATGTTTCTTTTCGCTTGTTGATATGTATATATATATAGTTCTGGATAACGGGATCACGCATGGTGTTTTGGCGCTGGCGCCTGCAATTAATACGATGATTTCTCAGCCAGAATTTTTGAGTTCCTAGTTCCTTCTGCTGTGACTGTAGTATAAGATTCAGATGCTTCTATTCCCCTTGGACATTGACGCTCTCTGAGTCGGAACTTGGTAGCCTACAGATCGAATACATCCATTTGAGCCTTTATTGCCGTATCGCAGTTCAGAAATCCCAATTTCATACTCGTAAACATATTTTTTTTTTTCATCTCGAGACTTGCTTAGTCCAGAGCGGAAATCCCCAATATGGAACTACAACTCAGCAGCGCAGCCATACTCACCATAAGAACAGAAGCTAATTTTAGGAGGTCTCATCAAGGTACCAGTTTTATCGTACCCACTATCGCATTTGCAAATTGATAATGAAGTGAAGTGAAGCAAGTGCATGACTTAAGCGAGCGACTCCAAGCGCTGAATATCAATAATGTCTCTGCAACGCCCTCATGGCTACCACTTTTTTCTCTCCAGATAATTCTACATGTGGATCGCTCCGCACCCCTCCTCTAAGCTGAGCTGGAACTCCTTCATGGATACACCCTTACCGGGAGTCCATCCACGGCCAGCGAACAACTGATTGACTCACAGACTTTGCAACAGTAGCTCCCTCCGTCTACGTCAGCAAGCACGTCTTTTTCGAAATATATACCCAAATAACCACTCTCCAGGCTCCAAATGCCATCTTCCATCAGCAATCATCATGCACGTAATAAGCAGGGGAGACCCCCCCTCCCCTTCCCACGCACCAGGCTCTAAACCACCTTCCAAAACCTATCTACCTCCGTTCGAAAACTCCCCATCAAGAATCAAAATGTGTGCACGTTCCTGGGTATCCTCTGCTGCTACTGACAATATATCCATCGTTAGACGCTCGCGAGTTCGCAGCGGCGGAATCAGAGACTGCACCATCCATCTCCTCCTACACCTTCGTTGCCTGGCACCGCAGCGAGAGATATGTATGGGTGGAGCTTGCTACCGCGGCGGGAGGAATTCCCAGGGGAGACGCCGGTAAAATGACGGGGAGGAAACTAAAGGGAGGAAGGAAGAGGGAGGGTCAGAGGGTCAAGAGTCAAGAACAGTTAGGTAGCTGGAATATTCTGAGATGATAAATGATAATAGTAGGAGTTGACCTCACAAATTTTGAGGTCGTTTATTGATGAATGTAGTTTGAGGATAGTGTTTTCGAGGCATGATGAGCTGCCGAGTGGGAGCTTTGGGAATGGCAGTAGGGACACCATTCAAGCAGTTCATTCATTCACACTCCCTTCGCCCCATCCCCCCTTCCCCTGAATCTCATATTTCTTCTCTCTCCGCATCTCCTTCTCCATCTTCCATATTCCATAAAGTCTCCCAGATTGCTCAGAACAAAATCGAAAAATATAAGCGACTTCTTTCACGACCAGCGGCTTATCTAAGAACAACCGACAAGCGACAACATACCCACCCCAAAAGCAACTTTCGAGCCTGCACGAGCCATAGATACAAAAAGCATGTGTGTCTTCACACACTGCGCACACACCAGCTGCGATGAGTTCGTGAGAGCTCCGTGCCACTGGCCAGTACTTTGTATTAGAGAAAGCGCAGTTCGGAGAGAGGATCGTCGTGGCGATGCGCTGTGCAGGAGATGCAGGACGGAGGCTTGGGTTATGGATGATGGGTCAGATGGAGTGGTAGTGCTCGATCGAGCGGGAAGTGAAGACCAGCAGACCCAAGTTCCACACCTGAAGGCACGAACATGGCTGGAACCGGAATTATAGGAATGGTTAGTGTGATGGTGGTAGCCAGCTCCTACATATTCTCTCGCCCTCTGGTGGCGAGAGGATGATATTATGAAAGCTGGGCTTTTTTGAAACGGATCCATAATCACGGTGATGCTTATATGCTCCAACCAATATACCCGGAACATCACATCTGGTCACTTTCGCCTAGTGGGCAGATCTGACACCGGGTGATTTCCGGATTCCCTTTCCACGAATGTACCACGGTACAGGCCTAAGTATTACCCCTCGAGGGTGCCTCAAAAGTGTAGTTTCCACCCTACTCTCGAGGGGTAATACTTACGCCTGGGACGTAGTACCTGCAACTATAACTCCTGATTAACTTCGCTCTGTCTTGTATCGCCAAGTTGTGAGTTTCTTATCCACGAAAGTCCCGCTGACAAAAACCTGATCGACCCTCATCTCGCCGTCGTCGTCATTGCTAAGAGGACTAACAAACACGCCGGATACGATAGAGGCTGCGTAGCAGTAATTGTCCCCGCTGTCTTCGGGCACATTCAGATATCCGACAATCCTTATTTGAAAGTTATCACGCTCTTCCGACACCTCCAATAATTTCGTGCCCGCATGCATGCAGCAGGCCAAAATCAGAAATGAGGAGCCCCATCGGCGGATAATCTTCAATCGATAAACTCCTCCCCCCAAGTAAAGATTAGTTAGCTCCTTTTTATGGCCAATCGAGTAGAGCCGTACACGATCGTCGTAACTCCCAGTAAGGAGAAGCGAGGAGTCATCGCTTACGCTACTGGGCAGCGGGAGAATCGCGGTGACTCCCGCAGTGCAAAACTTATGGGTAGACTTTTCAGAACTGAAAGTATTTCTATCAGTCGCCTCCAGGTCGAACTTGGTCCGGACCAGTTCGGAATTGTCGCCTCCAGAATATACACTGGATGTGATATTGTCTGTATAAAATGCACAGCACCAAGCGTTATCGGGCCCACCCATCAACAAGTGTCTATGGACAGGTTCCCCCTCGTTGATTAGCTCGACAAATTTGGCCTCCAAGTTGTAGCGTATGAGGTAGACGCCGCCGTCGTTAGTGGTTGCTGCAATAAGGGGGCCGAACTTCTCCACCCCTGCGGGAGGCAAAAAAGTGAAAAAAGTGACGATAGTCTGGTCTGAAAAGAGCTGGGCATCGAAGAGAGACACAATTTGAAAAGCTGTAGTTCCTTTGCTTTCCGATTTCTCCACTCGGTAAAATGAGATGCTACCGGTACTCGACACAGCGGCAAAAGTCTGTTTGGCCTCATGGAGAAAATGCAGGTCGTAAATGGCAGATTTACAAGGGAAAAAATCATGTTGAATCCTATACTAAATCAGCTTCAGCTGAGCGAAGAATGATACTCCCACATGGCACCAGTAAACCAGAGCACTTACAGTTGTCCGGATTTCTGCAGTTCAAAGAGACCCAGGCTACCGTTACGCAACTGCTCATGTGGTTCCTCGGAAACTGCTAGAGCTGACTCGACAGACTCCTCAGGCTCCAGTTGATATGTCCCTACCACAAAAAGCCCTTCACAGTCGGGGACGTACTCGATGCAGCTTGGTGGTAAGGGCAGTAGGAATTCGCAGAGCAGTGTTACTGATGAGCTGTGGTCGGCCGGGGCAGCCAGGACGGTCAGGGCTGGCGGCGAGGATATCGTCACCATATTTCAAAGTGCTCAGACAGAACTGGGTGCTTTAGTGACAGTTGATAAGTATGGTTTCGATATATATGTCGACTGGATGTGCGAGATTCTCGAAGAAGTGATTTTTTGTAAAGTGCGTCCGTGCACACAAGCGAGGGGTTGACCTCCCTCGCCAAGAGATATCGCTCCTTCCCCTTTTTCATCCTGTCCACACCATCGAGGTGAGGTCGGACAGCTTCTAATAGACCGTGATATGAATTTAACTAGGCTAATACACGTATTGTTTGGAAACATCTCGTAGGCTTTAGCTCCTCGATCATCGGTACGCGACTCGCACTAGCTCAAGACGCCGCTTGACACTTCGTCTAAGCATCACATCTCAATATCAAAACCACGGAAGTTGCCCACTATGACTGATGCTGGATACTTTTCAGATGAGTCTGACTTCTACGGTATTCTCTGCTATTTCAACTTTCCCTTCCGAGTTCCGACTTGCGATCGACATAGCTGACATAAAGATCAGGTGACGAGACGACGAGAAATGAGCTCGAAGTCAGAGCGATGAACTTCGACGCCGATGAATGGTGGGCGAAGAGGAGGCCGAGCCTGATCGATATTGCGAGGGAGAATACCGAGGCAGCAGCAAAATCCGAGAAGAAGAAAGCGCTGCTGTATAACCCATATGCTGGTTTTCGGTGCGCTCGGCAGCTGGAAGAGAAGGTTGAAAATTTTCTAGAGAGATTGCCGCCTGCTACGACGCCAGTCTCTGAGGATTTCCCATGGGTAGGTGTTCTGACTAATTTTGGGACATTTGAATAACCTCAATTGCCTCAGATCTACATCGCAAACCCATATCACAAGGCAGAGAAGGGCCAAGGCAGACGAAAACTTGCCGATGAGGAGGCTCCATCAACTGGAGACGCAAATTGGGCCGAGTTCGTCCGCGAGGGGACTAGACTCCTGCATCAGTTGACGGACTTGAGACATGAAGTTGAGAAGCAAAATCCCAAGAAAGCGAAATCTACGATCACGACGATGATCAAAGACAGAAAGGATAGTATTGTGGACAAGATATTGGACAAGGCGGAGGAACTCAAGTGTACGAGTGGCAAGGTACGTTCGTTCTCTTGCAATTGTTTCAGAAGACCAGTTAGCGCCGGACATGAGCCTGTGCTTTGCTGCAAACCCAGATTGCCACAGCAGTTTATATGCAGGACAAGCAAGAAGCTGACTCCCACAGTGGATGATATTCTGCGAACCTAAAGACGTCAATCTGTTTTGGGCACGAGTCGCCGAAGACACTGCAAATGCCAATCTCGGAATCGCCGCCAAAGTAACGCCTGACAATGGCCAGGACCGATCCGACCGCCTGATCTGTGTCTACACGAAGGACTTCAACAACGAAGAAGATATCTCTAGGGTTCTCTACAAGCTAAAAGAGCTAGAAGTTGCCGGGAAGGGCAAGCAGATATTTTACAAGTGTGGTAAGCTGTACCTATCGGAGCTATACTTGGTTATCGTTGACCAGCTTCTCAGATGCGTACACCTATCTCGGGCTGACTTCGACCAACGAATATGGAATCAAGGCATCGATGTATGGCTCGAAAGATTTCTTTGATGCGAAGCCAGGCGTCAAGAAAGAGAGAATGCGTAGGAGACTTCTCTACAAGGCAAAGAAGGACTACGGGGGCGTAGCTCGTGTTGACTACGAATAAGCGTGCTATATAGCCTTGCTCCGAGCTTTCCTAAAAAAGGACTCGAACTCGATTTCATAGCATATTGTATGCAGATAAAACATGGGCCAAGACCTGGCATCATTCGTCATAACTCATATCTCGTAAAGCCCTCCCCTCCCATCAATCGACCTGGCCCTCCCTAATCATATCCTGGGTCCTCTTCAGATGCAACACCAGCCTGTATGCACTGCTCCCATTGAGATAGTAACGATGCAGCTTCTTACTCCTGATAAAACCCAGTCTCTCATACAGCTTCATGGCCGGCACATTCGTCTCTTCCGTCTCCAGTACCACCTCGTCCGCACCACGCTCGATCATCGCGTCCAAAGCTTTCTTGACCAGTGTAGTAGCGATGCCGTGGTTGCGGTGGGAGGAGGAGACGGCGAGCATGGCGATATAACCGCGGAAAGTGGGCGGCGAGTGCGCCTGGTGGTTTTCGAGCTTGCAGACTATCACGCCGATGAGAGTGTCGGTCGAGGGTTTGAGGGTCTGCTCTGTTGTCAGGAAAGGAAAATCGATATGGAAGAGGAGGAGAGAAATTTTACCATGAAACACAGATCCCCCCACTGATACAGGAAGTAGCGGTACACATATATACTGTACGGCTCGCTCAAGTCCTTGGAAATGATGGCCCGGATCGAGGGGAGGTATTTCTTTTCCAGAGCGTGCTCGTACTGGATGTATCTCAGCTCTGCCGGCATCTCCACCTCCTTGCCCTCCGGCTTTTCACCCAGAGGTATAGTAATCGCTGCCATTCTTGTTGACGTCGTCGCTGGAGCTGAGGGGAGTGAGAAGGAGCGGGGAGATAGAGAGATAGGAGATAAGTACCGGTAGATGCTTGCAACATGAGCTCCGCAGCTTTAACATGGGCGAGGGCCAGGCAAAAAAAGTCAATACGGCTACCAGCTCCACCGCGCACGGCTTGCCAAGGTCTGATTTACACCAGTCTATAAGTACAGTAGCTCCAAGAGCTAACGTTCTCGTGGGCCAGAACTCGAACTCCACTACGTAAATAAACAGCTCAAGCTCCCGAGTCGAATCCGGCGGTTGTCGGGTTGTCGGAAGGCACATAAGTCACACATGTTGCCTCCCTTGTCTTCTCTTCAACCTCTCTACATCTTACAACCATCACAATGTCCGACCTCCGCAACCGCGGAAAGGGCAAGGAAACAGCCTCGACTCCCCGCGACGACTCTCCCGCCAAAGCCGAAGAGGTGCGCCTCGCTCCCGTCTCGAAGATAACCCACGACGATGCCGAGAGCTCGCACAAACATAAGCAGAAGAAAGACTCTCGCAAGCGCCGCAATGGCTTTATCTTCGTCCTCGGCGGCCTATTCGGGATAGCCGTCGCGGGCTTCTTTGCCGGGCGTTCCGACCTCATCGATTTCCCGGAATTCGGAGAGCTGAGTATGGATAGCTTGATCGATGTGCTGCCCGCGGGCTTCATCAGAGATGCAAAAGAGATTACGAAGGGGGAGAGGGAGGCGGTCAATTATGATAGTTTTTCCGTGGGGCTGAATCTGGTCGCGCAGGGTGTAAAGGCGAAGCATCCCGTCATTATGGTGCCTGGGGTGATAAGCACGGGCTTGGAGAGCTGGGGGACGACGAACAGCTCGAGACAGTATTTCCGGAAGAGGCTTTGGGGGAGTTGGAGCATGATGCGGGCCCTGGTTACGGATAAGGAGGGGTGGAAGAGGCATCTCATGTTGGATAAATACACTGGACTTGACCCTGATGGTGGGATCAAATTGCGAGCAGCACAAGGGTTCGACGCCGCCGACTTTTTCATTACGGGATACTGGATTTGGAGCAAGATTCTGGAGAACTTGGCTACCATTGGATATGATCCGGATAATTCTTTTACGGCGTCTTACGACTGGAGGCTGTCGTATAAGAATTTGGAAGTCAGGGATTCATATTTCACGAGGCTGAAAATGTATGTTGAGTTAGGGCACAAGACATCAGGGAAGAAAGTTGTTCTTGTTTCCCATTCGATGGGTAGTCAGGTTCTGTTCTACTTTTTCCATTGGGTTGCTTCTGCAGAGGGCGGCAATGGAGGGGACGACTGGGTCGATGATCATATTGAGTCTTGGATCAACATAAGCGGGAGTATGTTGGGAGCATTGAAGGACATCCCGGCTGTGCTTTCTGGTGAAATGAAGGATACTGCCCAACTCAACGCTTTTGCCGTTTACGGCTTGGAGAAATTCTTGAGCAGGGAGGAACGCGCGGAGCTATTTAGAGCTATGCCAGGAATCAGCAGTATGTTGCCAATCGGTGGTGATGCTGTTTGGGGCAATATGACTTGGGCACCCGACGACACTCCGGGCCAGAATGTCAGCTACGGGACATTTCTGAATTTCAAGCATTACAACGGATCGAGAGAATATCGTAACCTGACAGTGGAACAGAGTATCTCCTATCTCATGAATAACACGGAGAAATGGTATCAAGACCAAGTCCAAGGGAGCTACTCACGTGGGATAGCGCTCACCACTGCAGAAGTAGAAGAAAACGAGAAAGACCAGAAGAAATGGATTAATCCTCTCGAGACGAGACTCCCACTTGCTCCCAATTTAAAGATCTACTGTTTCTATGGTCAGTCTCCCAATCCCCATTTCCCACCCTCTACTTAAACTTGTAGGGATCGGTAAACCAACCGAACGCTCCTACTTCTATCGCATGGGCAAAAACCCGCACTCAACCCTCAATATTACCATCGACACCAACCTCTCTCATGGGAATATTGATCATGGCGTCATCCTCGGCGAAGGTGACGGTACAGTCCCCTTGCTCTCTACGGGCTATATGTGTAACAAAGGGTGGAGTATCCACCGCTACAATCCCGCGGGCGTGAAAATCAAGGTGTATGAAATGCCGCATGAGCCAGATCGATTCAGCCCGAGAGGTGGTCCGAAAACAGGCGATCACGTCGATATCCTGGGACGACAGAGCTTGAATGATCTGATCCTGAGGGTCGCGGCGGGCAAAGGAGATGAGATTGAGGAGTTCGTGCAGAGCAATATCAAAAAGTACGCCGAGAACGTGAATATTCACGAGGAGAAGGAGTATCTGTGAAGAGCTGGTCGGGCCAGGGCTGACCGTGAAGGGAGAAGGCGTATGCATTATCTCCTAGTGATCAGGTTATTACTGCGAATGATATGTGATAGATAGGTAGATCGGGGGCACATAAGAACTGACGGATCTTATGCGCGAGCCCTGAGACCTGCGAGGGGGATCTTTGCTCACCAACGGAATTTAATGACATAGATGTATATGCCCTAGAGGACCATTTGGGTATAGAAGTGTACGATTTTCTTTATCGATTAAAATCCCACCAACGGATACTCGGGTAGTTCCCTCCCCCCGCTCCCTCCATACCTGCCTTTAAAGGTAAGAAGATGAGCGGAATATCTATAGAAAAAAATATATCTTCGCTTCAAAATCAGCCTATCGAAATCATTCGCGGTCTTCGCTTAACTTTAACGAGGAAAAACTTCATCTTGGCAAAATACCTTCAATATATTCAGCTTCGATTTGAGTACAAAAGTTTAAAAACTAAGCAACGAGGTGAATATGAGATGATGAGTTGCGAAAAAGGGTGTATTTTGGTGTGAAATAACTTATACGCGATTTGATCACACTTGAGACGGGTCATAGGTACTGTATGTTGCCATTGATGATGATGGCCTTTTCGTTGATGCAAATTCGAGAAATCATCGAGGCGTGTAAACTATTGCTGGAAACAGACTCCTGAGTCCTCATAGCGTTTTCATCTGTCTTCAGCTCCCTCACGGCATAGGTTCACTCAGTCATTATTTTGACGACAACGAGTTCGCTTGGATATTTTGACATTTTCTCATCGTCCACTCGAGAGTCCAGAAACACTTTCTAGCACCGGAGTCCGGACGATACTATAGCGAGTTCGCTAGATTACTTTGGTGTGCCAGGTCTCAAAGACGGTAGTTCTTGACGTTGTGGTCGCTTTGATAATCGAAGTCTATGAAGCTAACCGAATCTGCTCAGACGCAATTGCTCGTGGGTCCGAATTTTCCAACATTAATTGCTCGCTCGTCGTGCAATGTAGAAAAGAAAGAGACTTCTATATTTGGCAGATCGAGCTCCAAGCAAGGCTCTCAAACAACTAGCTTGAGCTAGATCTGATTGAGGACCTTGCCTGAGGCCATATGCAAGCTGAGTGAAGCGAAATAAAGCGAAGTGAAGCGAAATAAAGCGAATTGAAGTGAAGTGAAGTGAAGCTCGTAGAATAGTAAGGCTGACAAGCCGGTGGTGAAGTTGTTGAGACGACTGAGGTCTATTTGAGGTTCTAGATGAAGAATAGAGTATGAGTAACTAGACTTAAATTGTGTGCCGGGCCCTGACCAGAGCAATGAGTGTACGTTGTCGAGGCTGCTGTACTCTGGAGACCGAGGGTTTGCGGCAAACCAAGGAAGAATAGGAGCACTTAGCTTTTGGAGAACGTTGCAATATATTATCGTTGACAGAAAGGTAGAGACGAGGTATCGTGAGACCGAACTGAAAAGAAAAGACGACGTTTTGAGACCTGATTGCGAAGTTGTAAGGTCGATAAAAGCTGAGGATTCCTGAATTCCTGAAGAAGGGAAGAGACCTTATAAGAGCCTTTGTTAGCGCCTTGGCGCTATTCCTGCAGTGACTCCAACTCCTCCTCGCCATTAACACCAACATTTTACCATGGTCGATTTTCTTTCTTCAACCTGGCCCAAACCCTTGGATTCTTTTCAGCAATTCATCTCCCGTGACCCTGGCAGGGCTATCATCGCTCGCAACCTCAATCTTCCTACCATAATCCTCTCTATATCCAGAGTCCCTCTCTCCCTCTACACCCGCTAACACACCCCCATTGACTCCGAAGATATCCATTCGACAGTTTTTTGCCGCAACTTCCCATGTAGGCCGGCCTTGTTCTTTCTCTTTGCTCAATAGCTCGCCTGCACCAACAAGCACCATCCCCCCCTTCCACGGTCGCACCTCCAGCTTACCCTGTCGAGGCCGACCAACTTCAACCATATACGTTCCATTCGCCTGTTGACCTTCTTCCGCCTGGGCCGATATCGGATCCCGCAGAAGAATGCCATGCTGGCCTTTCAGTACCCGAAACCTAGGCCGTAGCTGGAACAGCAGATACGGCGACGCGTTGCCTAGCTGTCCACCACCACCATTGAGAGGACGGGAAAAATAAACGCCAATGACAGCAGTCCCCGCCCCCGAGCTTACGGTGCCGGAAAAGAGAACCACGCACTCTTTGCAGTCCCCCGGCACAGTGGGTTGTCCGAGCAGTCTCGATAAGGTCTTGTCCTTATCCCGAGAGGGAATGGGTGTGATTGAAATCTCTTCTGTTGGCTGGGAGATGGTTCGCGCGAACCGTTTCCCGGCGACGATGTGCGGTACGAAGAGCAACAGTGATCTGATTATGGCACCTTTCTCGTCCGGTTGAGGGGGGGTATAGGGCTCGCTCGTGGTAGGTACCCGGGGCTGGAAAATGACTGCCCAGAGTTGGTAGAAGCGTAGGAGAAGGTTAGGCTACGAAAGCATCAGCAATCTGGCAAAGCGTTCTCGATTCGGAAGAAGGTGATGATGACCCAAAAAACATTACCATTAACTCCACTGCTTTGAGAGCCTCATTTGCGGTGAAAGGATCCAGATTCATGTCTTCGACCAAGCCGCCAGCTAGGATCTTACTCAACTCAACACTTGAAGAGCTAGCTTCCAAGATATCTCCGTGGTTATAAAATGCCCCGTTCGACCCCCATTTATTCTCCTTGATGCTCAGCCTCCCCAGCAAGCCGACCAAGGTTTCTATTTCTTCTCTCCGGACCTCCCTACTTCTCACACTCCCCTCGAGGAAGCGCCTTGCGACTGCCTTGAGTTCTTCCGGGGTCGGACCACGATGTACAAATTTCGGGCCTGAGAGAGCCATAGCATCCGCAGCCTCACCCAGCAGCTCCTCCGTTTGCTCAGGAGAGGGACCCGATTTACCGGGTACTCCCAAGCTCCTGAAGAGTCTCCCGTGCCGGGCATTTGCATGATGGGTGGCGTCCTGCCGCCAATGATATTCGGTTCCGCCATCCATTTCCTGCGTGCCAATGAGATCATCGGCCTGAAAAACGAGTAGTACCGCGGCGCGCTTGAACGCCGCGAAGTCGATCTCCGATTCTTGGTGGGGGAACGGATGGTATGCGTAGTGCGAGAAACTCCTCCAGAGAAGCCCGATCTCGAGCTCCGACATCTTGATGTGCGGGCTTGAGGTCACGTACTTTCTGAAGGAGTCTTCGTTCCAATCTGTGGACAGTCAGAGGCTGCTTACAGTGGTGGATGGTTCGTGGAGCAAAGACATTTCGGCCGCGGTGACGCTTCTACACAGTACTTATTAAAGGTTGTCTCTATGAGCTCATGCTCTCTCCACCCTTTCAGCTGCCGCGAGAGGACCTTACTGAAATCGTCGAGGACAGAAGCTAGTACAAGATCAGCAAGCATGGGGTCGTTTTTCTATTGTCCAAACGTACCACGGCTGGCCTCCTCCAGGTACATTTTCACCTTCGCCGGTTGACGTCCTGAAAAAATATCATAGAAGATGTTAGTAAGGCTGGCTAGTGCTGCCAGCATTCCTCCTTGGTTTTGAAGTAATGTTGTTGTATTATTGTTGTTCTGGTTGCTGTAGTAGTAGTAGTAGTACTAGTACTAGTACTAGTTGTTGTTGTTGTTGTTGTTGTATTAAGCGAGTGTATGTATGCATTAACGATGCAGTTCAAATGAGTGGATCCAGCTGATGTGAACGAATGAAGGGGCCAGAGAGAAGCAAAGGGGAGGTAAAAAAAGGCAAATAGCCAAAGACGCGGAGGCGGCAACAAGTACTTATCCCATCTCACTCCGTTGAGTCCAGGCCAGGTCCCAGATAGTATCCAGGGTTCAGATTACCTCAATATCAGTCACGGGCCGGAATGGAAGGAGGCAGAATCCACCCGTGTGAACACCGTATATACAGTTTTACTACGACTTAATTACCAGCCATCTTTCCTTCTCGAAAATAAGCTTTATTGGCAGGGCGGTGAGGGTCCGTAACGTCCTGAAGGCTCACACTCATTGTTGATTTCCAGACGGGGAGCGCCGAGAGCTCTATACACAATAGGGGTAGCCAAGAGGCGAGTCCTGGGAGGGAAATGAGGGTCCACCACACCTTATTGAATAATATTGCAGTTTCCGACTAACCATTTTTTGGTGATTTTTTATACTAATCCACAATATAGCTGCTATCTATCTACCTTGTAATCTATACAGAAAACCTGCAATTATTTCCAGGCGGTGTTTGGCTATCGCGTAGTCTGATTGAATTTTTGATATCCAGGCGTAGCTTAGGGGCCCGTTGGGTAACGCCTCCACGCGCTGTTTCCAAGCCCATCTTCGATTCCTACCCACTTTCAGACCATCCGCGCTTTGGTCTACGATTTTTAGGAGTTGAAACCTTGGATACGAAACCACCGACCGTCTTCTTCTGGTTTATTAAATGAGTGCATGGCAATGGCAAGCCGTACGCGGTGGAGACTGGCAGGAAATGATGACTCAGTATCAAAATGCTCGCTTCCTTCCGTGCAAGTACGACGTTGGATTCTGCTGGCTGAGTCATCTTATTTTTCTCGCTTCTCTACCTCGCTGGGCCCCCACCGCGCACGGCTTTGCCTTGCCTTGCACTCATTTAAACCAGATAATACAGTACATAAAATTATATATCGGAATAGGTAATCATGCGCTCGCTTAAGTGGGCCTCCGTTCATCCTACAACGCTATCGATAATCGTCGGCGCTCGCTTAGGTGGGCCTCTATTCATCCTTTAAGACTGCATTCATCCTTTGAGACTGCATTCATCATTTAAGACTGCATTCATCCTTTCAGACTGCATCCATCCTTTAAAACTGCATTCATCCTTCGAGACTGAGCCGACGATTATTGACTTCTCGATTATCAAGAACACTCATTTCATACCTGACCGAAGGATCGCCCGCATTGACGATTGATTAACTACAACGTCACAGGCGTAAGTGTGGGGGAGGAGTGGTAGATCTCTCTATGAACGAAAGGTATTTCCAAGAACACACATCTCGAAAGGATCACCCAGCAAGTTCTGGGATAGGAATCAATTCCTCCGTAGAACATCTTGCCTCCGAGTTTCCGAGCGACCGGAATCACCAATCGGCACTTACAGAAAGCCTCCGATTTCTAGCTTCATCTTGATTTTACCCCAAACCGGCTTTGTTGCCTGATGAATTGATGATAGAATTGATAATATCTTAAGAGACATCGGCAACGGAATTTCAGTTTTTCCGGGATCGTTCTTCCCAAAAACGTCACCGCAAAGCGTTGTCGTCGTTGGGTCGTCAATGGAAGAGGATCTGCTGACATCACAATGGTCACAGTAGCCTGCACCCAGGTGACTGGTAATGCTCTGCTACAGTATCGGAATCCATGAAGGATAATTATATAAGGTTAGTAGGATCGGTACTTCCACGGTTATTAGCGTCCAAGGTATTTTTAAATTAACGTCAACGCTTATAATAATAAGCATATTTCGCCGCTTGGCCCGGCCATCGGCTCTTGCCATCGAAGCCACATGTGCTCATGAAAAGCGATCAATCCGCTGATGATAAGATGCTCGATTGGTTGGAGTGCGAACCATGATCTTCGATTATCGTCCCCCCCACCCCACACGGTCCCCCAGACAGCCCCCACACCACCCACAAAACCCCACCACAATTATCACTAAAAGCATTCTGTGTTGATCCCGGGTCAGTAAAAGACCACACCCACTACCGATCGAGTTCCAGGTCCCCAGGCCTGCCTTCCTTGCTCTCCTTCAAGGCTGTAAAGGCGACTTGTAGAGGGGAGAGCGCCATTGGCGTCTACAGGTGAGAATTTGGAAGGTACCGTTCGTACGATGCAAGAAATGTAAATTGATAAGTTGATCGAAAGTGAAGCCAAGTCGATGTTGAGATCTTTCCAGAGCTATTGAGTGTTGGACCAGGACTCGAAGTATCCGGTGTTGCGTCCGTCTACCCACACGATTGAGGCCCATCACGCTGCCACGATCCCCACATTCTTCCGTCGCAGGTAGCGTAGTCGGAATCAGCTCAGCGGTGTTTTTTTTTTCCATGCGCAAAACTCAGACGTGGATACCACAGAAACCGAATTCGCTATAGCAGATACTACACTGAGAGGACAGGCTTGTTCGGCAACAGCAGCATACAGGCCATACTCTGCTTCTGCATCGCCTACGTATAGATGAACAGCAATCGGGGCGGAGTGGGCTGAGATACTGATGATTGTGCTGACGCCCAGTTGCGCAGGATGCTAGGGAGTATCTATACACAAAGGTTGCACAGCGCGAGCAAAGATAGAGATGAGTTTCCAAGCTGACGGGCTGTGCTAATGGAATCAGGGTGACTGGATTCTTTCTTGCAGTCTTTGCAGGACTCCAACCTGGCGAGGCCACGGCCACAAAAATAGAAAAGAAAAGATCCAAGCGCAGAGTAAATGGTATATCATCCGGTAGGATCGATAAAACAGTAGCCGCCAGAGAGTGGCGGTGGAGCAAAGTGTAGAATGAAATAGGGGACGTGGTCAAGTACTATTCAACAGTAACTCATAAGGGAATAGCTTCATCTCATCGCATAAAAGTAAATATTGCCTCAATTTCATCTCTCTCTCTCTCGGTGTCAGATATGCCTTTAGGACGAGGGCCCTCCCTAACCGCTGCCCACATTGTTTATTTTCTCGCAATGCTCCGACCTCTGAAAAACGAGAGCCGTGACGTGCACTGCTCAAGACTTTTTCTAAAAAAAGAAAAAGGATCAGGGCCCGTGTTCCTCCTCTATCCGTTTCTGCCGACTTGGGGACTCGTTCTGCAGCCAACCTTCTTTCTCAATGCGATTTCGCATGCGTGGCAGGTACAGATTTTCAAACCACACCTATTCTCGGCGCCCAGTAATGACTGACATCTCTCATGTGGACAGGCCGACCTCGCGCTCAGTTAGACCTTAATGCACAACTGATCGCGGAGCGATGAGCAGCTGGGTTGAGAACTGGAAGCTCAAAGATGCTGCGGGCGCAAACAGAAACAGATGGTAGCGAATTGCTACAGTACTAAGGGGATGGACCCTTGATATAAGCGAGATGCCAATACCGGACAAGCTTTCTCGGGCCATACGGAGGTGTCGGGGGTACTGTAAATTATGGCAGACTGACTGACTGCCTTCATACGACGAACAACGGCGACGAATTTAGGAGGCTTGGGATTATCTAGTTACGCCAAGTCTTTTGATCGAACTGGGCAAGAAAAATGCCCGGGCGCACGCAAGCAGTAATTGCTGCAAAAGGGAAGTTCATTAAATATTAGGTGTCTAATAGTCGTAGTAGATTTAATGATGGGAGAGCCACTCCTGATTTTTCTGCCGATGATTCTGCCGACGGCGGTCTGCCATGATTAACCCCCGGCACCTCCGTATACGGAGTGTTTATGATTAGCATGGAGCTATGGGTCGATCAGGACTAAAGACCCATCACTTATACTTAATCTCAGATAGCAAACTCCATTATCTGAAACTCTTGGACATGATTGCCGACTGGATCGTTCGGGTGATTCGTGAACTTCCATCCCCGAGCTGTGTCTCACGTCGTCGAACGCCTCATCGCGTCCGGAACATCCCTTTGCCATTTTGTACAGCCGGCATGGCGGAGCGAAAAGTATCGCGAGAATAAAATACCAATAACGTCTACCGTTTGAAATGGATATAGGAAGAATGATAGCGCTGACCTGGCACGTAATGTACCAATTTTTCCAGGCCCTGCCGGAGCGGTTGATTCCATCCGCTAGGGAGGTATCCATCCGGTCCTGACGAGCCGTTTCCCGTGCCTTCTTATTGTCTGACTAATATAATATTGCTTTCCTGAATATCATCCTGTAAGAATCTTACATGAACATTGGCTGGGTTCCCTTATATTTCCAACACTGCAAGATTATCAGCCCTTGAGAGTTATAGCATTCGTCAATCGCTATCTTCCTCGTCCGACAAAAACGCAAGTTCCGCTCTGGCTCGAGGCTTTCGAGCTGCAGGCTGTTCATCGCTGTCGTCATCATCGTCCTTCTGCATACTCTTCCCTCTCGTCTCTGCTCCATCTCCGCTCTCCGCATCATCGTCATCACTCGCTTCTCTCAAACTCTTCTTGCGGGCAGCGGATCGACTTCTTCGCCCACTCTCCTTCCCCCATTTGTGTCCCATCTCCGTGACAGCTTCCACGTCCGCCATCAGCTCCCGCGTCTCCTTGATTTCTCTCGCCTTCGCCTCGCTGAATCTTCCATCCATTCCAATTTCCTTCAATGCTTTTGTCAGATGCCTAACCTTTGCCTTGTTGTCGTCACCGTATTGCTTGAGCTCAAACTGCCATATTTTGCTAACGCCGCATTTCTTAAGCTGTGACTGCAAGGTCTTGATCTGGATCTCGTCGGGAGAAAGATCTTTGTGTGCGGCGGCTGCTTTGGGCACTTTTGGGGCCTTTTCCTTGGGGGCCTTAGGCGCTTTTGGTTCTTTCGCCTTCTTCTCTCCCTTCAGTGCACGCAGGCGTTTCGGCTTTGGGGTGGGATCAAGAACGACAGACATCTCTGATTCAGACTCTGCATCTTTATTGGCTTTTGACTCTGGCGTGGTATTTTTGGCCATTGGAGAGGGAGGTTTCTTGAAAGAGTCCTTCTTGGCTGTAGATACTGGCTCCTGGGATGGTATTTCGTCCCCGGACTCCGCATCTGAATCCACCACAGGCTTACCGGACTGTTTCTGTACGGGCCGTTCTGTAGTTACTTTCTTGGATGATGCTGAAGCATCACTATCTTGCTCGTCTTCAGACTCATCACTGTTCGCTACATTTGTTTTGCTCTTCGACTGCCGCTTGACTGGAGCTTTCTTCTTCGGGGTAGCTTTTGTCTTCCTTTTTGGCGCATCGCTTTCATCAGAGCCTTCCACGCTGGCCTCTTCCTCCGACCCGTCAATCTCTAAGCCATCTTCGTCTGACTCGACCTTCGCCGTGCTCTTTGATTGTCTCTTCACCGGTGCCTTTGCTTTGACCTGTGCTTTCGCCTTTGGCCCCTTCTTCTTTGGCGCGTCATGATCGGCAGAATCTTCAAACGAAGACGCCACGCTCTCCTCGGAGGTCAGTTCAGTAAGCTCAGATGTCTCATCCTCAGTCGGTGTATCCTGCTTCTTTTGCCGCTTTGCGGGTCGTGCATTCTTTTCCGAGGAGGCCCTCTTCGCCCCCTTCTTAGCTGGCTCAGACTTCTTCGGCGCAGGCTTCTTCTTCTCTGCTTTCGGCTTTATCACAGTTGGTTCGGGATTCGGCTCTTCTTCGTCGTCTTCTTCCTGTAACGTAGACTATAAGGATACTGTCAGTCCCGTATCGCTTAGAGGTTTGAGCGACTTACCGCATATTCCTTGATTGTCACTTTGGACTTCTCCTTCCAGGTCCCTTGGGAAAGGAATCCGAGTTCGAGTCCCAGGTCTTCTTCGGCTTTGACGCGAGCGGTGCGTACTGTCAAAGTCTCTGGATCAGTAGTATGTATCGCCTTGACCGCTGCCTTGATGCCAGCAACGATTGCCTTTTCGGAGGGTGCCATTGTGACGAATTTCGAGTTAGTTGTTGATGAGGTTGCGACGCTGTGTTGAGTTAGTTGAACGCGTTGAGCAATCGCGTTCGCATAATGACGCGCCAATTCTGATCTTGGCAGTCTTAGATAAAAATGGTAAGGTGGTCTTTTAAGCGAGCCCGAGGGTACCATGTCGTACAGAGTACCGGTAGATGCCCACTCAATCCATCTACAGATTTTCGATCTTTACCTTAAAGGATGCCGTACCCAAAACCATTATGTGTGGCAAAATCTACGAGTCTCAATATCAAGGCAGAATCAAAACCAAGCATTATATTTTTACGCAGTGCGGATTGTATGTAAAACAGTAGAGGGAAGTGTCGCGGCAGATACAATGCAAACAAAGTATCCGAGAAGAATGTCGGCGTGCAACAAAAGATCGTTCCATCCTATACTTCCGTAGTGGCCGAATGTCCTAGAATCACGGGGAAAATTGTGCGATGTGCAACAAAAGAGCGCCAAATGCGAGTTACTATTAATAGAAAACAAGCGATATGCTTACTAGTAGCGGCCTTCGGGGACGGTCTTGAAACGGTCCGAGAAGGGTCGGAGATGGTTTCAGGACGGCTCTTTTGTTTTACGTAAAGACGGACTTTTGTAAATGACGATCTAATCAATTAATACGGTTCCATCTCAGCAATGATTCAACATCATTTAAACCTGTTGATTATAGAATCTGTTTGATGATAGGCACGGATTATGGGTGGCCCGACAGCTATGCTAATCTTTCAAGACCATCTCTTCGAAAGAGCGCCATAAGACGGTCAGAAGACCGTTGAAAAAACCCCTAACTGCATTACAGGTATCGCTTCTGGAGTATTTAATGATAAATCTATTAGTTGTGCACCAATTATGGCTGTATAAATATCGTGAAGTGACGACCCCGCGTTCATTGTGATATGGAATGGCCGATTTGACCAAAACATGAAACGGAGTTATTGTATACGGTCCAGATTTAGGAGTGCACAACTTTCTCAGATTTATGGTCCCGACTCCCAAGGTACAACTACTAGTCTTATTTGCCGACTGCCCACGCTACATGATGAAGATAATGTGCATGTAACCGAAGAAAGCGCGTTGCCCTCCTCAGCAAAGGAGAAACTTCAAAAGATCATGGTCGACTAGAATAGAGAACAGGTATGCATCGGCTCTAGCGATCCAGGGAGAAAGAGAGGCCGGAATCATTTCCATTAAAATTGGCATGCCACCGTCTTTTCCCCAACTCTCCAGCTCCCATCAAAAAGTGTAAAAACTGTGTGCTGGCGGTAAGAATGATTGTCGCAAGGGCCCCGAAGGGTCATCTGGGTCTATTGATAGTTCAGGGTGATAACGTCGGCGGAACTCACATACACGGGTTGCCCCCGTGACCAGGATGCGAAACTTGAGATTCTTCCAGTTTGGGTGCTTCAACGAGCCTCTGGAGATGGTGCGAAGTAAGTGATGGAGCACGCCCAGGAACGTCCTCTCCTCTAACCCAGAGTATGGCGGTAGCAGACTTCCTCCTGCATAGCCGCCGCTTTGCAGACAGTGGCCTTTGCAGCCAAATACGTGATCAATTATGGTCAATGTCTCGAGATCTAGGCGCTGGTGAGCCACTTTCCACACGCGATCGAAGTCGTAGGAATGAATCGCTAAGTGACGGACGTCCATCGGTACGGTAAACGGCATAAACCGACTTTCGTCGAGATCCCATGAGGTTATTGGTACCGTGTCGATGGCAGAGCTAGTTAATACCCGGGCATGCTCCCCAAGACACAAGCTGAATAATTTCAACGCCTCAAATCGAGATTCTCGACATATCTGAAGAAGCAAATTCCAACTCGGTGGTGGTACATGAGGCATGGTCCTGTAGATTTTGCGAGTGAGCTTCGCGATTTTGACCGGCTCCAATTTGACTTGTCCTTGGGGGGGTTTGAGTAGATGCCACTGAGAAGCTGGATGTCAGTACATGAACTTGGGCATTGTCACAATGTTGTTTGGAGCCACGACTTACGATGATAAGGCGAAGTTCGGGAGGAATCTTTCTGAAGAATAACCCATCCTGGACCTTTGCTTTCGGTTCTCCTTCCAGCTTCGCCTCCGGTTCTGCCTCCGGCTCTGTCTCCGGTTCTGCCTCCGGCTCTGTCTCCAGCTCTGTCTCCGGCTCTGTCTCCGGTTCTGCCTCCGGCTCTGCCTCCGGTTCTGTCTCCGGTTCTGCCTGCACTGGTTCGGCTTCCGGAGGCTACGCAACAACCAGTCAATGACACTGAGATGCCAGATGAGCAGACTAATACAGACTGTACTTACTGTTATGAGGCGAGGTTTTTGGCTAGCATCATACGTGCTGCCAGACCTCAAGCTGACCATAGTAGATGCGCAGACAGGTACAAGCAGATAGCGAGACCTTAAACGAGACTGATCTCCTGATTTTGCTGTTGACAGTCAAGCATTTGCATGGCTGGATTTGGGGAGAGGGCCTTGGCATCGGTTTATATAGCACTCGAGATTCTATTCTCCCAATTTCAATTAGCGAGAGAATTCTGGAAGCACTGGTGGGTTGGATCATACAGAAAGCCGATCTTTCACATACAGGAAAGGGAGATTCGCGGTCTTTGGGTGTATCATGAAAGAATGTTGGCGACAACAATCTCAAGAACTAAAAGATTTTAGCTCGGCAATAGTGTCGATAGAGCACTGGAATATGCCCATGAAAGAATGAGCGATAGAAGATAAAAATACACCAATACGGGAAAGACAATCAGAAATTCGTGTAAGGAGATGGGACACGCGGCTCCACGTAAAGGAAGAACGCAAGTATAGGTAGAAAAGATGAATCTGGAGTAAGTCCATTATTTTGTCAGAGTTGATTGGCTACCTGGTACCCACCCAGCCTAGCCTTGATAGAAAGATTCCCTTGGTTTGGCCTATTTCTATGCTGTTGGGCTTCCTTTCCATTCTAGCGATGTTCACTCCAGCCAAGACAAAGTCGAGATATGCCATCTCGGACATTTTTTTGTTGTTGCTCTTTTTGCTCTCAACTTATCATTTTGAAGAAATGATATTCTAACTTGACCCTATGACTGTAGCGCAAGATACTGCCAGCCCATGGCTATCCACTGAACGCATGATGCAGATCGTCAGTGATTTTATCGGCTCGGTAAGTTTGGCGTCCAGTCAAGCCCGGTCCTCTTGATTCTCAGCTCCTACCATCCCCATGGATCGCAAACCAAGTATGTGAATTGAGGGCATGGGAATATTAAGATCTCGAATCTCTCTTGATAGGTCAAAGAAGTGGCCGTGGCCAGGCATTGCGGTCTCGGAGGTATTTGTGGTTGTGTCGTTGGCGAAGTCCAAGATGGATCTCTGTATATGCTCGCTTAGTCTCTGTATGTGGTCGCTTAGTCACGGGGTGTTGGTTAACGCCGCTAGCGTAGCGTGGGGCTAATCGCCAACTCGAAAAAACTCCAGATCACAGAAAAATTCGAGCCTGAGCCATCCGACTTTCAACCCACACCAACACCAACCGCATATTGCGATTTTTCTCCCGAACCCAGGAGGAAATTCGTAATTTAACGTCCAGTATGACCGATATCAATTACCTGCTCCACGAGAGCGCCGTCGGATATGCAATCTTCGAGGTCGTCCACCAAGCCGACACCGTCGGCAACAGATTGAAGGAGGTTCAAGATGCTTCCCAAGACCTCGCAAAGTTCGGAAAAATGGTAAAGCTTGTAAACTTTGCGCCATACAGGTAAGCACGTGCATATTTACTCGTGTGTGTATTGCGGCGCAATTAACAAATATGCAGAGGAGCAGCCGAAGCTCTCGAGAACGTCAATGATGTGTCTGAGGGTGTCCTGTCCGAGTACCTGCGATCGAACCTCGAATTGAACCTCCCAAAGCCGTCCAAGAAGAAGAAGGTTGTGCTCGGTGTGTCGGATAAGAATTTGGCGGGGAGCATCAAGGCCTCCTTCCCCGGTGTCGACTGCGAGACTGGTGAGACTTCCGAGGTAGTCGCTGATCTGCTCCGTGGACTGCGATTCCATGCAGGAAAGCTTCTTAAGGGTCTTCAAGAAGGCGATGTGGAGAGAGCACAGCTTGGTCTGGGTCACGCTTATTCTCGCGCGCGAGTAAAGTTCTCGGTCCAGAAGAACGATAACCACATCATCCAAGCTATTGCGACACTCGACCACCTCGACAAGGCTGTTAATACCTTTTCCATGCGCGTTCGAGAGTGGTACGGCTGGCACTTTCCAGAACTCGTCCGAATCGCTTCCGACAACCACACCTATGCCAAGCTTGCTCTTGCGATTGGCGACAAGAAGACCTTGACCGATGCCTCGCTACACGATCTGGCTGCTATCGTGAACGATGATGGAGACATTGCACAGGCAATTATCGATGCTGCCCGAGTTAGTATGGGTCAAGATATTTCAGATAACGACATGGAGAACGTTTCAGCTTTCGCAAACCGCGTAGTCAAGCTCGCCGAGTACAGGAGATCACTCTTCCAATACTTGACAGACAAGATGGCAGTCGTTGCACCCAATTTAGCTTCGCTGATCGGAGAGGTCGTTGCCGCGCGCCTTATCTCCCATGCCGGTTCGCTAACCAACCTCTCAAAATACCCCGCCTCCACTGTTCAAATTCTCGGTGCTGAGAAGGCTTTATTCAGAGCGCTGAAGACAAAGGGAAACACCCCAAAATACGGATTGATCTACCATTCGAGCTTCATCGGCCGCGCTGGAGCAAAGAACAAGGGTCGTATTTCAAGATTTTTGGCCAACAAGTGCAGTATTGCAAGCAGAATTGATAATTTCTCCGAAGAGCCAACCACAAAGTTCGGCTTGGCACTGAGAAAGCAGGTTGAGGAAAGATTGGATTTCTACGCCACCGGAGCCGCACCTCAAAAGAACGAGGATGTTATGGTACGATTTCCATTGCGGGATTTACAAGGTGCTATCACTAACAAGTAACGCAGAAATCCGCAATGGACGCAGTCCTTGGAGATATCAAGGTAGCCGACCCAAGCGAAGACGCCGAGATGGCAGACATCACCCCCCAAGCCGTCCAAAAGCAAGAGAAAAGGTCGAAGGACAAGAAGGAAAAGTCGAAAGACAAGACATCCAAAAAGGATAAGAAGCGCCGACACAGTGAGGCGAACGGAGACGAGGATGCCGCCGTCGAGAAGAAAAAGAAGAAGAGCAAGCGGGAGTCACTTGCGGCGCAGGAGTAATGGAACCAGTGGACGATTCCGAATTATCATTGTGTAAAGATGGGCTGGCTTTTCTGGCGCTCTGGTGTTAATGCCGGCGTTGATGGATACTCATGCTGCTGCCGCTTGGGGAAAAGAATACCTGTTACTCGCATCTTGGCCTGGCTCGCGTCAGTGTCTTGCTCCCCATATTGCTGTAGGTGACTACCTCCCTTCGGTATCCATGGACCTTGTGCTAGGTAGATATGCAGTGCCAATTACATTTCTGTTACTCTAGTTACTGTACTGTATACTCCAGTACCAGCCTTTGCATGGTAATTGGATCATATGCTAGGAATATGCGACGAGAATACTGCAACTCAAATATTGCCTGCGCTTCTCTCGGTATCTGCAAACGCGCAAAGACTCTTCAGGGATGGATATCTGCGTCCATATTTGCGTTTTATTTGCGATTCGTGCATCACATCCTCCTTCCCGAAAGTCCACAATGATGCCTTAAAACTCCTGCAAGAACGCCGTGCCTTCGCCATGCTAACCGCGCCTTCACGCTCGATTCTGTCGTCTGTTCAAACCCACGTCTACCTATGCTCCTTCACTACCGAACTCCGCTGTCCACTCTTCGCTGCGCTTGATATCCTCTTGCGACACCGTCGGTCTTGAGCCCTTGACTGCCTTGACGAAGTCCTTGAGGAGCAAGGGAGGCTCGAGAAGCTTGTCAGAGTCGACTTGGGTCCAGGACATCTCCATTGCTCCAGCGTCGCCGGGCGAACATGGTGTTAACTTCTCGACGCCGTTGTCCATGGCCTATCTAATGGTTAGTCAAGGTCGGCAAGTGGTGGTACCCATGTGACTTGCCTTTTTGTAATGCGTGGCCATCTGGATCTTCCGCACGGGTTGCATGAGAGCATCCTGGACTGTGATGCTAATGTCACTTCCAGAATACCCTTCACTCAACTCTCCCAATGTCCTGAAGTCGGCGCCGGTAAGCTCGCAGGGTGTGGTTCCCACGCTGAGCTCGAACATCTTTGTCCGTGCCGGCAAGTCTGGTAGGGAGATATGGACACGTCGTTGGAAACGACGACGAATAGCAGCATCGAGTTGCCATGGGATATTCGTTGCGCCGAGCACGAGAACACCCTTGCTGTCACGGCCTACACCGTCCATTTGTACCAGCATTTCTGTTTTGATACGACGAGAGGCTTCGGACTCTCCTTCACCCCGAGGACCACACAGAGCATCCACCTCATCGATGAAGATGATAGAGGGTTTATTCTCCCGGGCCATGGCAAACAGTTGCTTCACTAATCTGCGGCATCTGTCAGCGCCGTTCCCCCAATCCAAGTCTCCAGAACTCACCTTTCACTCTCTCCCATCCACTTGCTGACCAAATCAGAGCTGCTAACACTGAAGAACGTGCTGTTCGCTTCCGTAGCCACAGCTTTCGCCAGGTAACTCTTACCCGTACCAGGAGGGCCGTAAAGCAGAATACCCTTCCACGGCTGTCTCTTGCCCGTAAACAGATGCGGGAACTTGATAGGCAGAATAACAGCCTCCTTCAGCGCCTCCTTCGCCCCCTCAAGACCAGCAACATCCTCCCACTTGATATTCGGCTTGTCCTGCAAAATGGCTCCGGCGAGCGCAGATCTCAGCTTCTTGCTATCAGCGTCGACTTCTTCCTCTCCGTCCTTGCCCTTGCCGCCTCCGCCCGTACTGCTGCCATTTGCGCCCACCATTCCAGGTTTTTTGTGCTTCCCGTCCGCGTCTGCTAGGTGCGCCTTGAGCTTCTCAGCCCGCTCCATGTACTCGCCCGCCTTCGCCCTGATCATCTCCTTGGATTTTGCATTCTTCTCCCATTTCAGTGCCAGCATGAAGAGCTCCAGAGACTGATAGTATAATTGGTATGCCTTGTCGTATTCTGCCGCCGTATCTGCCTCGATGGCCTTTTTGACCACGTCTATGGCGCGCCCGAGGAAGTCGGTGTTCGACATGGTCAAGGTGGGATTTGTAGATTTTTGTGACCGACGATAAGTAGGTATCCAGTGAGAGCGTAGTAGAAACTCGGGCTCTCCAGAGAGGTTGTCAGTGATTAACAGGTCTGTAACTCCTGGATGTGTATTTTGCGGCTCGGACAATCCAGAGAAGGCGAGGGCGGGGAACCGAGCACTTCAGCAGCGCAAGGTGGTCGTTACAGAGACTTGCTCTGTATATTCTTCTTTCGCAAAATCTCCCGAGGGAATTATCTCTCTATCGCTCGAATTGGGAACGTTGCTTCTTCTGTTCTGGCCGCTGTATAGACGCCGGGGGAACAAACACTTGGCATTTATTGCGGAGTGTTTTGACCCCGCGACGGCGCTAGTGGCCAAGCAGATTTTGATACCGGTATATCTTGAATGCTCAACCACGAAGCTCGCTACGGAGACCTGCTACTCTGCATGAAAATATCTGAGGAGATAATTTCACATTTCAATACACTTCTTCAGCTACCTACGATACAAAGATCTCGGGCACCACATACATTGGCATCTCCTCTCGCATAGGCATTTCTGAACCCCACCAAGCGCAACCATGGCGGAAGCACAGCAACAGCTCCAAGCTCTGTCCGACGAGTATCAGAAGCTGCAGCAAGGTACTGCGCCTTCTTCTCGGGGAAAATATGCGTGCTAAGATCTGGGGCCAGATCTACAGAACAGCGTCAATTCGAGGCAAAAGCTAGAGTCGCAACAGCAAGAGAACAAGGCGGTCCAGAAGGTTCGGCGCACCCTTTTCGAAAGGTCGGACACGGAGCTAAGGAATGTAGGAATTTGATGGTCTGGAGGAGGATGCGAACATCTACAAGATGGTCGGCCCGGTGCTGCTGAAGCAAGACAAGACGGAAGCTGTTATGGCAGTCAATAGTCGATTAGAGTTCATTGAGAACGAGATGTAAGATCTGGCGTCCAGGTTTCAAGGCAAAGGAGCTGATGGTATTACAGAAAGAGGATAGAGAAGCAGATTAGCGATACGGAGAGCAAGAGCGATGCTGTGAGGCAACAGGTATGTTAGACATCATTATCAGATAGGGCTGAGGGCTGACGGGAACAGATCATCCAAATACAATCGGAAGGACAGCTACAGGCTGCACAGCCTCAGATTGCTGCATAGATATCATTTGCTTAGGTCTTGGCGTTGAGGAGCTGCATTGCGTGGCGTACGGAATTCAAATGTTCTTAGTTCTCTCCCGATGACGATATATACCCCAGAAGCCGAGCTTGATCCCTCGAATTGCTCATAAACGTTCTCTGAGAGCTTCTCTTCTGCTTCTACGACGGGATGGATACCCTATTTGGTCTAATTAACCCTCTGCCAAAGAGGAAGCGGTCGTCTTGGAGTACCTGCTCCCGTGAGGAAAATAGGCCAATTTTGGCATAAAAGTCCAGTGCACCCCCCAAAAAAAGGAGTATCAGTGCTTGAATTCTGCCATCTTGCGGACGTTGATGCCTCCTTCAACCAGTCTCGCTACTCGCCGTAGTAAGAAGGGCCCATTAAGCGAGAGGGTACAACAGATCGTACAAAAGCGCTCTATTTAGGAATCTATATTCCAACTCTAAGATGAGCAATCTGGACTATTTTTCGCTCAACTGTTGTACAAAATGCCCAGTCTGTACTTTTCTGCCAAACTCCAGTCCCATTACACCACCTGTCGTAAGATCTCCTTCCTCATAAAGACTCCCGGCGTGTACCAAATCTTTCCCATCGTGTCCTCTCCAGTCCACATCTTTTCGACTATCTTGTAGATAAGGCAAGTGCCAACCCTAGGCTCCTCTTTTTCCCGCCCAGCAAATTTCTCCACCCTCTCATCACCGGGGTGTCTAGTAGAGGTACTTAAAAGCCAAAACCGCTGCGAAGAGGCGCTCGCTCGTCGTCGCCATGTTTTCTCTGCTGCATCCATCGCTGCCCGTCCTGTTTGCAGGTCGGATCCGAAAGACCAGAACGAGGAGGGGGTACAATAGCTCACCTGTGCCAGCTCCCGGCAACGCATTGGATATCCAGAAAGGAGCGATAGAATACAGCCCGGGAGCCGGGTCGGTATAGCCAGGCGATTCATACACGCTGTCTGTCTATCTAGACTGATGGGACCGATGGGGATGAATGCTCGCTTCGAGGCTTTAACTGGTTTTTCCCTCCCAAGCCTAGTTGCACTATCAACAAGCGAGCCGCGCCTGCTTCGGGTAGGCGGTAACATGTTTTCTCTATGTGTGACTCGGTGTCCGGATGAGACTTGTTCAGAACCTGTGGAATCGTCAGGCAGGGATCAAACTTATCACGAGAAATGTATGAAGTCGTAAGTGGGGGATAGGAAGACGAACCACCCATTGCAGCGCAATCACTCCTTGTCTCTGGAGTCCTCTGCATCTTTCCGCTGGTCCGGCTTTCCATCCACACTGCTCATACATGCGCTCCACATGCGTCGGCGATTCTGGATCCCACGGGGCCAGCGTTACAGAAGCTCGGGGGCCGGGGGACATGGTTGATTTGGACGAGAGTATCAATAACAGATAATGTCAACTTTCACCGGGAACCAGGGAATATTGGAGGACTCGGCTCCAAGCTCGAGGGTCCTACATGATTTTTATCTGATGGGCGAGCCCAACTCCGCTCAACTCCGACGTAAACCCCTCTCGCAACATTACTCCGTGTCCGAAAGACAGGGTGGCTTACACGACTCGTTCAAATCCGGTGCTGGGCCTCGCTTAACCCACCCTCTCGCAGCCAAAAAAAAAAAAAAAAAAAAAAAAAAAAAAACCAAATGAAAACCGGGCCAAAGAAGGTCGAGAAGGAGACAAGACGGGCTGGCAACAAGAATGCAGAATGAAATGTAGATGTCACAATTACTAATCTCCAAGCCAGGCTTCTGGAAGCCTGCCTACCTATACTGAGCTGGAATATTCCACATCGGCCCGCTCTCGCGGTGATCATCCGCCCGTCTTTCGGGCCCGCCCCGGTCTGGAGCTCCAGCTGCTGGTTCCGTTCGCGTTCTTCTCAGAGCCGAAAAGGTAAGCCGGCCCGGGACCAGATGATGCATACGGAGCCTGGAGGTACCGAACGATGCCCCACACGATGCTAGGGTCTGTACTGCTTTGATATTGAGTGCCTGTTTAGAGAGGTGAAGGCTAGTCTACCCGCTTGCTGCTGCGTGACCTGGGGAGAAGAAAGCCGTACGGAGAAGCGTTCGAGGGACGAGTGGACTGCTCTTGATACCAGGCTTGCGGTGGTGGGTGGGGCGGGGAAGAGGGGGGGGAAGGGGGGGGGGGAAGGGGGAGGAGGGTTGTATATATCACATAAGATCAGAAGCCGTAAATCTCTATCGCGGCATGCAGAAAGACATGTAGTAAAGTGAGTAAGTAACTGATGTGCTGAAGTTTACCGGTACTTGAACTGGTTCGCTTAAAAGCCTAGGCAGAGAAAATCCTACTGTTGAGTTTGTTTGATCAATATGGCGAGTGCGAAGGTTAATTGTGGAAAACCAACTAACAAGATTTGACTTGTGGCCACGATTAAGCCGTATGTGTACATGGTCATGAGAAAGATTTTTGCTGGATCTTACAGAAGCTACCAGCTTTCCCTGTCGCCATCTCCATCATCCCATGGGTCCCAATCTTGAAGTCACACGATGCCATCGCAAGACTTAAGACTATCTCATCATATGAATTGCTCTGGTCTTTGTTTACCTAAGGATTCTTCCACGATTGATACAATTGGACCATTGAAACTCTGGCCTCCGCAAGTACTTTTTATCATTCCGACTGGCACCTAGTGCATAGGCAGCCGCCTTCGCCCATTATAGGTTTCCAAGCCTCAGCCCGACTCGCCTTGCTTCTCTTTGAAATCCAGGGGCGATATATCAACAAAGACTTCATCATCCTTATTGATATCCGTGGTCGATTCAATATTCGTCGTGGCGCCAATGGCCTCTCCCTCTCTGGCCTGCTCCTCTTCCACATCCAGGGGCGATGTATCAATAAAGACTTCATCACCCTTATTGATATTCGTTGTCGATTCAATCTTTATCGTGGCGCCAATGTTCACTCCCTCTCTGACCACTACCGAGTTGTATACACGGCTATGGTTGAACCAGCTGAGCCATGGCAAGACTGATCCGCCAGGTACCGGACCTCCTGCCGGTACCATGTTATTTATGATACGGGCCCTGCTCAATAGTTAGTAAACAAAAGAAAGTTCAGGATTTCTTGGGGGATAAAAGATGTAGGTCATACATCATGGTATTGATGACCCAAGAGTCGAACCGCTCATCGGCGAAGACGTCGATGCCAAGTATCTGTAATGCTTCAGTGGGTCCCACCACCATGCTATTTAGTGTCCAGCCATGCGAAAAATCCGTCTTGTTAAATGGCATCCACTGAGCAACATCTGGATGCAAGAGTGGATGGCCGCCAGCTTGGACACATACTGCCAATACCCTGGCCAACAGTAGTGTAATATACTCATTTAATCCTGCTTCGAAGTGTTCATCAGGGTATCCGCAGGTGACTCTGTCATCCCAGCCGATCAGTGGGCTCAGGTGTGGCTCTTCTCGATTACCTCCCCACGCCCTCTGTGCGCGGTCGACGATTCCTTCAAAGTTCTTCCCACAAAGTATCCTATGGTAAGAAGTTTCTGCGACTTGTTGGCATATCAAGCTGCAGTACCTCTTCTCGGGACAGCATTCCTTGCTGTAGATCTCTTCCCGGGAGATAAGTGATTTGTAGCAATTATAGCACTGTGTTGTTGATTGCTCTAAGGATACGCCGTAAGAATGCGCAGCATTCAAGATTATATGACCAGTTTGGACATCTTTCGTCGCGAACATTCCATAGCTGAGGGTAGTGTTGTTTTGTAATGTGGACCAAGGTAATGTCGACGGCTGGATCTGTAGGCAGTCTGATAGAGTTTCGAGCTGTACGTTTGCCTCGTCGATTACAGCTTGTGTCCGGGTGTTGCTGTATTCTTCGGTGAGCCACTGTGATCCAAGATAAGTTTTTACTCTCACATCATGACGTGGAGCTACTCTACCGGGTAGTTATTCAAATGTATCGCTCCAACTCTGGAAACCCATTTTATCTCCACCCACGGGGTATCCTGGCCCTTCAACATCTCGACGAGTTCTTGGAATAGGCTCAGACTGTCATCGAGTGTTTGGCGGAAGATATCGTTACTGGGATACAATTTGATAGCCTCCTGACAGGTCGTGAAAAGGTCGGCGAAAGATTGCAGAGCATACAATGCCTTTATCATCATATCAAAGCTTTTCAAACTTTAACTCTCCGATCATGGAAAAATGGTGAATCCAAATGAAGGCAAGCATGGCTGGATAGACTTACAGCTTCTCCCGTTCAAACATCAAACTCTGCTCAATACAATTTTGGAGCTCCTCAGCTGTATCCGCCGTTGTAATTTCACAGTGTAGGCCACCCTCCTGGTGCATATGGGCATTAGTCTTGTAACGATTAGATCCGTGAGACTGCGCACTCACCTGAGAACACCTCAGTAGCTCCAGGCTCATGCAAAGACGCGCTCTCTCTCCCAGTTCAGACTCGTAGTCAAACGCGTCTTTGGTCAACATCATGCCCTTGTGAGCGTCGGCGGCGGCAAGCTCAGGGAACCCAAGCAACATCAATACATTAGACCGCACTCTCCACAATCTCACCATGTAAGGGAGAAGTTTGATCATTTTTGTTATCTTAATGAGCTCTGCCCTGTATTCTTCAACCTCCTAATATAACATCAGCTCAGCTCAGTTCAGCTCAGGTTGGCCTGAAGGGAGCGAGCCGACGAATGGTCATACCTCGCGGGATGGCCTCGTCCATAACAGGTCGAATTTGATTGAGGGACTCCAATTCTCGCAATCCCAATATTGATCCATGTTGGAGATAGAAGAGCTTGGTCAGAGTATGTTGTTGAGTTGCAGCGGATGCGTAGATCGAAGTTGGAAGTTCGAACGAAGAGCATCCAACGTCGCTTCTTTCTTTGCATCTTGCGTTAACCGTCGCTCTGACTGACTTTAATCAAATCAAAGTGGATTGGGTGACTTTTCTGTTGATCGCTGTTGCCCCGCGGAGAGTAGAAAACTTATTTATATTTAGATGCCACCCCAAGTGCTAGGCGAGGATGGGAGGACCACTTTGTATATGTAAATAGTCACCGCTCTCTAGTTCTTCTGTACAAGCGAGCTTTTGAGACCCTCACAACCTGACACTAAGTTCCCAACGGAGAGGGCGGCCTTTACGATCTGCTAAATTCACTAAAGGGATAGCTGAATAAATCATTAGTATATTTCCAGCAAGGCATATACCTACTTAGGTGCTTACCGTTCGTTAGTGGGGTCTGATAAGATCGCCGTTCCGTCTTTGACGCCGAACAGGTTGTCGAGGTGATCTCTACAAGAATCCGGGGGACTAAATGAGCTGCTACAACACGCCATATTGGTTCTCTCCTGGGCTTACAGATTTGCTGAAACCATTCTCCGGTTACTACACAATATTCTACAGTCTCAGGTGTGTCCGTACGCATAGCGCCATACCGTTCCATGACTGATCTTTTGAACTTCGCACAGTCAATCGTTTCGCTAACTTGTTCTTGAGTCCCTGCACCCGCAAGCCGTTCTACCGTAAGGTGGATATATGCCTCCTTGCGTTCCTCCGGGGTGAGGACCATCTCTTCCAAGTCGTCTTCAATAAAATTTCGGTGCCTTTTCAATCGGTCCAATTGCATCGCCATTTCATCAAGATTTATCTGCCTGGCTAGGAGAGTCTTCTAGCGCTTCTTCCAGCTGTCTTTAGCTCAACGCTTTTCTTCGGTATGCATACTCCATATATGTTCGCTCCATCAACCAGAATTCGACATCACTTTCTAAGCCTTCGATCTTGGCTTGAACAAACTAAGTCGTAGTGCGTGTGATCTGCGCTCTCGCCCTTGAGCTCACTTTGCGTTCGTCAAGATTTTAGAGGTTGTCCCGTTGGGCAACTGGGAGGAGAGTTGCGCTGAGGGATTCTTGAGGCGTTTTGATAGCGAGCTGAGGTTGAGGTGTTGCAGAGGTTGCTGTGGTTGTTGTGGGAGCAGATCGTCCAAATTTGGGGAGGGCGGGGGGCGTTGACGAAGGAGGCATGATAAAAGAAAATGATAAGTGAAGGCGCTCTTTCCGTAAGTAGTTTTGTGGTCCCATCCCCGGTCACCTAGGTGGGGCCTCAGAGCGGGCCGAGATAATCCCGGCTGATCACCCGCTAAATTTTCCGTAACTCACGTGTTGCTTCGGTTGCCAGGCCCCAGGAACTTGGTCCTGATACGAATACGAGATTGGAAGTTCATGGCCTCGCAACCAACGACCAACGGCTTTGTCAGCCCAGCCCATCCAGCCCAGCCCAGCCCAGCCCAGCCCAGCCCAGCCCAGCCAGTGAAGTGGCCCAGCTCGGTCTCACCCTCTGGCCAGTGTGTATCTGGCGCCTTCGTTCTTTCCGCCATAAGCGTTGTGAGCGCGGTTGATCATGTCCGAGAAATGAATTTCAAAAAACAGCTCCTTGGTCTTGCAGAGATCAGTGGATAATAGCTGAATGAACCATGTTTGCTGCTGTCCTGTCCAAAAAGCAAGCTATCTGCAGACGAGAATCAATAAAAAGGTGAAAATTTTTACCTATACCACACGCTCGGCTTCGAAGGCGAACTGTTATTTCTAGATAAGGTGAGGCTGGCGGCGTTCTGCTTGAATCTGAGAAAAGGGTGCTTACAAGTAGCCGCTGCGATCGGAAATTTGGGTTTACCAAAGTCTTCAAAAGAATGTAACAAACCTTACTGCTATCTGAAAAGCAAACCCAACCGCGTACACATTATTCCAAAACGAAGTCTTGCAAAGTTAAGTGATATCTATCTATGACTGAGACATGAAGAAAAAAAGGACTTATATGAAAGAAGATTATTGTATAACGACGAAGTGATCGAAAGAAGCTTTCTCGATCTGATCTTCATCACAGGGAATAGAAACATACCTACTTTCCAATTCCATGCACCTCGATTGTTGGCGGGTTGAGACCACGAGGTTTTAAACAGGCAGTGAGCGCTATTAGCTATCGACACGCTGTGTGACCCCGCCACCGATGACCCGGGACCCCTCGATTGCTAGATTGGAAATTTCCTGGCCAAATGCACCGTTCCCAGATTGTACGAGTCCAGATAACATCTCCAACCTCAGAAAGAGTGCAAGCTTTCCGGAAGGGATTCCCCCAATTCCGGACCGGACTCCCTCAATCACCGCCCCTCCCACCCCCACCGCTTCTGGAGCGCTTCTTGTTGCTGTGAAGCTTTTTCATCTTTAGGCGTACAGTGTTTTCGGCCTTTTTTCTGCAGAAGAAGGAAATGGTCAGAAAAGTTCTTGACTTTAGATGATTGCGTAATAAGTAGTAGATCGAGGCAGAGCTTCTAGCTTGACAGCAATCAGATCTACTTCTCGGAAGACCTATGGGCTCGAAACTTTGACATGCAGAATTTCTCATCAGCCTAGGATTTGACTTCACGAGCAGTTCTGATCTCAGCCATTCTGTCTTTGACGGCAATTCGTATTCTTTCTAACCTTTCCTTCTGGTAACGACTCATGTCCGCCCGTACCCACCTCTTACGAGGCTTTTCATGAAAGAACCAGGTTTGCTGGTAGAAATGAAGCATAGATAGCCTCCACTAGCAAACCGCGGGGACGAATACAAAGGGATCATGTTTCTTACAATTGCTCAACCTTTCTCCTCTGCTCCGGTGGAGTGATACCAGGTACCCTCTTCTTGTAGATCTGCGTGATCTCCTCGTAAAGCCTGGCATGAGTCTCCTCCTCGTTACTCGTCTGGTTTCGAGCGGTATCGCAATGAATACTGATTGAGTCCGAGGAGGGAACGTAGAATCGACTGCTCCGGAGGCCTTGATGTAGCACCTTCGGAACGTGAAGCTGAAGAGCGTGAAGAGGCCACACCGTCATGGCCTTGGAACTCGTCCTGGACAGTGTTCAGTGATCGAGGGAATGACGCCGTAGATTGGAGCAAGCCCTTACTTGTTGGTTTTTTGGCCGCCAGGCCCTGAGGAGCGCACGAATGTAGTCGTAGCAATCTTGGTAGGCAATGTAGACTTGTTGAACCGCTGGAACCATCCTCGGGCGGCATCGAGGTCGGCGGCTTCACTGCCACCGCCAGAGGAATACGCCCGGCAGCCTTGAAGAGCAATCAGTTGCCCACGAAGCTGGGGGGCAGAGAATGACGGAAAAGCTCGATGGGAAAGCATTGTAAAGAGGCGATTACAGTGTTGATTGCTGTATATTGGTGGCAAGACAAATAATGGGAGAAAGATATGTTTGAGAAAACAATAGGAGCGGAAGCAAAGGCCCTGCGGTCTGGGGCCCTGGCCTGGGGGAGCTTTTAAAGAGAGCCCTGGGCCCTGGGCTCTGGGCTCTGGGCTCTGGACTGCAAATAACTCGACGCCCCAATTAAGAGTCAGCCTACAGCTACAGAAAATATACTCAGCCTGTCACTGATACAGAGCAGTTCCGTTACGGTCACGGGATCCAGGAACAGCATCAGAATTAAGGACGTTCGCAGCTCTCTCGCTTAAGAAGTGGCCTAATCTATTTTAAGATTAGTCCCGACAACCCTGCTCTTCGCTTTTCAGTTCTGGATCTCGCTCGCTCCACCCCCCTCCTTCGTGGCACTTCCATCTCGACGCTGACGGCGCCGACAACCGCAACAACACCAACATTACCACTGCTGCTGCCGCTGCCGCTGCCGCTGCCGCTACAGCATCATCATCATCGAATCGCACTGATCGGTAATGCTCGCTTTTCCTTAGGAAGACCATTTGTCGCCCGCCGACTCCCTTCCAACGGACTACCTACTTTCAAACCGCGACCGATCTACAGATTTTGCGCATTCAGCCTACCCACCCACCTCTGCCCCAAATACCATCTTTCCCCCAAATCACTCACCCCTTGAGCCCTTGATCCCTTGCAACCATCCCCCCATTGCCACCCTCATTGTGTTCTCCTCTTACCCCAAACCGCCGTCGAGCTACTTGCGCTTTGGGGCTCTCTACCGTCCATTTGCTTGCTGCGCCCGTGGTCATTGCATAGAGCATTAATGACACCAGGACCAGAATCAGAGGTTCCTGAGACCCACACGAACCCAATGTCAACAACCTCCCATTTTCCAGTCCACCCTCTGGAGTCTTCAAGTATTTCCGTCTTGCAATATCAACTCGACTCAGTTGTCAATATGACGTCGACACATCTTGATCTTGCCCCTCCTACCCAAGTCGTAGCTGCATCTGCAGACCCCAATTCAGAAGCGCCCATGCCTTCGAAGGTCGATTCTCCGTCGTCTGCACATTCGAGCCTCTTCGACGCATACAAAGAAGGGTCCAACGAGCAAGGCGAGCAGATGGACTACATCGTCGGTCATGGTTCAGATGTCAGTGATGACTATGGGATGGCAATTGATTCTGACGGGGATGAGCACACAGATAGTCGGGATATATCACAGGCAAACAATATGCCAGAGGCAAAGTCTCTGTCTGATCAGATCAATCTACCTCTCACTGCTCCCGTGGACGCCCATTCCGCCAAACCTGTGTCCCAACCCGGCTCCGACGCCGTCCCTACCCCTCCTAGCCCATCCATCCAGACAAATGCTGCCCGACTTCAGACCCTTGAGTCTAATATTGGCAATACATTTCAGATGTCAAACGAGACGACGGATGCCCAAGCCTATTCATATGAGGATGTTTCGAATGGCGGCATTGATATTCAGCAACTCCTGGACAACATCACAGCCAACGCAGAGAAGAATGAACAAACCGCATCTCCCGATACTCCATCCCCATCCTACTTGAACCTATCCTCCAAGCCTACCTCGGGGCTTCCTACCCACTCAAGCCTACCACCACGCCCAAATGTCTCCCAGAAGCGTCCCTATGATGATATGCAGAAATATCATGCCAACACTCCAGGTCTTCCACCAGCAGCTAGCTCGTATAGAAATCCTGCTGCTGCATCTGCTGTTATTGATGCTGGTGCCCCTGGCACGTCTATTGATTCTAGAGGCGGCTTACCTCCCCCTCCAAGCGCCTCCTTCAAACCTCCTCCCCCATCGGCATCTAGCCCCGTTACTTCAGCCTTAAGTTCCCAAGGTAATAGATTGTCTGTCCCAGGACAATCCGTGGAATCTCAAGATGAAGCTGACGGACTAGATGCGAAATGGGGTCCGGATATTCAAAAATTGTATGATCAATTCCTCGAAAACGAACGAATGTATGTGACCGAGGGACTGTGGGATAGGTTTCCAATTGGATCTCGATTATTCATAGGTGAGTAAACATCAGCAATCACTGATGGCGACTAGAAGACCCTTACGTGAAAAACAGGTAATCTTCCAAGTGAAAAGGTCACTAAGCGAGATATTTTCCACGTCTTCCACCCATACGGAAAGATCGCTCAGATATCCATCAAGCAGGCATATGGATTTGTTCAATTTAATGACAGTGGGTCTTGCTATGCAGCACTGGGTCGTGAGCAAGGCGCAGAGGTTAGAGGCAAGAGAATGCGTAAGTCGAAGAACCAAGTATCATGATTACCCAACTGACCTTTCCCCAGACCTGGAAATCTCGAAGCCGCAGAAGAACACCCGCAAAGCAGATACCGGTGCCGTAAGACGATCACGATCCCCGGATTATAACCGTGGAGGTGATCGGGGTGGCCGCAACGGGCAGGGTCGAAATGTTGACCGATATGATGGCCGATCAGCTCCAGCTATGCGTCAAGATGAGTATGGCCGCGCATCGCGCATGCGTGATGACTACCGACCGGCTCGCCCGGCGACACCACCTCGAGGAAATCAACGGGGCCGTGACGAATATGCTCCTCGCCGAGATCCCTACGAGGGCCGCGACAGACGCCGAAGCCGATCGCCGCTATATGGCAACAGAGATGGTGGCAGGGACTCTGGGCGATACAGAGAGCGAAGTCCGAGTCCAAGAGCTAGGGAGGTAACTGAGGACGATGATTTGCAGATTCCTCACAGAGATCCTCGGAATATTCCAGATGTGCAAATAATTCTCGTGGATCAACTTGATCGTGCCTTTGTAGATTGGGTTGAGAGGGAAATTCGAAGCCGAGGATTAAAAGTCGAAACTATGCTCCTCAGCCACCGACTTTCTCTACAGACAGTCATTGGACGACAGGTCATCGAAGGCGTCCTCGCGATCTCTAAATTGGATATGCGATCGCAGGTTGCAAGCAAGATCCCCATCCAGATCTACCATCGCCAGGGCGGGGTAGCTGACGCTGTTCGGTTTGACGAGTATGAGGACGTAGACCCGGTGACTGCCGCTGAGCTTGTCCTCCGAGAGAAACAAAACCAAGCACTGCTCTTGCTTCAGCAACAACAGGCTTACCAGCAACCACAATATCCTCCTGTTCAATCTCCGTACCAAGCACCCTACCAAGCGCAACAGTCTGCTCAAGCAGTTGCTCCCGTCACTGCAGCACAGAACCTCGCCAATGTAGTCGGTCAACTCGACAACGGTACCCTCCAAAAACTCCTTGGCACCCTTCACCCGCCTCAACAAGTCAACGGCGTAGCAGCACAAGCCAACTCTGCTTTGGATCTTGCAAATTTGCTGGGTGGGTACACGCAGCCTCTACAGCCACAGCAGAACTACCAGCCGCCTCCTGCAGATCCATATGCTAGTATTCTGAGCAACCCAGCTCTGGCCTCGCTGCTTGGAAACGGAGCGCCGGCCTCCCAGGTGCAAGCCCAGCAATTGCAACAGGCTCAGCAACCGCAACAACCTCAGCAGTCGGCGCAGCAGGTGCAGAATATCATGGCGCAGCTTGCTAGATTTCGTCAATAGGGGTCGGCTCGGAATCGGTGAGGCGATGGCTCGAGCTTGCCATCAGACTCTCACGAATTTGGTATTTTTTCGGCGAACAGCTACGGCGGGGTGTCAACAGCACACGGGAGCGAAAAAATTGGTGTTACAGGGGCGTTCTTAAAGGTTAGGCGTAGTTTGGGGATAGACAGCCGGGTTGTGCATTTTCTGGTGTTTATTTATCATTGGCAGCGGGTCGTCGTCTACTGTTACACATGGGAAATGGTTCTATGGTACAGGATTCCCCTTTTGAATTTTTCTTTTCCCCCAAACGCCGCATTTATGGAGTCTATGCAATGGTGGTGACGTGCATAGCGTGGTCTTAACCAGGCATTTCTAAAAGCTTGTGAATATTATGTACGCAATACAATACCAAGATGCGTTCATCAAGTGCTGCTTCTTCATGCCATCGAGCCAGTGATTATTTTTGCTGGGTGGGCACATCGCACGATGCGACCAGAGTAAGTGAGGTACATCTACTTATTATATTTGGGCCATACCGACGGTCTGTTCGCAATCAGTTCTCAACAACCAGTCCTCAGAGATGCATGGATTCAAGGAAGTACAAACAAAAGAAGACATGTCTCACCTGGTCAACACCAGTCTCTCCATCGACAGCCTCTCGGCACACTTCAACCACGCCTCCAAATCGCGCCTCAGATCCTCCTCAGGCCTACCCAGCACATCTACGCCCCTGTCTACGCAAGCCATCCTCAGCTCCTCCACGCTCAACTCCTTCAGCGCCGCACGCCCGCCCCGCCGCAACAGCATATCGTCCGTATCCAGATACTCCCTCCGCCTCACCCACTTCCTCCGCAGCACGCCCGTTGGCAGCCCGGGCAGCTTCCCACCCAGAAAGTCCCAGGCGCTGCTACTCAGGCCCAAGCTCCATGAAATGTGCAGCAGCTGCATGCGATTCATTGTCACCGCCTCCCCTCTCTTCTCGACGGGCATCCGGTGGGTGAGGTTGCGGAAGGAGGTCCTCCTCCGCTCCTCCAGCTTCTGCCGGTCAGAGTCGATCTGCTTCGGGATCCGACACGTCCAGGGTACGATGCCGGTGATGGCGAGGACCACCAGCGGGGTGAACTCGCCGCACACGAGCAACACGAGCGCGAACAGCGGCACCCGTCTGAGGTCATGCTTCTCGCGGCACAGGAGCTGGAAGTCGGAGCGGGAGAGGGCGTGGGCCCTCACGGCCGCGGGGATGGAGGAGGCGTGTTTGGCGGCGAGGAGGGCGTAGAGCGGCTTGCAGGCGCGGTGGTTGGCGTAGATGTTCTTTACGCCCGTCTTGTAGAAGCTCAGGTAGCTTTTTCCCAGGGCGAAGAGGTGCGCGGGGAGGCTCTGGTCGGGGGATCGAGTTGGGAGGGTGAGGGGGGCAGGGAGGGTTGAGAGAGGCCCGTTGATGGGGAGGAGCTTGCTGTTTGCTTGTGTCTGGGGGGTTGATGGCGTGGAAGGGCTGGAGAGCTTCGTGGGTTTCGAGGATTTGTAGGAGGCGTGGCGGCGAGAGTGCGTTATGGGCCGGGAGGAATTCGAGAGGATGGATTGAGGCTTGCTTAAATGACAAAGTGTTGGATCGAGCCGCTGGTACAGACTGGCGGTGCGCAGACCGCGCCTTGTGATTGTGTTCATTGCATTAGTCGTAGATGTGTAGAAGAAACGGAGAAGAGAGGAGAAGAGAGGAAAAAGGCAGAGAAGAGAAGGCGACGATGACAAGGAAGTGTAGAATTGTCTGGCTGGACGATTCCAGGTTCATCTTTCTTGGTGACGTTGCTGATACGGAAAGCAGGCGTAGCTGCTCAAGTCTGCAAGTCTGCGAGGTACAGGCGAAATTGAGTTTGATGCCCGAGACGAGGTACCGGTACCAACTCCCTTACGCCGCCGATGTCATGTGCTGAGCACTGTGAAGGGAAAAACATTGTTTTCTTTTCTTACTGAAGTCGGATAACACGCGAAATGAAATCGAAAGCTGGTTGGTTGACTTGTCGATTTCCGAACGATTCTGTGTCTCTCTTTTCCCTGCAAGCTATACATTCATTTACCAGACCCCTGTGACGATCCAAAAGTCTTCTTTATCAGACGAAACCAACCAGAGCATCCCCATTGCATATTTAGAATCGGGCCTCGCTTCGAAGTTCGACAAACGTTACATGACTGACGTCTAACTTGGGATGTTTCGTTGTCAATTGCCGGAGTCAGATCTCACTTTATCAGCTTGAATCGGATAAGGCGATCAGGTCTCTGTTCTGTCGACTTGGGAAGAATCAAGGAGTCGGAAAGAAGGTGCTGATACTAGTAGGTGAAAGCTGAGAGCTATACTCTGTAGACTGTATGAGTAGCCAAGGGGCTAATCCTAGTATAGGAGTAGTGATAAACCCAATCAATATCTCAACAACTTTCGAGGAAAAGGATCTCGTCCGGATCACGGATCATCGTCTAAAGTGTCAACAGTCATCGGGCTTCATCGATCGGGCATAAGCAGGTGTAACTCCCAACCCTGGGTAACATCGGAACGGTACTCGTTCAGCTTCATCTGGAAGACATCTTCAACAATGGGCTGGCCTTATCATATCATCAGCCTCACTGAGTCTCAAGTGCAGGAGCGTCGCGTACTGCTCGACCGTTATGGCGTCTACGCTCAACTCTCGGCTCTCGTTCCCGTTATCTTCTATCAGCTGTACCGTCTCGCTGTCTGGGTCTCTCTTGTGAGACGGAGATCCAAGGACTCTGTTTTGCCCAGTTCCCCCGACTTGAAGGTTCGGAGAGGGGGTACGGAGGGTGTGCTGGTGAGGAAGTGGAGAGCGACGAAGTGGTGGCTTGGAGGAGAGGTTGCGGAAGGATGGGGTTCAAGGGGGCATTGGGTTGCTGGGGGTGCGTGGGCGACTTGGTTGCTGCTCTTATGTGTTAGGGAGACTGGTGAAGGTACGTTTGAGTTCATCATTCGCTTTCTGTGCTTTGCGTCGTTGTAAAGTTTTGGACGGGAATGGCTGGCAAGGTCCATCTCCATCCTTATAGCCACCTTTTTTGGCCCTCCCTCAGCACAGTTGTCTTCTGGAGGAGCAGTTCACATTGAGCGCTTCCATGCTCTGTTTTCGGCCTTTCGGTGCTCATGCTTCTCAAGTAGCTATCTCGCAACTTGTTATCATGTTGCTATACGTCGAGCTGCTCACGAGTCTTGGATAGATGAAAACTGACTCCCGCCGCAAGATTATTTCCATCTCACCAAACGCTTCGGAGTCATAGCCGCATCTCAGCTGCCTCTCCATTACATGCTTTCCATGAAGTCTGTCTACTCCCCCCTAGCACTCGTCTTCCGCGCCTCCCACGAAGAGCTCAACCCTTGGCATCGACTCTCCGGCCGCATCATCTACGGCCTCCTCCTCTGCCACGCAGCATGGTACTTGAACTTCTTCGTCCTGGCTGGCCTCCTCCAGAAACGCCTCGCGGATCCTGTGGTCATGATCGGCATCCTCGGCATCATCATGCTCACCATCCTCTCCTCCACCTCCCTAGAAGCCGTCAGACGGTGGTCCTACCGCGTCTTCTTCGTCACTCACTTGATCATTGGAGTCACTCTCATGCCCCTCCTCTTCTTCCACGCCTCACCCTTACGGATCTACGTCGTTGAAGCCCTAGTACTCTTCATCTTCGACATCGCGTGCCGCAAACTAGACACCATCACTGGTTTCGCTACCATAGCCCAGATCCCCAACACGACACTCATCCAAGTAACCATCCCGGTGCCTCAATCTAAGATTCGAAGATTTGCAGCCGCGCCCGGACAGCACGTTTACCTGCAAATCCCAGCCGAGAGCACGCCCCCAAACACCGGCTCCCCATCCATCCACGACCTATGCTACAACCCCTTCACAATCGCCTCCGTCTCGCCAGCCGACGCAACCATCACCCTCGTCCTCCGCGCCCTCAACGGACCCACCACAACGGCCCTCTCGGCCCTCACCCGCCTCTCCAAAGCCAGACCCCCCCTCAACATCGAAGGCCCCCTCGGCGGCTCCAGACACTTTCCCAACCTCGCGCGGGACTACGACCGGATCCTGCTCGTGGCCGGCGGAGTCGGCGCTACCTTCGCCCTCCCGATCTACGCCTCCGTGAAAGAACAGCTCATCGCCGAAGGGAAATACCCCGACCGCGTATCGCTCACGTGGAGTCTGCGCTCGACGGCCGAGGCGGCCTGGACGGCTGACTATCACCCCGCGTCCTCCTCCTCCTTGCGAGCGCTCGACGACGAGAACATCAGTGTCTTCCTCACGCACGGGCCGTCGCCGCGTGATGGGCGGGAGGAGCTGTTGCCTGTCGACGGGGCCGGCGTTGGTGTTAGTGTTGAGATGGGCGATTTACGGAACCCGAGTGCTGATGCTGATGCTGAGGGGGAGGGGGAGGGGAATACGAAGATGCATTCTGGGCTTGGGCTTGCAGGGAGGGGGAGGCCTGATCTGAGAAGAGTCGTTGATGGCGTTTTCCGGCTGGGCCGGGAGGAGCGGGTTGCGGTTCTGGTGTGTGGGCCGGCGTCGATGGCGAGGGAGGTGAGGGCGCATGTGGGGAGGTGGGTGAAAGGGAGGGGGAGAGACGTTTGGTGGCATGATGAGGGCTTTGGGTGGTGAGTGAGTGAGTGAGTGAGTGAGTGAGTTAGTGCTAGCTTTCTCGGAGCTTTTGAATAGGAGGTGTTTGGTTAGTACCGTAGCGACAGTGAGCATAACAGATAGATAGTAATACCATTCTGGGTTGAGATTTGGGTTCAGAACTTGACATGGCTCGAAAAGCTTTCGGGAAGATAGAAGAAAGTGAGAGTGAAATCGATAACCGTTCTGGATTCTTGACCAGGGCTTGGATACTGATAGAGAGACAGACCAGATACGAAGAGTACTCTCGGCACGGGAAGGAGGGAGACTCCATGTCCGTATCTGACAACAATCAACAATGAAGCGGCCCCGTGAAAGACCGGGCTAGGAAGGAACTGCAGCACCGAAAAAAGACCTTCTGGGGAGGTTTCGCTTCACCATGTATTGTATTTGGCACGGTACTTATTTATACCCCCCCTATTTTTTTTATGATATTTACGTGGATGTGCGTTTCAGCAGCCATACATACGTACCTACAAGCCATCTCTCACTCTCGCCTGTTTGTCACCTAGCCCATCGTTCAGCGAGCGAACTCTCCCGAAATCATACAGCGATCCAAGCCCAAGGTCCGCTCCTATCAGGGAATAGGTATTTGAACGTACCCGCTCCTAAACGCCCGCCCACCAGAAGCAACACCCACATCGCGTTATATCGTATCATAATCCATCCCTACTCTCGGTTCTGCTCCCTTTCATTCGGCCCGCCTCTTTCCGTCTCCTTCTCCGTCTCCCGCACTACTCGCACTCGGCGTCCTCATGCCCCCGTCACCATCTGCGCTTTCAGCCGCATGCTCGTCGTCGTCCCACGCAGTCTCGAGGTTCTCGTCCCAGTTTTCAACTTCCTGATCCAGCGTCTTCGCGCCCGCAACTCCCGCGGCCCCTTCTCTCACAACAACGCCACTGCTCTGCTCCCCGAAGGCCACGCCCAGGCCAACACCCTCGCCCAGCTCCAGATCCTGCTCCTCGGCAGCCGCAAGGCCATACCCCCTCTTCAGCCTCTTGCGCTCCAGCATCCGGACATGGTACCAGGTGCTCAGGGCCAGCGCGGCCAGCGAGCCGACCACGTTGGCGACAATTTTGCGGACGTCGAAGGAGCCGCCGTTGGGCAGCGCACCCTGCAGGAACTCGGAGCCGATGCCCAAGGCGCAGGTGCAGGTCCCGAGCGTGAGGTTGAGGGTGCGGCGGCGGGAGGTGTCGAGGATCCAGTAGAAGGAGGTGGTGAGGATGAAGAGGGTGAGGGCGTGCAGGAGCTTGTCGTTGATGAGGGCGTTGACTTGGAGGGAGGAGAGGCCAGCGTATGCGGCTGTGAGGCAGAGGAAGATGAAGGCACCTGTCGTGGTGGGGTCAGTACAGGTAGGTCGGTCGGTAGGCAGGTAGGTGGATATAGATACAGACCTGCGAAGGGGAGGCGTATCCGCATGTTGGGCGAGGCTTTTGTTTTTCAAGTCCTTGGAGTTGTAGAGTGGTGTGGCATTCCAGTTTGGTCCAGTTGGGTGGGTGAATCCAGAACCCAGAGAGCTTGGTCGTTTGAAGAGCTGATCCGAAGAGGTACTGCCAGCTGTTTCCGTGGCTGCTGCACTCGCAGAGTGGAGGCTATTGGAGAGGAGGTAAAGTAGAGGCGATGGGAATAGGAGAAAATCTGTGAGCTACGATCGAATGAATAACCGGATCTCATTCCTTATGGCTGCAAGGGAGGCAGAGGTAACGAAGTAATGTTCGAGTAGGTAACTTAATACTTCACCTTCCATGCTTCATTCACCCTGGCCAGCCTCGTGGGGCTCAAGCGTCGTTATCTAATCTGATCGACCTACGCGGTACAGCCGCAAGTGCAGCCAGCTCAAGGACAATCATCAACCAAAAAACCTGGACGCACCGCCACGAGAGCAATCATTAAAGCAACCCGATACTGGAAAAAAAAAAAAAAAAAAACCAGATATGAATACTTTTTCGACGGGTTTCTGAATCATATCATTCACGTCCGTCATCTTCGCCTTTCTTGTGTCTTCTACGTTCAGATGCGCTGGCTCCCTCTAGATTCATCAATCGGCTATAGCCAAGTAGGTGGTACCGAGCCCAAGTTCAGCCCCAAGTCACGGTCGGTCACGGTCGACGTCTCTTGACCATCGCCCGCATCCAGCCATCAAAACAACAACCAAATCCATCGTATTTCTGTCCGATCTACGCGCCTCTCATCTCCATCCATGACGCCCGACCGTTCTCGCCCCAGTTGAGGAGAATTACACGCCGTTGTCGATGAGAGAGTCGTGGTTCGCGACCCCCCAACGCATCTTGTCCTTCGCCCAATATCGCGCGGTTCGCGGGGGAAGTCAATCCATGATCAATGTTACCCTCCGCACTCAGCACTTCCAACCTCAGCGCCCACCACAAACCATGGCCGCTCTCCACCTCGCGCCCCAGCATTAAGACTCTGCACCATCGCGACGACACGCCTGCGCGCTCGACTCCCGGCCTCATGACCGACGATGCTACAATGGGGGACTCGGCCGCCGTACATCTCGATGGAGATATCGATGAGCACCGGAGACAGCTGTTCAAAGACCTCTATCTGCGGTCCGAGGCAAAGATAGCTGGCTTGTTTGGCGGCTCGGGCCCCTTGGAGCAGGGCCAGGGAGAGGAGAATGCGGCTGCCGACGCGCAATTGGCCATCGAGGATTCCCATGCCGCGGAACTTGCTACAATCGAGTATGCGCCTAAGAAGGCAGCCCGAACTATCGATGAAGACAACTATGATGATGACGATGACGATGAAGGTGAAGGTGGGCGAGACTCTCCGGCCAAGATCACGAGCGAGAATGCCTTACTGTCCCCCTCGAAATCCGGCAGCTCTCCCGTCTCATCTGGCCTATCTCCCACGAAGCAGCTCAATTCTCACAAGGAAGATGCTGCGGTGGCGGAGCCACAATCGTCTGAGGATGCGCGGAAGCAGCTGGAGGAAGCTAAGAAGGCAAACGAGGAGGCCGTGAAGCGCAGTTTCAACACGCTGTTCTACACTTTGGAAAATGACCGCATGGCTATGCTGGAGCAGCAGAAGCTCGAGGAGTCCGAGAAGCAGATCGATGCAGAGATGCACCACGAAGGAAACAATAACAATGCTCAAGGCGCAAATGGCCAGCAGTATGGGTCCCTGAGCAATGCCAACCTGGGTGCATCGAGTCTAACATTGAAGCATCTCATCAACCGGATCGACCTCAAGCGGCACCAGGTGCAAGCTTCTGATGCCGAACTGCGTTCTCTCATAAATGAAGTCCGCAAGAATAGATCTAAATGGGCAAGCGAGGAGCACGTTAACCAGGAGGAGCTGTACGAAGCCGCAGAGAAGATTCTGGGTGACCTCAAGGCCCGGACGGAGTTTTCTACCCCCTTCCTCACCCGAGTAAACAAGCGAGATGCGCCCGACTACTACAACAGTATGTTCTAATCCCTCTCCGCCATATCAGCTATCTAACAGTACAGTTATCAAACACCCCATGGACCTTGGGACAATGACCAAAAAGCTCAAGACACTATCATACAAATCGAAAGAGGATTTTGTGAAAGATTTGACGTTAATTTGGAATAATTGCCTTGCATATAATGCCAGCCCAGATCACCCGTTACGGATCAGCGCAAACGCCTTGAGGAAGGAGGCAGAGAAATTAATCCCTCTGATACCCGATCTTGCGATCCGGCCCAGAGCAGAAGTGGAAGCCGAGGAACGCCGCAAGCAAAATGGAGATGATGACGCTGGTGAAGACAGCGACGATGAACCCATTATGTCTTCCCGGGGCCGGAAAGCTGGTGTCGGAGCCAAAGGCACTAAGGCCCGGAAGGCTCGAGAAGAGAGCACTCCTGTGGTCGACCAGAAGCCTACCCTTCAGCTCAACGGCCTCCTTGGTAGCATTGGTAACGACGGATCTGATGCTGGGTTTGATGGCAGCCAAAACGGATTTGCGACCCCGCCAATCGGATGCAACACATACACGGGAATCAACGGCATCATGGGCCATGGGAGTCAAGCTGATGGAGATCTTGACGAGCCTTCTATCAATGGAATCTCGCTAGGTCAAGCGCTAGGAGCTGCTGCGGATGATTCCCGAGACGATGAGGAATTCAAAATCTGGAAGCAAGTGACGAAGAAAGATCGAGCACTCGTAGCTAAGGAGAGACATCGACTTTTCCGGGGCGATAGACTCAACCCCGAAGAACCTGCGTTACTTCGATCCAAGGCGGGAATGAGAAGATGGCTTCGGCAGCAAAAGCAAGCGAACGGCAATGATTCACTCCCAGACCCCAACGGAAAGGCAAAAGACGCTCACCAGGGAGTCGAGACTCTGGCGGAGGGAATGGAGGGTGAAGAGGAACTAGTCCTCCCTGATTACTACGATATGCTCTCGGCAATTCCCGATATCAACCCAAAGCTTCAGTGGGTTGAAGATGCTGATGGCCAGCTCGTCGATCCGAATGAAGAATTCTTACGAATGGTCCCGGCTGGATTGTTTCAGGCTCCCAAAAGTGCCTTGTCACAAAGAGTCGAAGGCAACATGCGGCAGATGCAGGAGACGAGAAAGTTGTGCTCGAAGATTGGCGTCATTAAGCAGATGCAATTGCAAGCACAGGTATTGTCCTCCGCCTGGGTGTGGTCTGTGTGCTAAAGATTTCTAGATGTATAACAACCAATTTCCAAAATACGAGCCTGAACCTTTCGTAGAGGCCGATATCGAGCCTCATGTCACATCAGACGACGGACCGATCATGGCAACCTGGGTTTGCAAGGCAGCTATGCAACGATCAGTCGCGAAGCTCTGCTATCATGCTGGTTTTGAGGAATTGCAGCCAAGCGCGCTAGACGTCATTACTGATATTGCAGGAGATTTTTTTGGTAAACTGGTACAGACATTCAATGTCTATCGGGAGGCGCCAAGGATACCTACCATCACCGGATCTTTGGATGCAGGCTCAAAATGGCAGGCGCGCTTCACAGACGAGGAAGTGGTTCTCCACACCCTCAGCGAAAACGGGGCGAATCTTGAAAGCCTAGAAGTCTACGTCAAAGATGATGTGGAGCGCCTCGCAACCAAGCTCGGGGTTGTGCACGACCGCATGAAAGCGCATCTTTCGGACCTCCTACGACCCGCACTGACCGATGGCGGCGCAGATGGATCTGGGGCATTCAAAGATGGGAGCGAGCAGTTCGTTGGAGGCGACTTCGCCGAAGAGCTTGGTGAAGATTTCTTCGGCTTCAAAGCCCTCGGTCTGGACAGCGAGTTTGGGCTGGCGAGTCTTTCGGTGCCTCTACATCTCCTGCACACGAGACTGTACCAGAGTCAGCCAAGCGCTGTTATCCAAAATGCCTCGGCCGATATCTTTGAACCCCTCCAACCTTTGGATCCTGTCACGTTCGAGAATATCCACGACGAGATCGGTCTCGTCAAGCAATGGTTCCTCTCAAAATTGCATGCCAACAAACGCCAGCCACTGACGGAAGACGACGACCTACCCATTAAGCAGAGGCCTACCAAACCTCGCCTTCCTCCTACAGGAAAGATCACCACTCCTCGCAAACGCACGCTGAAAGACCAACCCGGCAATTCCAAGAAAAAGAAGAAGTTGGATCACGGCACAGCTTTGGATCCGGCGATCGGTGCCAAGATGGGCGTCAGCGGCAGCCCGGAAAAGCCAGGCGCGGTCAAGAAGCTGAAGGCACTGCCTAATGGCGGGGCGGTGTCTATGGAGCGCGCGGAGAGCAGTCAGGGCAACATGAGCCAGACGGAGAAGGATGACGTGAGCGCTGTAGGTATGATGAGCCCAGAGAGCATCGAGCGGTGATGAGCAGTTGAAGGAATGTACACCAGAGTAAATTCAATACTGAAAGCGACCTGGGTTCCTGGGGAAGCAAAGGCGGTGTTACGATAGAGAGAGGACCCGCTCACGTTTTTCTCGGCTGGGTGGGTAGGTAGTTGGGAGGGTATAGATACTCGTGGCAACACTCGGTTACGCGAAAACACCGTACAGTACATATGGGAGGCGCGTCTTTTGTTTAGGGGATTGGTGGCTCGGCGTCTTGGGATAGGTGCGGCGGTGGCTGGTGCTTGCATGCATGCATGGTCTTCGGTTTGGGCTGGAATGGGATTGCTTGCGTAGCATAGTCCATTGATGGCTACGTCGATAAGAGAAACGGGTAATACATCCAGTGTTTTTCTTGCTTTTGCTTGCACAGGAGCATGGAAGATGGTGGGCGCATTTTGTGCGAGAGGAGAGGAGGATGGGTGAGAAAGGAAAGCAGAGGGAGATCGATGGGTTGGCTGTATGATGAAAATTGGAGCGAGAATGCTTGGTTGACTGGCTGGTTGGTTGGTCGATGAGCACAGAGGGAGGGAGGTGTGTTGATAGGTATCTAGGTTGGTAGCTAGGTAGACGAGAGAATTTATTTTGATCTGAATTGTTGGTATTCGTGTGTTTAATCGTCGTTGACCTTTAAATATAATTCAAGAGAAATTTGATCCGACTTGCAGGGCAGGTCGGAACCACCAAGGCGGGACTTCCCAACAACCACTCTTGGGAGACTGACAGCATGAAGCTACTCTCCGTAGAACAGCTTAATCTTAATAGCCAGTAAATGTTTCATATATCAAGTATCCTCCCAGTCTCTCTTCGATTCCACTTTTTCTTCGAGATGCCCAACCAACCACAGCTGGAGGACCTTACACGTTCCTCCCTCTATGTTTTTTTTCTGTAGAAGTGGGTATGCCGGGTTCTGTAATTTGATATCTGATGCGCTCTGATAGGTAGTTCTCTTAGAAGCGTGGCAAAGAAGGTTAAAAAAAAATCAAGTCGTGCATGCCACTCGCAGGCCAGCGGACTCGTCTACTGAAGAGAAACGATGACGATAGGTGGTGAACAACGGCAACTTTTCATCATTAACTCAATTAGAATCTGATAACTTGATTAGATTCAAGGTGGAGGTGGGACGTGCAGCAGAGCTCTGGTGATTCTATGAGCACTCTTGCATTTTGGAGTCGTACCTACTTGCTCTCATAAATTAAGAGAGTACTACTTACTGGAGGGGGTTCTAAGCGAGCCAGCCGACAACAACGAAAACATTGGCATTGGCCTTCTCATCTCTGATATTCTTGAAATGCCATATCTGCTGTTTTGAAATCATCCCATCAGAGGTGATGGTTTTCGCAGGTAAGTTCTCATATTGAAAGATCCAAGGCTTGAAGATAAATAACTAACACTATCAAGGGCCATACGAAATTCTCTAAAACATCGCGTATCCGACACCCGCCCTGTGCCGAACCTGAACCAGTAGCTTAACTCAATCTCGATCACAACATTCTCATTCCCGTCACCACTTCCATTCACGCCCGAGATCCCGAGAGACCGCCTTTTCAAAAAGTCAGCGTTCGGGAGTCTAGAGTCGTGTTGTGTTGTACCTACGTACATGGCGAGCTTCACTGCCACGTCCTATCTAGGCGGCAACGGGCCGCTGTCATACCCATGTTGAGCATTCCACCCTGCAGGGGGGTTGTGGTAGTGCGCAACGATCTCTAGCCTTCCACCGATGAGTTCTTCCCTGTATTCTCGGAGGACGGAATGGGATACTGGGAGGGCAGTCGTAGCGCGGTGGGAGCCAGAGCTTGCTCGGGCGCTGGCGCTGCCGATGTAGGTACTAGGCAGTGGTACGAGATGGCTTGGCTGCAAACTTGTGGACGTGCTGCTGCTGGCTTGTGGCTGGCTGTGGGTTTTTGGCTCGTCCTCTTCTCTGGCCCGGTAGGGATTGACGGCGAGGCGGGAGTCGAAGCTTCTTCGGGCTGTGATACTAGAGTCGTAGGTACTGGGCAATGGTTCGGGATTGGCTAGCTGCAATTCTGAGGAAGGACTGGCTTGTGGTTGGTGGAAGCCGCGCTTTCTTGGTAAAAGCATTCTGTAGTCATGGGTACTCGGCGATGCCGCGTGCTTTTTTGGCTGCGAGGCCGAGGAAGTGTTGGGTTGGATGGATTGTAGTTGTTCGCCACTGTCTGGCTCAACCTCTCTGGCCCGGCAGGGATAGACACAATCCGAAGGGCTCTGGTCATTCCCCAAACATGTAGAACACAGGTGGGAGAGATGGATCCATGTTGTTTCGATAGGGTGGGAAAGTGACTCGAGGTGAGTTTTGAGGGACTCGTTGGCTTCTTGGTAGGTTTTATGCGTAAGTGATTTGATGAACATGCTTGAGAGCTGCTCTATAGCGAGAGGACAGAGCATGGGAAGGGTTTGATCTTCGTGGTCACAGATGTGGGTGAACAGTATCTTTTGACACATTTTTGCCTGGTTTGTTGGTTCCTTCTGGAAAGCAGAAATATTGATCGTCGGACAAGTGTAAGGAGCAGAATATGGTCGGGAGGAATTTCAAGTGCTGCTGTGCGAGTATAAATAGAGGTTCGAACAGAGCTGAGAGGATCTTTGAATCATCAGCGTTCCTCGATATTCCAGTTTCCATGCTGCCTTGGCCAAATCTCGACTCACAAAAACCGGATCTGTGCGAATCATCCACCTGCTCCTGAAGAAGGTAACAAAAATCTGCATATTCGTGGAAGATAGAGTAATACCAGACGTAGAACTAGTCAAGGCGTTGCCCTCTTGCAAAAATCTCTATTACTATACATGGAATTTATATACCCAATATTAGGGTTTGCCTCCGGGAGTCAGCCACGATCTCCCACCACCAACCGCCTGCTGAAGCGATGGCCGAGCAAGAAGCTGTCCCAATCCTAAAGTCTAGTAGACAGACAGTGCCTTAAAGCAAGTAGAAACTCTTTACTTCTGTTCGGGATCCGTCATTCAATCTGTTTCATGCGAAAATATTCCCGGCTCTTTCAGAAGAAGCGTGGGAGCTCGAGTACCTTCCTGTTTAAGAACAAAAAGTTGCTCTGGGTATACAGATAAGTCCTGATCACCAACCCTCTGGATCCCGCTTCAAGATGTCAGAGCCCGAAGTTTTAAATTCTGCCACGACTCAGACTCGCGTGAATAATCGCAGCGTGAGCAAACTTCGGGCTCGCTAATACCAGCTGTACTGAGCCTACATATCCATTTACGGCTCACGAGAGGTCTGGTAAGAGCTATGAATATAGCAGACCTACGATTCGTACGATTGTAAGCTACTGAAATACCGAACCTCCTTCAAGGACCCTGACCTGATGTCTTCCGCAGCCCAAAACACAGCAGTCAGTAGACGCGACCAAGCAGTTCTTGGTTTTCCCCCAAGACTTCCAGTTGTTGAGCTTCGCTTGCAAGGTTGGAAATATGTCCTTGGATCTCGGATCGTCCCATTTCGTTATCGTTGCAACCGTGGGCCTCGGGAATGCCTCCTCGGAGGCACGACGGACAGGACCAACGCTCCACCGCCAGTCCTTGTACGTACCCGCCACGAAAGGAGAGAAGGAGGATTCAAGCGCCACGAGCTATGGCGCAACGTCTTGAAAGGACTGATTTCATGCATGAGTGCCTTACTCACGAATCACAGATATCTCGATGTCCGGTGAGTTCGACACGGGTCCTGCTTGAATTTCACAACGCTTCGAGGTCCTGGCTCCTGACGAGAAGCATTTGGCGTGATTCAGGCGAGCCAATGTCAATAACGTCCCTGCCCTGTCGAGGCCGCAGCTCTAATCGTAGTACAGCAACGCGAGAAAGATCGAGCCACAGGGTTCTCTGTATCCCATCATTTCGATACCGTCATATTCCAATTCATCCATACACCATCCAGAGATGAGCAATTCAGACAACGAAGAGTTAGTCGGCGAGTGCCGAGGGAACTCGTTATGGGTACGGCCAGGCTAGATGTATCTCCTACGTGTGCTGCGAGACTCGCTGATACATTTCTCATTTCGTAGGCTTCGAATCCTGCTTTGCCTGCTCTCGAAGTCTCTCACCTCGGGAGTTCCATCTTTTCTCTCGTCTTTCCGACCGAGCTTCGGCTTGACTGCCTGGCATCTATCTCATTGTCCCTGGCTCTCGACTCTTGCAACCTGAAACAAGATACAGCTGCAAAACCGGAGGATATGATTACGTCGTGAAAGTTCCATCTCCCGTCGTCTGACATGTAGATAGACCAAGAGCCCAGGACGGGAGCCACGATGGTGTCCATCACAATGCGAACAGGCTAACCTTTCATCCCTAGCGTCACGCAGAGATATGGAGCATGTGGCAGTGACAATAAAGAGACCATTCTCGAGTTTCCCATCTGGCGATATCACAGCCCTTAAACACCCAATAACTCAAGACTTCGGTCATGCCCAACCAGGCACCGGAATGTCAACAATAGGTACATGATCTCGAACCCTTCCATAACCCGACCCGCGGATCCCAACCTAGCTGGAGGAAGCTCACCCTGAAATTCATGAATCGGGAAGCTGGTGGATAGACAGCCTTACGTTGTTGTCCCGTTGAACCCCTGGTCTCCAATCCCCCTCGTCGTCATGGGTATATATCTTCCCGTGGACTTCCTTCCTACGGTTCGCAGTAGCCCACCGCGCCAACCAGCCACGCGAGTTTAGGAGGCTTGATCTAGGCAAGCAAAGCTGCCTACGGGATGGCAGGATACGACAAACAAAATCTATTCCATGGGATTCAGTCTTAGGAGTACCAACCCTTGCGCTAGGAGCGATCATGACACGGCTTTCATCTATCAATCCACCCATCTATTTATCCAAGCGTAAGGTAAATATTAGGCCTAATTCGCATCTAGAAGTTTGATTCTTACATTTGCACACCTACTAAACAGAAAGGGAGACCGCTTACCTTACTCGACGGGCCTAGCTTAGCCCAGCCTTGCAACCACAATCTCCTACGACAGCCTTCACAGAGTTTGGCACATGATTTTTGGAGAAAATTAAGGGATTTGCAGAGTTTAGACCTGAGTACTAGTGTGAGAGAAGCACAAAACAAGCTTGCCCTCCAGCAAGATCAACTTCCAACAGCGCATCACTTGGTCCATACATGGTTCATGGAACAGGTGCGTGAAAAGAAACCGTTCTGAGTCCTTGATTATTACATGGAGAAAGCCCATGCTGAGTCCTTGATTATTATTTGGAGAAAGCCCATGATGCCTTAAGAAAATTCCACGCGAGCGCAAGAGGAGGAAACCCCAGAGAACCAAAGTACCTTACAAGTACTTCAGCATGGTTCCTCAGCCTCAGCCCGTATCCGATGTATCGGTCGTGATAAATTATTATTTACTGCTTGGCGGCAGCGAGACCGACGGTACCCTTACCGAGATCGTAAATAGAGTACCACTTTCGGAGGAAAGCGTCACCGAGAATGGCCAAAGGTCCTACTGGCTCTGGGAAGTCCTATGGTCATGTTAGTAGCTGGTCAGGAATGGGGGGGGGGACTTTGACTTACCATTCCCATAAAGCTGGAGATGCAAGAGCCTTGAACCTCAAGAATATAGTCGTAAGGAGTGATGGTAAACTCATGACCACTGAGAGTGAAGGACATATCTGGGAGACTGTCACGCTTGGCGCAGTCTACAGTGTATTGTCCATTGTAGCCCTTCTTAGCGCCCATCTCCTTGTTGAGAAGCTCAGCAAGAGTCGATGGGAGAGCAATGAGGGAAGTTCCGGTGTCAAGTATGACACCAGTGTTTTCAAGCTCCGCAGTGGCATCACCAAAAGTGATCGCATCAAGATCGACCTCCCAGTAAGCCTTACGTCTCAATGGGATCTCAGTGATCTTCCCAGTGAAGTGGTCCTTGTTGACACCACCGAAGATAGCCTCAGACTGATCCTCCTCTCCCTTGTCAGTGCTGCCAAGGTAGAAAGCGAAGACTGGCTCATCCAGAAGCTCCTGGTTGACCATGTTGTAAAATGGGGGAGGGATCTTGTTGACAGAAATAGTGTCATATCCTAGACCCAAGATACCGTCGAATCGACCAAAAGCAAAGGCCAGACCCGGCTCCTGTGTAGCCTCAGCAAAGATCTGGTTTTTGATCTTGAGGTCACCAATGCTCATGGTATCTTCGGAAGTGAAACCGCTGAGACTGCCCGAGCCATAGCGGATCTCAAAGGCAGTTCCATTCTTCTTGTATGTAGATGAGGATGACGAATCGTACTTAGTGTGGAGGTAGCAGGCAATGGAACCGCATTGGGATGATGGGACCCAAAGGTTTGAGCTTCCGGTATCGAGGACGACCTTGAAAGTCTGAGGAGGGGTTCCGATGGTGATCTCCGAGAAGTCTATGTTGCGATTAGATAGCTCCCGAGGTTCTTTTGTGAAGGAAACTTACATTGAGCGTTCAGGAAGTTGCTCACGGGGACTGTGTGGTCAGAGCCGTCTTCGTGAACAGAGGTCTCCTTGAACATCTCATCGGCGTGAGATTGGGGTCTGATGCCCATATACTTCTGACCGAGATTCTTGACATGAGCGTCGATGTTGGCAGTGGCAAGCTGCTCGGATAGAGAAACCTTCTTTAATGGAAGCTTGTGAATGCCGGCGCTCGCGGAGCTCAGCAGCGTCGCTGCGGTGACGAGAGCACCCTTCATGGTTTTCGATTTTCGATTTTCGGTTTCGTAGAGGCTATTACTGTGACAGAAAGAGATGAGATAGGCAGAGGATGGGTTGGTGTTATGTGTGTAGAGTAGGCAAGCCGGTGTGATGGATGAATGAAGTGAGAATGAGGGTAAGAAGGGTCGAAGAAGTGGGATGCATGGAGAGATGCGTAGGTAGCTTGGGTTGTTGGTTGTTGGTTGTTTACAGTCACGGACCACCTTGTGACCTTAAATGCTTAAGTAACAAGGGGGCTGGGTGATGACGAAATGCTGTGCCTGACTGCCTGACTGCCTGACTGCCTGACTGCCTGACCTCGGCAAAGAGGGAACGGGACCTCCGATTTGCATGCAGCGATATGATATCCAGGGAAGTAAACAAATACATACAACTACATACACGACAGCAGGAGTTCTAATGAGATGAGTTTTATTGTACAATTGACGAGCCACTCCCTTTCTGACCCTGATCTAGCATCTCCAACAATTTCTCAACCCTTCCATGCAACGGTTTCGCTCGAATAGGCCTTTAGCTCCTTTTCAGTTTCCCAGCATTGAGCCGAGAATTCCAACTCATCATTGTTTATCGTTTTAGTTGGGATGTCCATTTGCAGTATCTTAGGCAATTCTGTGTCGAGTATGTGCGAAGGTAAGAAGTGTGTACTATGAGAAGCGCAATGCTGTTTTCGGGTCCGACTCTATTGCTTGGATGTACGCCTTGCTAGCTTCTTCGTCTCCGGCAATCCTCCCACTTCGATAATTTAGAGACTCGTATGGTGCAACTCGTAGTGCTTGGAAAAGTGATCAATACCTGTAATTGATCCAAACGGCAAATCACCATTCGGGCCCACTATTCGTTGCAGATTGAGATCACTATACATTTTGGTGGTGCATCATATCTCCAACTTACATGCCAAACTGGCTCTACAATCGATGTTCTTAACTATGAAGTGAGCGAGGTTACTGGCACCACGTACTTATTGAATTCAGAACAAGTAATTCATTCCGAGGCAGGCATGAGATACTTAGATCCAGTGGTGCATTTTTAAAGGCCCTTTTTTACTGTGCCTGCCATATGAAAAAGATACTTGTGCCGTATCCAGTATTTTACAATCCTAATTCTGTTGGGTATCTCCATCTCTAGTTCTTCTGTGGTACAAGTCGTACAGTATTTAAAAACTACGGATCCGGCACTCCTTACGAGGACTCACCAAGGGGCGCTCCATCTACCTCGACTCTTGTGTCGCTTCTACTGTACTTGTCAAGCTCGCTATCGTCGGGCCATTGCCAATGCTCGACCTGCGCCACTAACCCAGCGGCTCTCTCCTCAAACTCAGTCCCGTAACAGGATATCCTGGCAGCTACGAGTGTCCGGGTCAACATCTTCGCACCGTTGGCACTTTGCCTATCAATCTCTTCCAATCCCTTCCGGTTCTGAACCATCCAATCCAGCACAGAGATAATCTCATTCAGGTCCCCTACTAGTCCCATACAGCGCACATATATATGCAGTGTGACCGATTGGATATTGTGGAGTAATCTTGGGATCAAGTACGGCGACTCTTCGCTCCGGGACAGCTTGGCAAACTCTTCTTTCAACAACTGAGCGCCTTCGGTCAGGGCTGCCTCATAATCATCGGAGACGACGTCATGCGCCGCCTCGCCGAACTTGAAGAATGAATTGCAAATCAGAATAAACCCGTGAGGATCAAGCTCGAGACCGCACTCGTGGAAGTTACGGAGGGCAATCCTAGTAGAGCTCCATGCAAGTTCGTCGTTCTTTGGTCCGCCAATGTGCTTTCGGGAAACTACAACATTACGGCGGGAAAGTGCTTTGAATAGGCTATACCATGCTGGTCTGGATTTGAGCTGCATTTCCTTGAGTAAACGAGTGGCATGGTATAAAGGATCTCGAAGGCGCGGGAATGGAGACCTTTCAACTTCCTGAATACACCATTTTCTGGGACTGGATGCCACCAACAGAGTTTCAGACTCGGCGATTTCAGCTGTAACAAGGCTGAGTCTATACGTATCCGACCTTTCAGAAAGAGTAAGAACGGCTCGTGGCGCAAACCGGCAAATGAGTTCAATATAAGCACCAAGAGTAGGTCCAGGGACCTTTTTGAGAACATCCGGAGGTTTCTTGGGCAGGATGAATGCATTGCGCCCGCCCGTGAGGTAGTCAAGCGCCTCGCTATTCAAGCCGCTGTCGCGGAGATACTCAACGCCCCTGGCAGGGGTTCGGGCATGCTGAACAAGAAATCTTAGAATCCGACCAGAAGGCACAACCCCCGAAGAAAGCATATGTCGATAGAGAGCTTCACTGGTCGGAGGCTGCATGTGCGACTTGTAGAAGTCGCTCATGTTGTCGTCCGGTACTGGCAAAACCTCCATCCCGTCCCCGGGCACTGCTTCATACCGAGTTTCTCGTCCCTCTCGTGCAAGCTCGAAATTTAGCTTCTTAAACATGGCTAGGTATATATTAGCGTTTGGTGTTCCACCACCATCCCGGAAAGCAGCAAAGGCACGCCACGCCTCTCTGACATCACGTGTCGCTTCGATTCTTGCTGCCCACATACCCGGGTCAAGCGATCGGTCAAGATCGGCATGGGGCTTCCCAGGACGCTCGGCTCGCCATTTAACAACTTTGCGGACTTGTATCGTAGGAGTTCCATCCTGTTCCTGACCCCCTAGGATTTTCATGGCCATGTCAAAAGGAGTCTCCCTGTAGCCGGCCTCATTTGAACGGCTTGCGGCCAGCATGACTTTGCTCAAATCGTCGTCTGGAGACCGTTGAGCGTCCATACCATCTTGCTCGGTTCGCCACGGTGGCCAGCTCCTCAGCCGCAAGGTCGCGACTTTTGACTCCCTGGCTGTCTTTCTCGACGCAGCATGGACACGGATAACAGCTCGGTAGCTGGCTTGGTCTAGTAAGAGAGGCGGATTGTACAGTCCGGCTAGTTCCAGGAGAATTTTCTGCGCAGACCAGTTGTAAGCCATTGAGTCGAGAGGACGGATGGATGCTGGCAGAGCTAAAAGCGGAAGCAGATAGTTGTTGAGCCGACAAATTCGAGCGTGGATCGCGGGATCAAGATTTTCCGGATCTTGGTCTTTTCGAGTTACCAATGAATCTACAAATGCCGATACGATTCGTGCTATACTGACTATTGCAGAAGGCCAAATACGCCGAGCCTGAGACAACAGGCGGCTAATCATGACCGTAAATGCATTTTCTTCCATTTCATTTCCGATATGAGATGCGCATTTTTGAGCTTCAAATTGGTTACTTGTTCCCAGTACATATTTCCAGATGTACAACAAGAGCTTTTTGAGATTCTCCACGTGATAGATTTCTGTACGAAGGACTTGTAAAAGGAGGAATGTTGGATGCTCCGACGCTTTCGAAAGAAACCGGTCGACAATCTCGTCAGAGCGATGCGCGGATAATATCCACGCCCAATGGATAGCATCCTCGATGACAAAGCCACGGCCGTGGAGGTACTCAAGGGCATTCCTTCTAAGCATGTGATCGAGGTCGTCCCAGTCATCCTGGAAATATGAATATCAGCAGGAAACTATAAGCAATGTTCTTATATAAGCCCACCTCAGGCACCGAAGACAGATGCAGTTGATGTATAACAATAGCTGGTAATGAATTGACGGGAGTGGCCAGCTTTATATCATTCCAATATCTCTTCCTCTTCTCATCCCCTTTCAGGTCCAGATACTGAGCCAGAGCGAGTGGAGGGCTGTTAATTCCGTTGCGCCGAGTAAGAGGCCACCGGGGAGTACGCCTGAAAGCAGGCCGGTTCTCAGAGGTGGACTTATTATTGGGGCAGTATCGGGCGCTGTGTTCGGCATCGCCACAGAGGGAGCAATTCCACGCTTGGCCATTGTGCTTCGATCGAATGACAGTGACATTGCCTGGGAGCTTGACAAAGGTAGGGTCAGAGATGTTCAATCAGAGTGGAAAAGGGGCATTGGAGGAAGTCAGCATACGAGCTTGCTTTGAGGAGGGCGTGAAAGATATCTGGCTCGCAGTAAGGGCCTGCCCAGTCTACAGTGCATACGTGATTGCATCCGTTCATGCTGCCCCAAAAAAAACCCAAATCGAAAATGGAGGATGTTCGTTCGGGGCACAGTATTATTCTGCCATGGGCAATGAGTAGGGTTGGTCTGGGCAGTAGAGCCACAGAAGAAGATGGACGAGCTGAGAGCCTCAACGATTTCACAGCGAGGACCTTGATACCTAGGAGCGGATGCCCAATATCCCACGCAAAATTCAGAAAGTTGTATGAAGTGGAATTTATCCTTAGCCCAGGTACGGCAAGGCTGTGCCGAAGAGGGGCCGTGTTGATGACTAAGGCAACTACTAAGACTCCCGCTAAGGCCACTAAGGCAACAAGTGAATTTGGCCTTGGCTTTGCTTCCCATTCCATGCAACTCTACCTACCTCACGGTACGATATTGACTAACGAGAGCCTCACCTTCAACAACCAACAACCGCGGCAGAAATTTGGTTGGGTTGGAAATAATTTCATTCGCCCTTGATTTCTGGTCTCGGATAACGGTCCTCCCCCAGAGATCACACACTGTAGCAGGTACAGACAGACAGACCTACGCTCTCCGCTCGCTCCCTCGCTTGCTCGCCTGCTACCTTTCTGCGATCGCGACCGACCGCGAAAGCAGAAGTCGCTCACAAACAACATCAACATCTACGCCCACGCCCACACCCGCACCCATAGACTCGGCGCAATCCAAACTTCGATAGTCTACCTCACTATGTCTTCCGCAAATGGACTTCTGAGCTCCGCCCTTGCGGCAGGCTCCTCGAATGCCACCCCGCTCCTCTCCGCGAAACGAAAGCGCGACGACGCCCTTGATGGCCAGAATGATACGAACGAAGTTCCCAAATCTATGTCCTCAGGTCTCCAAAAACCATCCGCCGAAGCCTCTAGAGCTCTCATACGCGACCTTATTGATGTTATGAAGGCGTGAGTACACAACTCCTAGCCCCGGTACATTGAACAGCACCGCCATAACCAGCCAAAAATATCTTCCGAATTATTTTTGGTGTTGGATATACTAATCACGTAATAGCGATGATACCACCCCCTCCATCTTGTCACGATCCTTACCAAGTCGGCCCTCGTCGTCTGGACCACAGGCCAAGCGCCAGAAGTCAGAGGAGAACAGCGAGACCTCGACCTCTATTCTCGAACGACACTCCGCGAACACGTATAACAATGTTACCGAAGTACTCAATGATATCGATGCGGCTGTCGCAGACATCATGGACAAGCTCGAACTTCCAGATGGAGCAGCTAGGAACCAGTTTATCCCGGTTTCAGCTACCCACTCTGAGATATCTATGAAGGTCAATGCATTCAAACAACGAGCACATGAACTTATTGCGAGGGAGCTGGTAGCTACAGATAGTGAGGTCAATGATACGGTCAACGGTTCCGCCCGCGGCGCTGCCAGAGCTACCGGAAACAAGATGGTCCTCACACTTTATGGCACCATAACCGCACCCAATCCAAAGCAGCTGTTCTCCAGCCTCCAGATTCCCACTAAAATTAAGGGCGAAGATAGGGCCGTACTTCAGACTCTGCGAGAAGCGGGCCTTCCTAATGGAATTACCGCCACTCAAGTCGTACCCTTTGAAGCCACCGGATTGGCTGAGGACAAGAAGCCCGTCCCAACCCTGGGTGAGCTCTTTCCGACTCCATCTACCGTGCCGGCCCTGCAACCGCCGAAGCCATCAAAAGTTGCAACCACTCGGTCGTCTAATGTCGGATGGTATCAACCATGTGTCACTGAGCCAGTATCGAGAAGCGCAAGCTATTTCAAGCAGGCCATATCGACTGGCCAGTGGCTCGACTACAGTAAAGCCTTTCCTCCGCAGCAAGGTGTGAAGAGAAAACAGCGCGATAGGGCGTTGAGTTTTGGTGGCTCAAAGACTCCCGCTTCTGAGAGCGATTCCGCCGAGTCCGAGGCATTGAAGCTGGAGGCTCTGTTTCGTGGTGCTTATTCGAACTTTGCTCCCGTCAAGGATGATTCCGCTGCAGTTGCACCTACTGGTATCATGAATCGCCTTTGGTGGCAAGAATTGGGTGAGAGAAGCTTCGAAAAAATGGTGGAGAACTGGGACAATAATGAACAGGCCATGACACCAGGTCCAGCTTTGAAGAACTCAGAGGTTGTTGATGATGATGAAGAGTACGCCATGTTCGCAAAGGCCATTGAGGCAATGGGAGATGACCCAATCGATCCAAGCCTGGGCACTTGGGAGGCTGCAGCCGAGAAGTCAGCCGAGGAGAAGGATGTGGACGAAATCATCGAGGGAATTTCAGAGCTACTGGAGACCTTGAACTCTTATCAACGAATCCGACACATGTCATTGAATGCGTCAAATCGACCAGCAGGGCTGCTCTCCGCTCCTGACACTACGGCTCTCGGCACCCCGTCAAAACCTAGCGAATCTGAGCAGGCTACTTATGAGATCCTCAAGTCACAATTGACTCTGATGATCGCCTCCCTGCCTCCATTTGCTGTCGCTAAACTCGACCCCGACCGTCTGGCGGATTTGGCAATCAGCACCAAGATCGAGGTCCAATCGACCAACTACCAAGGTGTCATGGAAGAGGATGAGGCGTCAGCGAGAGCAAAGGCTGCCGCACTGGCTGCAGCCACCGCTGCTTCACGCCCTGCCGTCCCTGCAACCATGCATCGCACTAGTTCCAGCTCACTTTATGGCAACCAATATGCTCCTTCCCCGAGGCCGGTTCCTGCTGCTACCCAGCAATACTACAATTCTCAGACTCCCATTCGACCTCCACCAACCAACATGCAGCGACCACCTGCCACGGCTCCAGTCCCATACCAAATCCAAAAACCTCCGGGAAGTGCGCCGTATCGCCCTGGCGCAGCTTACAATACGCCCACCTACCCGCATCAGGCTCCGAGGCCCGTGCAACAGCAGCAGTATGCACCATCGAACCAGCAGCAGCAATATCAGCCAGCCAACGGCCAAAACTTCAACCAGAACTTCATGCGCGCCTCGAGTCAGAACTACCAATCGCAGATGGCTCAACCAGTCTCGCAGGCTGCTCACATGAACGGGCGATATACCAGCCAACCCCAGGCTACCTATGCTCATCAAACCCATCAAGCTCAGCCCATGTCAAATGGCATGGGCTATCAGTATGCCAACGGTACTAATCTGAACCGTCAGACTTCTCCTCAAAAGATGTACTCCCCTCAACCTCAACATACTCAACTCCAAAATACGCAATCTAGAGTCAGCTACTCTACGCCCACACCGGCTCCTTCAATCGCGCAAAACCGGCAACCGTACATGCAGAATGCAATGGGTCAGGCTCCAATGATGAATGGGTCAGTATCTCAGGCACCTCAGCAACAGTATGTCCCTCAAGCACCATCTGGTTACAGCACATTCATGACTAGAGAACAGCAATCCAGTATGATGGATCGTCAGCGGGCTCAATTAGCACAACAACAGACGCATGCACAACAGGCAGCTAGAATTTCAGCACAAGCCTCGGCAATAGGCTCTCCTCAAAAGGCTAACGGGGTGGCGGCAGGTCTATGATTTCTCATTTTGTATCCAGGCAAACAGGAAGGGAGGGGTGGGAACTTTGATGGTACAAGTGGCGTTTCCGAGAGACAGGATAATTGAGATGTTGCACAGCCTCAAGTGTTGAGTTTTCGGCTGCAGCATCTACAATGGGGCGTTTTGCTTGGCCTTGGGCGGCACTGGGACTGGCGGGCGCCCTGGAGAATACCATGATGAAGGTTTCCGGTCGGAAAGCAAGCGCTTTCATAAATGGATGAATTTGAAATACGTGTGATGTATGTAACATTATTGACTTCCGACTTCCGAACGCCTTCGCAGATAACTACATAACCATTCTGCTGCCATGATATTTGAAAATTTCTCCTTTCTACTCTGTCTTACGGATACATACGTGCTAGCCGGCGCTGTCAGGGACAGAAATCTGAAGACTTCGGTGTCGAGGCAGGCGGGCAAGCTCAAAGGGACTTCCGTACGTCATTTCCCTTGGCAGCTTCAGGAGAACTTCTCGTCTTCTCGACTTTCAGCTCCGAGAGGTTGCAAGCAAACAAACCACATCTGATTATCCTCAACTTTCTTTGACGCTTTCAACAACGGTAAAGAAGGCCGAAATCCCGATACCCACCATCCATCTACCTCCGTAAACTATCATCTCCATCCACTGTCACATCACCCGAAGTCATCCAAACAATCAGTACCCTCTCCAACAATACACACATCGGGATGGCTACTCCAACTCTGATCGACATGCCCGAGCCTCCCTCCAATCCAGAAACTCCCACCGAAGCCCCGTACGTACTTCCCTCCTCTCCTCTCCCATATCCTATGTCCACTAACGCGCAGACAGAGGAACCCCGAACAGCACCACCACCTCCCTCTCCGCCCTCTCCACCACCGCCATTAAAGATGGCCACCGCGGCTCCGCCTTCCCGCACACCTCCCACCGCCACACGCCCTCGAGTAATGAAGCCGAGCGCGAGCGTGCCGACCGCATCTCCTTCCTCGCAGGCCTCGAACGGGTTTCCACCGCGCGCCCAGCGCACCAGAGCAACCTCGGCGCCGGCGCCGGCCCCCCGGCAGGCCAGATCCCGGGCTACTTCGACCAGAATGGTAACCCAGTCTACACGACCAAGATTTCGACGGTAGGCTCGGCGTCAGCGACGGGGTCGGCGGGCGGACGGACCACGACTTGGGCGAGTGGTAGTCAGAAGGGCGGAGAGGAGGACATGATGAGTGTGGATGTTGATGGGAGAGACTCGACGATGGATGAGCGCGAGAGGTATGATGGGAGTGCGCTGGATGAGGACGGAGATGGGATGAGTGATAATGCTAGTCTGGTTGGGTTTGGGGAAGGCGCAGGCAGCACGGTTAGTGGGCCGATTTACACGAGGAGGGATCCGGCGGCCATGAGGGGTTATGCAAATCAGTTGCAGGCGGGTAGTGGAGGAACCCAAGCTGGGGTAGCTGAGGCAGAGAGAATTCTGAGGGAGAGACTTGATGATGGGGAGTCTAGACGGCCACCCCTGGGGAGTCCAGACGAGACGGGACTGGGGAAGTTCTATTTTGAGGAGAAGAAGTAAGAGCAGTGGATGATGGAGCTTACTATGGGTTGGAATTCTTGCGTTTTTGGTCTGGGTTGGGATAGATCCGGCTTCAAATCATAACTGGCCGTATGGATGATTTTCATGATACCATGCGTACGAGATGGGGGATAGGCAATGGAGTCTGCTCTTTCGTACTTCTCGCTCAGGTCACTCTTCTAGAACTCCGTGGCTGCGCAATCTGTATCTTGAATCTTTTGGGCGCTCATTAGGTGACATGTGAAGCTCCAACATCATCTGGTACTTTCCAACAGCTGATCTGAACTCAACTCCGACATCCACCTCACTGCGAAGAGCGACAGACCATGCCATCCCACTGCCGCCCAGTCTCGACTGTGCCTGGCAAGGCCAGAGCCAGGTTTTCATATCAGTAGTATCGCCTCCAATCCCCAACCGAAGCAAGTACGCATCCATCAGCTCCTCACGTTCCCATCTCTACCAGTGCTATCCCCTCATAAAAATACCATCTTCTCGAGAGCACGAATAACGAATGGCAAGTAGTCCCAACTCTCGCTGCCTACAACACCTATCAGAAAAAAATAATAATAGTAATACTTTGAAAAATAAAAGGCCATACCTCTCTCATGACCATCTCCAACAAACCCAAGTCAGGCCGCCCGCCAAGCCCTCACTCACTCCGTCCGTCCCACCAATGAATCGAATAACCCATCCGTCCAAATCTTTTCCTGGGCTCTCTCTTTTTCTCCATCCCCCTCTCCCGTTTACAACTATAACCCCACCTCAAAGTCTTTTACAGATTCGGTGTATACCGGCTAGGTAGCTAGCTTCTGATGACGATCCTGGAAGTTGAAATCACGTATGTCGTGTGGAAGTTAGCAAAGCGACGAACCAACCCATCTGTTGTGGTCGGTCGGTTGGTCGGTCTGCGACTTCCCCCGGCCTATCGACTCGAGAGGATAAATGAACTTGGTGGCGCGTCTTCTGTGTTCTGCGAGGAGGGAGAACGAGCCAAGAAAAAAAAAGAAGGAGAAGAAGAAAAGAGGAGGAGAAGGAAAGAGGAGAAGAACAGAGTTGGGACGGTGGGTTTATATTCCCTAGATCACCGTCTACGTCGCAGTTCTGCGGCTCTCACTCACGCTGGGTCGGGGTGCAGATTCGTACATGTATTAGCTGCTGTGTTTTGCGTGCCGAGGCGTCCGGCTGAATATCTAGATGCTAGCTAGGCCGATGTGATGCGATCGTATGTATGAACTGAAATAGGGCTCGGGCATAAATTACTTTTTCGTAAATCTACGTTCTTTCCGGCCTCTTCGCTGGGATGTATAGTAAGTAGGTAGTTGAGAGAGCTGTAGTAGTCCTGCTTGTCACTTTACGATGTTGGCATGGTTTGAAGAGCAAGTAATGAATGGTATATAGATTAGGCTGGCTCGTAGACTCGGAGCTGGATATCTCGTGCCTGAATTCCACGTTGACTTTGACTTGGGAGATACATATGTGCGTCGGATTTTGGCCGGGGGAGGTGATGGTGATGGAGGTGGTATTGGATAGTTAGGGGGTGTATTTAAGCGAGTAATCCCAGGGAGGTAGGTAAATAAGCTCAACGTCAAGTTCAGATCATTTTTTACAATAGATTTTAAAAAACCTATATCGATTTATCTATGCTCCACATCCGATCTCTCGCACTCGGAATAAACACCTGAGATTTTTCCAGCTCTCACCGCTAGGATTGGGAAGCAGCGAAGCGGTCGTCGGGCTTTCGACGCTAGAGCAAAAGCCTCGTAAAGAAATCCAGTTGGGAAAAAGGAAAACGCGAAGGTAAACTGACATATCAGCAAATCAATCAATCCATCTGGATGTTGATAGTAGTAATACATATATTCTGATATAAGAAAAGCTTTTTCTACAAGAAATGTGAAAAGTACATGCATACGCCTGCGCCGTACGCAAACAGAGGAGGAGGAAAAGAAAAAGAAGACGAAAAAAGTAGGAAATTTTTTTTTTTGAAGAAATGGCAAAACAAACTCCCACCTCGCAGGTGGGAGAAGAAAAGCCTCTGTAATGGGTTTTCATTTTGATCCGGTTCTTTTGTCGTGTGTGGTTTGGTGAATCTAAACCACTCGGCCCCAAATCGTTACAATGTCTTTTTCCCCACACCAGATTGTCCTGAAGGTGGTAACCACTATACCACCTACGCCACTGGATACTGTACCACCCCGGTTTTGTATACTATATTCATAGTGTAAATTTTTAGCCGGCACTTTTTTTTTAGAACTGATCGTGAGTTGATCCGTAACGGCCAACTTGGTACAGGTACAGGTACGAGCCAACTTCCGGCCGGGATCGAGGGACCTAGTTTTTTACTACTACGATTTGACCTTCATGGGTTCTAATATCCTCGTGTATTAGTTTGAATACTCCTCTGCTGTCTAGGCTCACCGTAGGAGGGCCTTTTCGCTTGATACTTGAATTGTGCTGCTCATTCTCCTCAGGGAATATCAGCTCGCCGACATTCGATACATAGAGATACATCGTACAGGTTGATATTATGATTTGACAATACCTCTTGATAAGATCTATGTATCTTTCTAGCACAGGGTTGTCGCAATGTGGTGAAGTGCAGGCTGTACCAAATGAGACTCCGAATGAGTATTTTGTCATTCGAATATTCTTATAAGCAGCCCATCATCCAGATCTGCTTCCAAATCCTGATTTTTAATCAGGTTGGCATCCCGTCTAAGCTTTCTCAATGCCGCAGCCTTGGCCCTTTCCTCCAGACTGTCTGCCACCCTAGCAGCCACCATCTTATTCCCTTCTTCTTCATCCGGGGTATCACTACTCAGGAGACCTTGGACAGACCCCAAGCGATCTCCCGTACTGAAGCCATGTTACCAGATGGATCGATCGAAGGCCCCATAGCACGTCGTCTCGCAATATCATGCAGGCTTAACAACAGCATCGCCTTCAAAGTAAAGTTCGCATCATTGCCCGCCACATGCAAATTTGCGTAAGGGATATAAAGCCTCTCCAGCACATCGCTCAGCGCTGCCTTCCTCAGCCAGCCTATTGGGTTGAAGACCAATTTCCCTGCTAAGTTTTTTGTATCTAGACACCCCGCGATATTTGGATATTCGGCTGGGTCCGAAGCGTCGATACCGATGTCGCGTAGCAGCGCTAATTCGTACCTGAGCGCATGTCCTACGATCAACAAGGTCCTTGAACCATCTTCTCGCAGTATACTTTGCAAGAGATGGGCGGTAGAGTCTTGATTGAAAGATTGGGATTTGTTGAAAAGGAACGTATCCGCTTTTCGATGGTATTTCTGTAGCCAAGGAACGTAATCCGATCAACGATAGTTACGACTGAATATCGTTTTTCTCACATGTTTTCTGGCAATTGAGTGGCCGGGAGGGCAGAGAGCGGATGTCGAATGTCGAGACCCCGATCTCGCGAATCGTCCCTCGATCACGATTGCAGCCCCTTCGTTTCTTTTTTTCGAAATCGATGGATAGCAGGATAGGAGCCGAGTCCCATAACTCTTGATGAATCTCGTCTTTTTCGAGGTTGGGTGTCAGGTTTCTCTGGAAGACAGCAAGCCAGGTGTCGAGGCGGAAAACCTCCGCGCGGTGCCATGTGGTATTCTTCATCGTGGTGGAGAGCTCGGCGCAAGATAAGATGGAATAGACTGAATGTAGAATCCAGCTATTTACATTCCGGAATCGGTATCTTATCCATTAATTCAAGAAGACAGAGTAGTAGTCGTTAGCGCGGGAGCGCGATCAGTCCAGAAACAGGCCTTGACCCTTATTGTGAACTTCGCTTACCAGAGAAACATCCAGAGTACTTGATATTAAACATTTCAAGTTCTCTTCATATCATGCCGACTTTCTTGAAATGAGGCTTGATGTTCCAGTCCGATCAGATTGGCTCGGTGAGACTCGGTCGTAGCTGCCGGGCAAAGCAAGTTTTTCAAATTGGGAAGGTGCTTTTGATCTCGCCGTCACTTCAAAAACGATTACTTTGTAGCAATATTTACGCCAAGGAGGTGCTGTGTTACCACGAAAGACTTGAAGCATATAAAACCCATGTTGCTATAGAGCTTGGCAATTCATGCTAGCCATTTGAAATGAAGACAGAGGGAACAGAAAAAGGAGACATATCGCCAAAGTCTTTCAAGAACCTTTCAATTCTGTTTCTTTTGCTTCATCCTTCAAGATCGATCATTTAAAGGCTGTGCTAAACATTTTAGTTTCAAATGTTCTTTAGAGCACCGCTTTCTTCCCTCGTCGGCCCAAAACTCACCATCGCTGTGTGGCATAAAGACCGCTTTACAAGATGAAATTCATCTTTCAAGAAACTTCTCAGCAGGTGGACGATTACCAATCAAACAAAGTCTTCTTCTCTTTCTTAGACTGGCCATCGGATAATACAAGGATATCAACGGAGAAAGGCGGCAGGACTTCCAACATCCAGCTGAATCGCTGAGGTCGTCCGTCAGCTTAGCCGCACCTTCGACCCTTTCGATCGAAGAGCCATGGCAAACCAGAAGTACGTAAAACCTGTTAAAGCCAACCAGCCAAAGACTAGAAGCGCAGTCGGCAGGCGTGGAAGGGCTTATCTGTCAACAAGTTGGGGAGAAACGATTGAATGCCTTGGAAACGAAAGTCAATCAGCTAGAAAAGAAAACAGGTCGACGAAGATGTGGGCAACTCCGCCGGGCCCCGGCAATTAATTTGACCTGGAATATAGATCTTGTACGGTAGATATGATGTGCTGTGTGTGGTATGTCTGATGGTAGATCTAAATAGATCTTAACTCGCCACCAATGTTCAAATAATATTGTTAATTTTGAAAGGGAATATAGTCAGTCAGCACTGGCTTGAAGCTTTGAGTCTACGAAGCCAGCCCATTCTTCATAGCAAAAGTAGATTAACGAATTCCAGGCTTGTTTGATATGAAATGTAAAGAGACTGGCGCACTTCCAAACAATAATGAAGGCGTTTAGAAGCGCGGAAGTGGGTTCCGCGCTGCCAACAAATCAATATCGCATTGCCGTGAGTCGAGACGGTGGAAGAGAAGAAAGAACGAGCAATTGAAGATAAATAGTCCGTTGCAATCAATAGTAGAACCGTACTGTTTGTTGTTGCTGTTGTTGTTGTTGCTGTTGAACGAGTCTGAGAAGTCCGAGAAACGAATGCATCCAAGGCCGAGGCTCCAGATATTCGGAAACAAAGGGTGTTTGCCGACACTCCCCCGATTCCGCATCTCCAGCCAGCTCTACGGGTTCAGCCGTGGGGAACCCGACCGGGTAAGAAATCTGCCGCTTGTCCTGTATCTTCAATTGATCAGGGGAAAATCCGACTCTCTTCCTTTTCATGTAAATATCTCCAGTTTCGTAAACTGATCCATACTTCCTCCATCAACTAAGATGTCTTCTACAGCGCTTCTCCGGACCGCCAGGGCCTACACCAGGAACAATACAAAGGTGCGGACAAACTGCCATTGCCAATTTCAAGCCATTGACAGTTCTACAGCAATCGCTTCTCCTCGCCCGCACATTCTCCTCTACCTTCCGGCGAAATGAGATCAACAAAGTATTCCCTTCTGCGGCAGAGGCCCTCAAGGACATGAAACCCAATGCCACAGTCCTGTGCGGAGGTTTCGGTCTCTGCGGAGTGCCCGACACCTTGATCAACGAAGTCGTCAACAAGCCCGAGATCACCGGAATCACAGCCGTATCCAACAATGCCGGAACAGATGCTTCGGGATTGGGCAAGCTTTTGAAGACGAAGCAGATCAAGAAGATGATTGCAAGTTACATTGGCGAGAACAAAACCTTTGAGAAAATGTACCTGACCGGCGAAATCGAGCTGGAGCTCACGCCCCAAGGAACACTGGCTGAGCGTTGCGCGTCGGGTGGAAAAGGAATTCCGGCCTTCTACACGCCGGCAGCTTTTGGAACGGTTGTGCAGACTGGAGACCTCCCTCTGCAAAACAACGCTGATGGAACGCCGAAAGTGTACTCATATCCCAAAGATGTCAAGGTGTTTAATGGAAAGCAGTACCTCTTAGAGGAGAGTATCAAGGGCGACTACGCTTTTGTCAAAGCCTGGAAGGCGGACAGGCTTGGGAACTGCCAGTTCAGACTTACGGCTCACAACTTCAACGGTGCTATGGGCCGAAACGCTGCTATGACAATCGTGGAGGCAGAGCATATTGTTGAGCCTGGAGAGATCTCCCCTGAAGCTGTGCATCTTCCAGGTATCTATGTCAAGCGGGTGATCCAATCGACGACTGAGAAAGGCATTGAGAAGTACACTTTCGCGAAAGATCCCAACGAGGAGACCAAGTCTGCGCTTGGCACGGGAGAGACTGCTGCTAAGAGAGAGCGTATCGTCCGCCGAGCGGCCAAGGAGTTCAAGAACGGCATGTACGCCAACCTGGGTATTGGCATGCCTATGCTGGCTCCTGGTTTCGTTGGTCCAGAGGTCGAGGTCCAGCTGCAATCAGAGAATGGTATTCTCGGACTCGGTCCCTACCCAGTGAAGGGCAAAGAAGATGCAGACCTCATCAACGCCGGGAAAGAGACTGTCACTTTGAAGCCTGGAGCTGCTGTATTTGGTAGCGAGGAGTCTTTTGGGATGATCAGAAGTGGTCGTGTCAATCTGACGATCCTTGGAGCTATGCAGGTTAGCGCAAATGGAGACTTGGCCAACTGGATGTTGCCGGGAAAGATAAAGGGATTTGGTGGTGCTATGGACTTGGTCTCCAATCCCGAGAAGACCAAGGTTGTAGTTACAATGGAGCATACTGATAAGAAGGGCAATGCGAAGATTGTCAAGCAATGTGCTTTCCCGTTGACGGGTAAGGCTTGTGTGTCGTTGATCATCACGGAATTGGTAAGTTGTTCTTTCCGAACGCTCGCACAGCTAGAGCTGATGTCGTACAGGGTGTTTTCAACGTCGACTTTTCAACTGGATTGACCTTGATCGAGATTGCTGATGGGGTTACTGTTGACGAGATCAAGAGCAAGACAGAAGCTCCGTTCAAGGTCGCAGAGGACTTGAAGGCAATGTTGTGATTGTATACATTTTATGATCTTGAAGCTCTTGGGCGTTATATAGCATTTTGGGGACTGGGAAGGAAAATTGGATGCATTTTACGACACGTGAATTTGCGAGGTATGATCAATGACTCGGGATTCCTTTCTTTGAGAGTAGAAGGAGTAGAAGCTAGGTAGCTAGCACGTGCCAAAACTGAGTACCCCCCATTGCATCCGGATGGATGAAATGCCAACAACCCCCGATTATGTCCTTTCCTTTCAAGTATCCGAACATCTTTAACCCCCCTTATAGCTTCATCATAAACACCTCAGACGTTCAAAATCGTCCAGTCATGGATACCCCGCGAAACCCAGCGCTCCCACTCCCAACCTTCCACCCCTTTGTCCGTCTGCCTACTGAGCTGCGCTTGAAGATATACGACTGTATGCTGGCTCTATCTCACAACAGCCACAAATCGACTCGGATCCTGAAGATTTCCTTCTCCCCTTCTCGAGGCCAGTACATCTCCAACACGCCCCCGCCAGTCACGCTATGCCTCTGCTCCGAATCGCGTCTCAACACGCTCTCAACACACTCTTACCTCTTGCTGGGCCCCTCACAAGCACCACTACAGACGCCATCCTCCTCGTTCCTAAGCCTCATCCGGCAACCCACGTCCTCAACCGGCATCATCCCAATCCCCATCTCCTACAGTCGAGATATTCTCTACCTGTCGTCCCTCTCACCCCTGATATCAACGCATCTCCACAGGATCCTCTATCACTTCTTCACTTCCCCTTCTCGGCACCTAATCCAGCAACTTGCGATCGATTTCCGCGTCTGGACTGAGCTGTGCGAGAATGGTTTTCTGGGCGCTGTGAGCCGGATGAAAGCGCTGAGAGAGGTGTTTCTCGTGGTAGAGTTTGGTCGGGATTTTGATGGCGCAGTGGGGTTTCTGGAATTGCCCAGCTGGAGGAGGGATCTGAAGTGGGTGGCGGAGGGTGCGGAGAGGGATGTGAGGGATAAAGGACGGGCTTTGGGGAGGCAGGCACAGGGGATGGGGGATGTGAGGGTTAGATGTGTGCTTCTGACGAGGGGTGGAGAGCAAAGTTAGTGAATGAGTGGCCTTTGCAAGAGCCGGGAAGAGCTGCTTAGACTGCGTTGCCTGTATGAAATCCGAATCTACTAATTTGTATAGATGGGCCAAGTCCACCTTTCGCAGGCCTCCATATCCCTCAACTCCTTGCTTGCAACTGAGTATCTTTAAAATGCCGTTTTGATACGCCGCAACGCCGTGCAGAACCAGTAGACGCCAATTACTGATTCCTTCATGACTCTCCCTTTGGTGGGAACTTCGTCGCCTGGACCAAACCGCTGCTCGATACCCGGACCCATTTCAGCGTCGAGAGATATGACCACGAACCCTCCCACCGATCAAGGAAGACCACATTGTTCTCGTCCGTAAGATCGGGCATATCTGGAAGCCGTTAGCTCGTTACTCCTCCCACACAATATCTTCGAACACCGACAGAAACCACCCTCATATTCCTTTTCGTCGGCGGCAATCTTTATTCTCAGCAGATCCTCCCTCGTACTCGCTGGTCGTCCCGGTCGGCGCTCCTTCTTCAACTGGTTGAATTCCTCGTCGTATGAGTGTACGAAACTATGCGCCTGTTAAGAAATGCTGCATCGGTTTTTTTAAGGTCATGGTGGGCCGTACGCTTGGATGAGGTTCTTGATGGTGTCCAACTCCAGTGGCTTTCCATCATTTGCCCGAATCGCTTCTTGGAAGTATGCCGCTCTCTGGACTATCATGTATTAGCATCTGCGTCTGCGGCCGTATATCAACAACATGATTCCGTACTCAGAGGCCTGTCGTTCTTCTTCCGCCCTGATGCTACTTTGGCCAATTTATCGTCTCGCATCTCCGCGCGCTTCAGACGCTGCACATCCCGGGAGTTCTCATGGAGCGCAGTGATGTTCCCCTTCTTCTTCGATATCTTCTTGCGGGTTTTCTCGAGGGATTTCGGCATTGCGAGCGTTGAGAAGTTTGATGGTGTTGGTGTTGGTATTGGTAAAAGATGGAATTGACAACCCAGACTTTTTCTTCTTTTCCTTCTTCTTCTTCTTCTTTTTCATTGATGCTTATCGCACAGTAAACTTTATCACCCCACCAGCGACCACAATTAGGCTCAGCCAATGACATCCTGGCCGCCACCCCTCCCCCCCGTCCGAAGGTTGCCCGGTAAGACAGCCCGGCGCGTGAAATCGAAACGCGCCTGAATGAATTAGTGACCATATTTTGCTTAACGTACCAAGTCCGGATCGGCTTCATCTTGACCTCGACGACCTCGACGACCTCGACCACGACAACTATTCACCCACCACATCGACAACCTAGACCCGTATTCTCACTCTCCCAATCCCCCGAATCCTACGCCCGAAGAAACAAATGCTGTGAGCGTAGCGTTGGTTGCACATCCATGTTTGGCTGGTAGAGGGCTTGCTTGCTAGTGCAGTGTACTCTGTGCTCTCCGAGTATTCATAATGGGCATCAATGGTTTATAGGCCGGTTCCAATCAGTCCAGAACACGTATTGATTGTTTCCAGGCTTGCTTCCCCTACTCAAATCCATACATAAATCATGTAACCTTAAAAAGTTCGAGGGCAAGACCCTGGGCGTCGATGCCTATGGATGGCTACACCGTGGGACAGTGTCTTGTGCAATGGAACTAGCAATGGGCAAGCCAACTCGGAAGTATGTTGACCGATAACCTAGGGACTTGGATATCATTGACACCAAGTAGATTTGTTGATTTCGCAATGCACCGAGTCCGAATGCTGCAACACTTTGGCGTAATTCCCTACATGATATTCGACGGAGACTACCTTCCAAGTAAGGCCGCGACGGAAGCAGATAGATCGAAGAGACGAGAAGAGAGCAAGAGAGCTGGGATGGAACTGCTGAATGCTGGGAAGACTTCGCAGGCGTACCTCGAATTCCAGAAAGCTGTGGACGTGACGCCCGAGATGGCTCGCCAGCTGATCGACGAGTTGAGGAAGACTGGAGTGCAGTATATCGTGGCTCCATACGAAGCCGATGCCCAGATGGTATATCTGGAGAGAAACGGAGTTATTGACGGAATCTTGTCAGAGGATTCTGATCTGTTGGTCTTTGGGGCGAAGTGCTTACTGACAAAGCTGGATCAATACGGGAATTGCATTGAAATTAACAAGGCCGACTTCTCTGCTTGTAGAGAGATCACATTGACTGGTTGGTCGGAGAAAGAGTTTCGCACCATGGCGATTCTGAGTGGCTGCGACTATTTGGCCAGCATCAATAATATGGGGCTGAAAACCGCTTACCGAATGGTGAGAAAGCACAAGACCATCGAAAAAATTATTCGCATGCTCACCTTTGACGGCAAATTCCACGTGCCACAAGGCTATCTTGAAGCCTTTCGACAGGCAGAATTCACCTTCCTCCATCAAAGGGTTTTCTGCACTAAGGAACTCCGACTTGTCTTGCACACTCAACCCGAACAACCTCTCGACCTTGACCGCATGCCATATCTCGGTGCATTCGTCGAACCAAAGATCGCACAAAGTATCGCAAGAGGAGATCTCAATCCCATCACCAAACTCCCAATGGATTCTGATACGGAAAACATTGGTGCACCTCCTGCGATCTCGTGGTCGTCTCGGGCGAAGCGTGAAACCGCAACTTCATCGGTCAATATGAGAAAGGGAGTCTCGATTGAGCGCTTCTTCAAGGCAAAGCGAATTCCTCTGGCGGAGCTCGACATCAATTGCTTCACACCTTCTCCCAGCCAGCAAGATGTCCTTAGTCGAAACACCGGCTCATGGATGGCCAGCTCTGCCCCTAGTCTATACCTCAATCGATCTACTACTGAGCCTCAACTTCCCCACTCGGCGCCTCCTCAAACTCAAGACCATTCAGTTCAACAAGGCCGAGCCTCCATCAACGCCGAAATCCGTCCTCAAAAGCGAGTCCGACTATGTGCTGATGTTCAGTCTATCTTGCCTTCCCCCAGCCAGCAGGGCGAGCCTAGCACCAGCCGGTTCTTTGGCAATCCTAAGTCTGAGGAGAGCCCTAGTGTCTTGAGAAGCTTCCGAAACAAGAAGTCTAAGAAGCAGGACACGCAGATTTTCTCTGACGATTCCATTGAGGAGGCGATGTTGAGTCTTCCAGATATCAGTGATGAGGGCAACCAGTTGGCAAAGCCAGGAAAAAAGGTGGCCATCTTTGAGGAGATCATCACTGCAAGAGGTGGGGATACTGAAGCATCTTCCCTTCAACAAGCTGCAGCTGAGGCTCCAGAATCTCAGGAGAGTACTGCCAGCGTGACCTCTTCCTTCTCCCAAGCAAGCTCTGCTAAGCAACCACCCACCCTTACGGAAACCGACTTCGTGCCAACACCTATGGAGAAGCTGAAGGAGAACTTTGCGTTCGGTGCCTCCCGAGAGGCGACTCCCAAGTCATCTGCAGTCAGCACAAGTCTTATTACACCATCCTCCTCTGTTCCCCGAAGACAGTCAAGAATTCCTCTTCCTATCAAATCCGCAACAATCACCAAAGGCCCTGCTTTCTCCACCAAGACCAGCCTGACACCCCTTCAACGTCTCGGAGCTTCGGCGGTTAACCAATCGAAGCTGCCTATGACACCACCGATGACACCTCTGATTCAGGCCAAGGCCAAGTCACCACGACGCTCCTTGCTCAGCAAAGCTTCTCTCCCCTTCCCGGAGGTTGTTGGAAAGTCCAAGAAGGCTACCAGCCCAGCATCCACTCCACTCCCACTTTCCGGCAAGAAGGATTACAAGCAGCTGAGCACCCCAACCGGCAGCGAAGATCTCATCATCCGCGACAGTGAAGACGAGGAAAACGAACTCTCTGGCGACGACACACCCACCCTTCCCGTCATCGACCTCCGCCGCTTCGCATTTCCCGGCTGAATTCACCACCGCACACATTTGTTCTATAAATTCCAGATTGAGAGAATGAGATACCCGGCGCGGCGTTTCGGAGAGGAATACACATGAACAATTGTTGCTACATTACTTTCCCCCCTCTTGCGGTTTGCGCACGTTTGGAGTTTTATTTGCAAAGGGTCATATGGGAGTGAGAGAAGGCCAATCAATTCTCAGAACTTGGTGTTTTCGTCCAAAGGAAACGAAAAGATTGAGAGAGTTTGCTGCGGTACTCTACTACTATCCAGGGCTTCCCTTTTTTGCCTTTGGCAATTTCATTGTTGTCTTCGTTTTCCCCCCCCCCCCCCCAAGAACAGGGGAGTAGGGCCAGGGCTGTGAGCCGGAGTTACATTACAATACAAACAGGGACTGCTGGTTCTGAAAGGGGTTTGCTGATTGCGCTTTTGAGTTTTGAGACGAGAGACAGAGACAGAGAGAGATTGTCCTTTCCTGAAGATTCAGAGGAATGAAATAAAAATACATTATTTGCTAATAACTGCTCCTGCTGGTCTATTCTCTTTATAGGAGCTCGCTCTATCTCTGACTCTTTGTTTCTGGTGACCATGCAATACATAGATAGGAACGACCCTCTGATCAGCTTGGATTTGTGTGGTGTCCCAGTCTAACCAAGTCCTCTTCGACTTCCGTCCTTACGCTGACTGAACTCAGAGATCAGCAATAAAAAATCCTCACATGTATTGGGTTCTGTTTCCCTTTGAGAGCCTTGGGAATCACAGTGACTGCTATCGTCTTCAAAAGCAATGATCAATCACAGCGAATGCATTCAGCACATACAGATTCTCATAATGCATTGATTTGCCTCCCGCGGCCTCACGTCTGCAGGCCCCAGCCAGTACCAAACAGCATTGCTCGTCTCCAAAGGCTCCCCGAAATTTTCGTGAATTATGCTCTGTAATAATACTCGCGCTGCCAACCCAACCAGCCCGACCAGCCCTACCAGCCCATTAACCCCAGCCCGCGCAAATACGCCATATCGGAGCAAGCACTGGTAGTGATGCAAAGGCGCCGGGAAGAACAAAGGGAGAAAAGCGTGCACCAGCACAGGAAAGACGCCGGTATGGATGCGATAGACGATGGACAGAAAGGAAAAGGAAATCTCAACGATTTTGATGTGATGCGGTAAAGGCAACGGCATGCACGCGGATAGTTAGAATAGTGCCTATCTCCGCAGAAATCCTCTCACGCCTGTTCTATCCCCTGTTCTATCCACTGTTCTATCCTTCTTTGAGGATGGCTCTGGCTTTGGAATGAACTCGTTGCCATCAGACGACCCAGTCCAGTTAAAGCTCCACATCCCTAGAGATAGAAAGTTGAGATCAGTCATTGTATTTCTCATATAAGGGTGCGTGTGGTGTGATACTGTGTAGGGAGCAAGGGGCAAGGGGGACAAGGGCTTAAGGTGTGTGGGTGGGAAGATCAGAACGTTGTGCTCCATGACCACACACCGTTCGCCAAATTGTCCGCTGTATCTCTGAGCAAGATAACCCGACGCTTGTTGCAGTAGGATGTTTTGTCCATGATCTCCACCTTCATCTTGGGAGCCGAGAGTTCCTCTACTGGCTTTTCGAACATCTCTGACAAAGCTTCGACAGCCATCTCGAGATCCTTCTGGTTGTCCTCAAACATCTCGGTCATGTTGTTGCGGGCCAGGTAGAAAGCGAAGGCATACGTCCATTTCAGTGTTTGCCGACAGGTCTGAAGAGCTTGGGATGCCGTATTCAGGTATTGTACCTCGATCCAGGACATGCCCGAAGCGGTCTGAAGCTTGATCATCTTGGACTCGGTCTTCTGGTAGATATCTTTGTCGAGCTTCGCAGACTGCTCATGGTTGGCGTAGCGGTTGTAGTAATGTAGATATCGCTCTAGAGAAACACGGGACTTTGTCTGGGCGTCGCGAGCTTCTGAACCACTTTTCTCCTCGAATCTGTTGCAGTTGTACCAACTTGTACCGTGCTCCGACCATAAACCCATGCACATCCAACAGAATTCGTGCTTACATTTCCTGCAAGTCATATGATTGCATCCTCCATTCTTCTCGATAGTAGAATTACACTTGGGGCATTCCTTCGTGTTGGCTGAGATCCAGTTGGCTGTTTCCGAATCGTCCGCACACTTTTTGAGCCACTTCTTGACAAGATCGCAGGGAGCAGGTTGGTGATCGCTCAGACCACAACCAAAACAGAAGCGGTGCTTGCAGTCACAGGCAACTGTTGGCACAACTTTACCAAGGTCCTTCTTTTTGATACCGCACTCAATAGCGTTGACGCAGTCCGGAGCCGGGCACCACTTTAACTGCTCCTTGTCTTCAACATAAGTGCGAGTGAGTAGTTCAAGGTATCGGTCATTGAGATCAACTGTGACCAACAAATCTAAAGATTTGGAGTCCAGGATGCGTTTGCACCCATCTTGTGGGCACTGGATGCGGGCAGCCTCACCTTCCTCCTTGATCTTCTGTGTTAGGTATTGATTGTAGCAGGTAACGCAGTATCGATGTCCACACTTCATGGCAAAAGACTGGAGCCCAGCCTCGTCCTCGCAGCAGATGTCGCAAGCGAAGCCTGGAATAGTCTCGAGGCGGGGAGGTCCGGACGTGTTTGATCCTAGCCCAGCATCTTCGAGTACTTTCTTTGGTCGGTCCATGTAGTCCTCAATCAGCCTCTCTTTGTTCCATCTAAAGTGTCTTAGTAGGATTGCGGCGTCTTCTTTTCCAATATCGAGGATCATGTTCACTTCATCGATGAGCTCATCTTGTTGGGCTTGGATATCATTTGGGCGGTAGACCTTGAAACTCGTATCAAACTTCTTCTTCATGTGCTTGATGTCGGCATTATTATGTGCGTATCCAAGATCGGGCTCTGGTTCATCGAAATCGAAGTCTGAATAGCAAGTCAGTCGGAGTCGTTAGGAAACAGTTATCGATGGGCATCAATTGACCACAACTAAGAAAGTAAGTAGCTCACCATCTGCGGATCCGTTCCCATCATCGCTCCCATCCTGCAGGTTGTCCTCGTCGCTGGAAATGCCAGACATGAAATCGTCGTCTGAGTCCATGGTGAGTGGCGTAGGTGGGGAAACTGCAGCTGCTGAGGCCGTCCTCGTGGTTATTCTCTTTGCAGGTTGGGGTGTTGCTTCCGCGTCTACCTCTGCCGCTGCCTCAGCCGCCTTTCTCTTCCTGGTGTGAGAAGAAATGGTGCCGTTTGTAGAGGAGTTCGAGTTCTTGAAGGCGTCGAGGGGAGACGTAATGGCAGGAGCACAAGGCTGTATCTTTATCTTGGTCCGATGGCACGGGCGATGGAAGGGGGTGTCGGATCCCGTGAATCTGAACAGTAATTTATTGGTAGGTATTGAAAGGTCAAATCACTCAGGACGTTGCAGGTGTGTTACGGCGATTGCGTTGGCAAGGCGGAAATGGACGGACGGAGAGATGATGATGGTCACGTTGGGTTGGAGAGTGGAGTGAAGCGACCGAGCAAGTGGAGCCCGAGCGTGCACTGCGTACACTGCGTACTCCATACCTATACCTACCTACTCACTGTACATGCTATGCTAATCTGTATCTATATTTGGAGCGGAATTTCGACAGACCATCAAGGAAATCTTGCAATGAGACTTTTGATCGGGCGAGACGTTCAGTTGATCCATGACGCATGGCTCTCATTTCGCACTCCAAAGACCGGTAGATTGCAATCAATGTGTCACGTGCAGGGCAACTGCAATATATGGTACCAAGAAACGATTATGGATGCATTTACTTCATACACACTATGAGACAATGAGCTGCTGCCCTGGCCAGATAGCTATTTCTATCTCTTAAACCAGAGACTTTTTGCAATTGCGTTGCTATTCATCCCCTATTTATTATTATCGACTATCCTCCACAACTCAACTAGCTTGCTTCAGACTCTCCGCAATGTCAATCACAGACACAGTAATCCTATTTGTCGTGCTCGGAGGCAGAACCCCACCTCCCATGATGAGCAGGTGATTCGGATTTGACTCGAGCACCCTCAAATGTCTCGTATAAGAGATTCCCTCTGGAGTCGGCACAGACTTCCACGCACTTGCATCACCCAGAGCCTGGTTGACAAAGATTTGACTGTTGGTACCAGAGCTGACGATGATCGTGCCGTTTTCACCCCCAGTAGGTGACCAGACGACGTAGGGAGAGCCAAAAGGCTGGATCTTGTCGTTCGTGTAGATAGGAATGCTCACAGAACTATTGAAGTCGAGAGGGTTGGCGTTGATGCGGTAGTTAACCGGGAACTGGTAGGCAGTTCCAGTCACAGTTGGACCTCCTCCAAACTCGTAAGTCATGATGTATTTGCCGTTGGGAAGCAATGCTACGGTAGTCATGCCCGGGCGATCGGTATATCGTGCCGAGACGACATCGTCGACATCGGCGCTCCAGTTGACCAAGTCTTTCGTTGTTGTGTGGACGAGCTTCTGGCCATAGGCTGGATCCCTCTGATCGGAGTAATAGAGGACGATTTCGCCCTTGTAGTACATCAGAAAGGGTTCCCAGATAGCGGGAACGCCATTATTTGGAATGGCTGCTCCCCCCGAAGCAACATGCGAGACAAATTCCCAGGTTTTGCCTTGGTCAAGACTTGCATAGACCTCGATCTTGATGAGGCTCAAGTCCGTGGGGATAGCGCTTCCAGATATGAGAACCGTTCCAGCTGGGAATTTTCCCACATTCACTGGTAGGACGTAGAGGAACGGCTGGTAGCGTAGGCCCCAGTTATTGACCTTGTCTTGGACTCTGGAGATCTCCTTCCACGTTCGCCCTCCATCTACGCTCTTGTAGATGGGGAAATATACAAGTGGCGGTTCGGGGCTGTAGTTCTCCCATGTGGCGAGCAGTACTCCCTGTGATAGTTCGACAGTTCGAGCATACTGGACGCGAAATTAATTGCCTTTCTTTCTCTCTTTCTTTCTCTTTTCTTCTTTTTTTTTTCTTCTTCGCAGGGTCATTAATGACTTACTAAAACGCCTGGATCCGTATAGTTCTGAGGTGGAACGAATACCGTGACTTTAGAAAAAGTCGAAGACGGAACGGGCGATTGGGCTGTAGAAACAGCACCGAAGAGGAGGGAAACGACAGGGAGGAAGAGATGCATGCTTTCAAAGTTCAAATGCAGGAACCTATACAGAATACAAGGGAACAGAAGAAGAGGAAGACCATTGCCTGTTCTTATACTTCCCTAAAACTACTTGTCTGATACTTACTTACCCAGTCCCGGGACGCAAAAGACCGAAGCTGATCATGTGAAGTCCTCCTGCGATGGCAATTTAAGGACGGCATAATTCTCAGTCCGACGCCGCAGACCGCATGACCATGATGAAGGCGTACGGACACTACGATCTCCGCATTTTACCCCAGATTCCGGGGGATTAAAGTTAAGAGGATGCGCTCCAATGAGAGGGCGGGAAGCAAGTCGAGTCGGGCTGATGGCATCTGCCTTTTCCAGGGGCGAAACGTGATTCTCTCGAGTCTCTGGCAACATTCATGATGGTATTTGTAAACCCAGCACTGTTAAGGGATAACGGGATTTGTTCGAATATTCATCATGATGGTTGGTTGTATAGTACAGTCGAGGTCGGAAATAAGATGTGTACTTACCTTGCACAAGACCTCTCCGTCTTGTAGCGAGACGCTAGCCATCTTAATTTGAAAGCTTAAGTAGCTCCACACTGCAACTCCAGCCTCATCTGCTAGCTACGATCACCAATTCATGAAATCACCTCACACAATGGCATCAACCAATATTCTCCGCCGCTGGGCTCTCGCCGCCCCACGCTCAAGCAGGGCCTTTCACGCTTCCCGCCGCGCCTTCATCAAGGTCGGCGACAAGCTCCCAAACCTTGATGTTTTGGTTGAGAACTCCCCTGGCAACAAGGTTAATCTCAGCGAAGCCATCAAGGGCAAGGCCTTGATCATCGGTGTTCCAGCGGCGTTCAGTAAGCATTCTTCATGGCTTGATGATTTGGCCCCTATTATGTCGACTTACCAATTGCTGACATTGAAATCTCAGGCCCCTCATGTTCGAACTCGCATGTCCCAGGTTACATCAACCACAAGAAGCTGAAGAGCGCTGGTGATGTCTTTGTTGTCGCTGTCAACGACCCATTTGTGTAAGTCTCAATGTCTCTACATTCAACGGTCTCTAACAGTTCGCAGCACAAAAGCTTGGGCCGATTCTCTAGATCCTACCGCTAGCTCAGGTGTATGTTCTCGCCATCTCATATGACTTGGGTCCATCCCAGCAACCGAACGAATAAGAGGCGTCCTATTATGAAGCTGACTATTTAAAGATCCGCTTCCTCGGGGACCCTACCGCTAAGTTCACAGAGGCGCTTGACCTAGCTTTTGACGGAGCTGCCATCTTCGGCGGACCAAGAAGTAAGCGGTATGCTCTTGAGATCGAGGATGGCAAGGTCAAGGCAATGCATGTCGAGCCGGACAACACTGGTCTTGATGGTAAGTTCGAAGCCCCTTCTTCTGGGGATGCAAGTGCTAATTGGCTTCGCAAGTCTCTGCTGCTGAGAAGGTCCTGGGCTAAACGGTTACTGAGATCCTCAACTGAGTGAGATGGGATGAATGTATGATGAGTAGCAGAGATCAAAAAGCAAATTGGACGGCTTAAGCCCTATTGCCTGAAGCACCAATTCCTCAAAGTCCAGATGCCAAATTCCAGAGTTCAAGGCCAAGTAGATCGATCTGCTTTATGAACCTTCAATTTCCAGACAATTGTCTCTTCGAATTCTGATTCCACTTCATATTCATCGAAGGAAAGTTCCTTCAAAAATTATTGCTATCTCGTCATTTATTTCCAACAACAAAATGCATTCGACATCTGCTATTGTTCAACCGCAAACATCGGCATTCACAGACCCTGCCTCACACGCAGCGCTAAGCAGGACGGGCTTGTCACCCATTCATTTGCATCTCTTCTGTGTTGGTTCTTTCGGAACGTATTCTTTAAGTCGTGCTCGACCAAGGTGCTGTTGTTTTGCCAATGATTCCTGGAAGTGATATTTGCAATCCGCTTGGTAAAGATGCTTGAACCTGTCTCTCTAGGTTTAGCCTGCTTCTATATATCTTCTCTTCTCAGCTCCAGCATTCAGATTCGCCCAAAGATTTCAAAGCATTCCTGGACCCAGGTAGGTACTCGAGCTCAGCTCATTGCCATTGTCAAACTTGAGATATTCAAACACGAACAATTCAATTTCCCATCTTCTACACCCCCCAACCCGCCTTCCACGATCTCTCAAGGCTGAGCTTTTCAGCCCGGGCTTGATAAACCTCTATGTCCCCGACGGGATACATGAATGACTAGCGAGCCTATGGATTGCCGACAGGCAGCGTATACAGGATCAGAGCTTCTCATTCATTCTACATCATCTGTTGCCGTTTCAATATAGTTATTAGTCGCGAATAGCGAATTCTGTCTGTGATTTTCAAGCGTTCTTGGTACGACAGTAGTTCTTTTGTGGCTTGTCCAAGTAGCACAAGTTTTTCCCCCCTTCAGGATTGATGGCCGGCTTGCGCGTCTGAAAATACTCTTTAAGGGGAGCTGTCAGGGAGACTACTGGCACAGGGTTAGCGGGTGTGTGTATTTTAAACCTTCAGACGCGCTCAGGCTTTGGACATAGGGATACAATTTACCACAACCAGGGGTGGTGGTAGAAACATGAGAAACACAATAATATCCAGCTCTTGAATTAAGCCGCGACAAGTCGTCATTCCACGCACACATCGTGTTGTCAGATTTTACATTTGACTTCCACCTAAGTTCCAGAACGTTCACCAAGGGGCCTGGCATCTTTGCCGGAAGTGCTGTCGCCATGTCAGCCTTGTTGGCCTTGTTGGCCAGCACTTAATAGACCAAGTACTTACCTACAAACTTGCAAGCCTTCAGATACTCCGTAGTCGTCGTCGTCCTCGTGCTATGGCTTATGATCAACACCGGCTGTAGAGGCGCAAGGATTGTCCCCACGACATCTCGCAACTGTGACTGGGTGTTCCTTGAAGGATCCAATGCCCCGCTCGTACACCAAAGTCAATCTTCGGGTAAGGTGGTTATGATGCTGTCCATTGCACATTTGCTCAGACCTGGTCAAGCTGAAAGATTATAATACCGGGCCGGGGTCAATCTCGTGACTTTCAGCTGTCGACGTTGCATAAGACCAAAAGACACAAAACTTGGAAGGTCGTTCGTGGAGGTGCTGACGAATGGGGAGACGGTGAAGAGAGTCGCGCTAGTGGGTGCAGCCGAGTCGGATCTCGTCAAGGCCAGTCCAAGTGATCTCGTATGTTGTTAACATTAATACTGTATTCTCTCTCTCAACATCCGGAGTCTAAAAAGAAAAGGCTGAAAAACACGCGTAAGATAGATCCAAGCACTATTCTAACTTATATACAGAGTACCTTACAGGCCGGATCCCCGGATTACCCGGAGGCTGTGTAAGGTACGCAAAACAGACATTATCGAGAGAATTATTGAACAATTACATTCACTCTTTCGGCTATCGCTGGCTTCAATTACAAAAATTCAAGAGCTTAAGGATCCGTACAGGGAGAAAGTTCTGGTCCGCCTGTTCCCGGCTCAATCGACAGCACTTCTTAATCGCATCCTTCGTTCCGACGAAGCCTCCCGGCGACGCCTCCCGGCGACGCTATCGTTTACAGAATCTGCCCTTGATTGTATAGACAGTCCGAAGCATAAACCCGAGACTGATCGGAAGAGATCACAGGCTTCTCAAGTCTCGTTCTGAGCCTCGATCAGGACCCGCGGTCTTGCTCGTCCCCTTACACGGCCACGCCGTCAAAGATGTCCGCCAGCAGCGGAAAGTACACCATTGTATCGGGCGACACTTTCTTCGCAATCGCCCAGAGGCTCAATGTGGATGTTGCAAGTATCCAGAGCATGAATCCAGGTGTCCGGCCTGAATCACTTCAGGTTGGCCAAGTCATCAACATCCCAGGACCGGCCGGACATCCTGTCCCTTCTTACCCGGCACCAACTTCAGCTCCCTCCGCTGGAACGTACACAATCACTTCAGGCGATACCTTTGACGCCATTGCCAGGAGAATCGGCGTCGATGTCGCCAGTGTGCAAGCCTCGAACCCAGGAGTCAGACCGGAATCGCTGCAAGTCGGGCAGGTGATCAGAGTCCCGCCCAAGCCTGCCGCCGCAAGCAGCAGCCAGCATGGAGCGATCAGGCACACCCACCAGCACATTGCTGGCTACGAGAACATGTCTGGCCCATGCACCAACTTTCCCCACCCGCAACGCTGGGCCAGCTATGAGCACCTCCTCAGAATCAACGAGCGCCTGATGCTCCTCTCGTCCTCACCCAGCGAGGTCGCCGCGATCAAGAAATGGATCCCGATCGTCGCCTACGAGTCCGGCGTCGACCCCCGAGTCATCCTCTGCATCATCATGCAGGAATCAGGTGGCAACGTTCGTGTACCAACTACGCTCTCGCCCGCGCCGGATTTCATCAAGAACACGGGCTTGATGCAAGCCCACAACGGCCAGGAATGGGACGCCAGATACCCAGAGTGGTGTATCGAGAGAATGATCCGAGATGGGGCGCAGGGAACGAGGCATGGAGATGGACTGATCCAGTGCTTTCACAAGTGGGATCGTAATTGGTATCATGCGTGTAGGGCGTACAATTCGGGGAGGGTGAACAGGGATGATTTGTCGGATGGGATCACTGCGACGGGCCACTATGTCGAGAGGGTTGCGAATCGGTTGGTAGGGAATACGTGGGCGGGTATGTGACGAAGACGAGTTTGACAGGAATGCGTGCGGTAGCTCCACGTATTATATTATTATTAAGTACAAGGTGTCCCGTCTGCCACAACCAGCCCACGCGATCGATGATCTGGCAAAAAGCGAAGACAGGATCTCCCATTAGCCTGCACCATCCAGCGATTAATCTTCCCACAACATTTCCCGTGCGCTTACCTGGTTCCGCCTTGAACTACTATCAGATAAAGCAGCAGCGCACCCTTTCAGTCCCGGAATTCCTCTTCTCAATCGCCCAGCATACCGTCCATACTTTCGGACATAACCTTGACCTCAATCTTGACAAACAAGCGCTTAGCCACCTTGTCATTCGCCATCCAATCAAGCCAGTTACTCTTGCAATGGGCATCCCAGATCCTCTCCTTTATTCGTGCCATGTGCTTATCGAGGGCTACCTCATCATCCGGATAGCTCGTGGCACGCATGTCGCTCGAGGGCCACATCAAGTCCGGCAACTCCAGCCTAAACTGCGTTTCGTGATTCTCCGTTTCCGTCCTCGGTGAAAAGTAGTCTTGCATAGGCCTCTCCTCCTTTGTGGGCCAGACGGGGTCTCGCAAGTACGGTTTGGTTTTCCTACCATATGGTTTCCGCTCGCTCACGAGCGTCAGCTTTGAGATCAGGATTGGGTGCAAGTGGCGGTTGCATCTGTAGAAGCCTTGGATGGAGAACCAGGTATCTTGGTCTGTGTGCAGGTTCTCCAGGATGATCGGGCTGTCGAGGCTATGGAGAAGGTCGTCGATGACGATCTTGGAGTGCATCCGGATGGGAACGAGATCGTCGGCGACTTCCGTACCCTCGACGTTAACGGCTCGGTGGTAGTGGAAGAAATGGCCGCGAGTTGCGGGTATTGTCATTCGGGTTTGATAGGATATGTTGTTTTTGTGTCCATAGAGGCTGGCTCGGAAGTAGACGGTGTCGATGCTGAGATCGACGTAGCAGCCGACGTTCCGGTAAGGGCCAATGCGTAATTCGTGGTAGAATCTGAGTGCTTCATCGCGAGACTCCCGGTTGATGCTGAGGCATTTTGGGCCGTGGATTCGAGATGTGTAGGTTGTGGTCTCATGTCGGTAGCGGACCGGGACCAGTCGTGGACCGGGAAGACAAAATCGCCAAATACTCAGACGGACCTCGGGGGGAAGCAGGCCGAAGTAAACAAAGCCCGGCTGCTCAATCTCCTTGGTTTCCGGTGGCGGAGTAAGGCTCAGAGATAGAGGATACGAACGACGAGTGGGTCGGGGAAGGAGGTCATCCAGCAGTGGTTTCTTGAGTCCAGGTGCCACGAGATCCTGCATTTCTTGGTGCGAGAGGGCTGATTTGAGCGGTGCCATGGTAACGAACGGACAGGTACCAGTGATAGTGATAGTGATATACTCCGTAGTGATAGCAGCAGTAGTAAACTTAATATGAATACGAGAGATGTCGCGTCAGACGATTCCTCGAGAAAACAATGTATAGGATTCGGGCATGCACTTCGAAAAGATAATGATGGTAATGATGATTAATGATAGCAAGTTAGGGCATCGGCTATGCCAACTTCATTCAAGTTTGGTCGAAGCTAATTGTGTAGTATACCAAGTCCAGGTGTATCTAGCCAAGCTTCGCTTAATTCTCTCAGTCCACACCTCTGGCCCACTTATTATGCACCGGCCCGTCAAGCGAGAACCACAACCAAGACCCGCTAGCGGGGGATCCGTCACCCTCCCAACCACCCTGATAAACAAGTTACGCATCTTGGGAAACGAAAGACTTCAGCCAATGCAAAAATTGGAAGGCGGGAATATAGGAAAAAATAGCCACCTCATATTCTCAGCACTGCGAACCCATACTAGCTGACGGACGGATCTCTCTTCTCGAAAAGGACCCCAACTCGGTTTTTCCTCTCTCCCAAACTTCCCACCCTCCCACCCATACAATACCTGCATCCGTTCTGCCTTATTGACCAAAAGATACCACAGAACTTCTACCTTCTACCCGCGCACTCTCTCCAAAATAGCCCGCCCATCCACGAGTCGAGATTTGCATTCCTCGAAATCGCTCTCTCGATCCCATCTTAAACACCACGTTCGAACCACGTTCGATTCTGCAGCGTTGCGGGCACATTCCAGCTGCGCTCCCAACGTCGCCTTACTGGTGCTGCGAGTGTTCTGTAGGAGAACGTCGCAATGGCACAAAGGTTTCAAGTTGGGTGGATGAGTACGTCTCTTGAGGAAAACATTCGTGCTGCAGATGCTAATCCGCAGCAGGGCTGATACCGTTCCTTGGATACCATCATGTGCTTATGATTCTGATTGCGATTGCTATCATATTACTGTGTAAGCTCCATCCGCAACTCATGTCAAAATCTACCTAACAAATTTACAGCTCTATTATTAGCAGGATGCTCTTCCTCATCACCGCTGATACCGGGCATCTTTCTCATCTCCCTGTACTACGAGGACTACGCGCCCAAGCCATCCACCGCCCAAGTCGACTTCAATGTCCACAATGCCATCGCAGTGATAGCGGGAGACGCCGTATTAGCAGCAAGAGTCGGATACTTTGGTATCTGCATCAACCCGGACGGAGGGTCGTGGCTCTGCAGCAACAATGCCACGTCTCTCGCCAATGAGATCGCGTTGACGCAAGATCCTCTGAACTTGGTCTGGCTCGCCAGCCAGTTCAAGGACATGATTGTATTCCCCTACCTGATGTAAGCCTGCCGCGATCCGCCAACACTCACCCAGTCAGCTGCTAACGAGAAGCAGAATCATCGCCATCGTCTTCGCATTCATCTGTCTCGTCCTCCTCGCAACCTTCCCAGGCTGGCACGAAGAAGAAGACGCCCACGGCAGCGAGCGCGAAGTCAAGCCCTTCCCCTCGCGCCCCGTCTCCCAAATCGCCCTCGCCATCATCTTCATCGCTTCCATCTTCGTGCTCGTCTCCGTCCTCTGGCAGCACACCGCCTCGGTCGCCGCGTCCGTCATTGCGCAAGACTTCGGCAACGGCAGCGTCAAGAGCGGCGTCGGAACTACAGCCATGGTCCTCGGCTGGTTCGGCTTCACGCTCCTCATCATCGTCACCATAGGGCTGCTGGTTATGATCCTGAGTATCAGGGTGCTGAACGAAGCGTTCTCGTGATAGGACATGCATATTGGAATTTTTTGTTAATTTTTTTTCGATAGGGAGGGAGCAGTTTGATTTTGATACCTTTTCAGCGAGCATGGTGAATGAGCGTCACGACGACACTAGGATAGAATCTGGTTTCATCGAAAAAAATTTGTTCGATGTTGAACAAGAGAGAAGAGAGAGGGAGAGAGAGAGAAAACGGGTCGAAATTCCCGATTTGGATCTCGTGTATAAATGGATGGAGGCAGAGAGCGAAACGCATTTGGGCCGGAGTTTACCAGAACTGGGATTGCTTTTAATTTGGGCGACCTTACTTGTTAATAAGGAGGGCGGGATGATGCAGACAGGGACATGATCTGGATGAATAAATGTGATGGATAGCATGCCATGCATGCATGCATGGGATGTTGGTTAGTTAATGATGGATAGTGGTTGGAGAGGAGGCATCGAGCTTGTATGTATGGGGGCTCTCAAGACGGAAGAGGAAGGAAGGAGGCGAGAATGACATGACGAGCATCATCCGAAGCCAACGCAGAAAAAAAAGAACAACGTGCAGAATCCAAGGCTTGGTGGGTGAAATTCGTTAATCTATACTCGCCAAAGCCATTTATTTATCCATTCATCTACCTATCCTATCTATCTAAATCAACCTCATGACAGGGCTCACTGCATTCTTCATGGTTCCGTTCTCGTGTGACCTTTACTTCTTCCTCCTAAACCTACTATTGTGTGCCGGTCCTCCCTTCGCTCCCGAGTTCCTCAGCTTCAGCCTCTTGAAATTCTGATGCGCCACCACCCCGACCTTCCTCGCCACTTTCCTGATCTTCCCATCCTTCGTTACCCCCTTGCGCTTCTTGCTCTGATCCGGCCGCCTGTACCTCGTGCCCCCCTCGGAAGCCGTATACTCCGACTGCGAATCGCTATCAAAGTTCCGCGCATCTTCGAAGGGCGCCGGCTCGTCCTGCTGGGTCTCGGGGACAGCGTCTATGCCTGGAGCGGCAACGTCGTCGGCGCCGTCTTCGTCGTCGTCGTCGGCGGGAGTTTTGGATTCCTGGGGTCTAGGCTGGGGTTTGGAGCGGCTGGGTTTCATCTTCACCCGTCTTGTGGTCCGCTTCTGCCCTTTCTTCTTGTACACCTTCAGCGGCTGCCCGTCCCTCCCTAAAGCCGGCTCCTCGCCCTCGCTGTCAAACTGCGCTTCGTCGTCAAATGCTCCTACTAGATTCGTCGGCTTGTCCGGTACCAGTATATTATCCTTCGTGGCTGCCGGAATTACGGTCTTTGGATTTGGGTTGGTAATGGCTTTTGCTGCTGGTGCAGGTCTTGCGCCTCCTCCCACCTCCTCCATCTCCATCTCTCGCAGTGCTTCTAAATCGTCATCTGCGGCTTCGTCTTCCATTTTCCGTAATCCAGCGAGCATACTGCTTAGACCTCTGACGAGCGGTTTACGCGGTACGCGCACCATTTGGGGGGAGAGGACTGGGCCGTCCTCGTCCTCGTTTACGGATGGCAACGGGATCCGATGACTGTCTCGTCTAAGAAATGACGGGGTATTGAAATTCAGTTTTGATACTGAGGAAGGGGTCCCTGCTTGTCCTAGTATAGTTCTGTTCTTCGCAGGCGTGGCGAAGGCATCTAGTAAGGGGCGTTTCGAGGACCCGGGGGTTTTGCTGCCTGTGAGTGAAGTCTCTGTCGCTGGCTTTCGTGGTGTGGCATTCATGGAGAACTTTGCCTCCTTTTTCTCGATCTTCTTTCGTGATGGCGTGAGCGCAGACACATCTTCTTGCAACAAATCGAACAATCCCAGCACCATCCCATCCTTCTGTGGCGTCGGTCCCAGTGCTTTCCTCGAGGGCGTGAACAAATTGCGGACCACCGATGGAGAGTCGTATGGATCTACCTCCCACGGACGCAACGGGCCTTTCGAAGGCGTACGGGAAATCTGCTGTCGTTTCGAGATTCCATGTCCAGCTTCTTCGTGTCTGCGTTTCCGAGGTGTCTGGCGCGCAGGTGCTGTTGGCGGTAGTGGTATCTTTCCGGAAAGAGTGTCTCGAATCTTGTTGTATTCCTTGTATTTGCCAGCTGCAGAGAGTCAGAGTAGATTCTTGCTTTACCATGGAGGGGTATCACCAATTTCAGGGTTGTTCTTGATGTCCTCCCGAGATGCTTTCTTGCCCTCATTGGCAGCAGAGAAAGCCTTCTCCCATATTTTCAATTCCCCACGCAGTATGTTGGACTTTTTAGTCAGTTCCTCTCTTTTCGAGTCGTCCATCCTTCGATCTTCGAGCTCTGCTTGTCCTAGACTTCAAGCCCAACACTTCAGCAGAGTAACGTTTTCGTTAAGAGAATACCGTTCACGAGAGACACTTGAATTGATTGTGTTCCGGCCGTTCTGTGGTTTCGACTTTCAGTGGAGGGTTTTTGGTAACTGGTTCTTCACCCTTACTGAGCGTGATGAAAAGTTAGTTAAGCCTCCGTCCACGATTCTTCAGGACGTGAAGTTGTGGAGTCAAGTCGCGTCCAGACCGCGTCAAGCTTATCGGCGTACTTCTTATCGGCTAGCTCCCGCTCAACCCTGCAATGAAATCGCCACTCGACACTAGTCCTCCATAAACCCCTAAATTCTTCAGCCACGCCTCGCATCCCTAGAACTGTAACATCTTCCTTATGGACACGGAACCCCTTAATGCCCGCTCCCAGATCCTCCTGACGGCTCTAGCAGAGATATCTGGGCGCCGCGATGCGTCCACCGAACCCGAGGGAGACTGCTGTGTGATCTGCCTCGAGCGCATCTCCGACCAGGCCGTCGCACAGCCATGTAAACACGCCTCGTTCGACTTCCTATGCCTCATCAGCTGGCTACAAGAGCAGTCATGTTGTCCGCTTTGTAAAGCAGACGTTAAAACTGTTCAGTACAATTTTACGGACTCAGGGCCAGCGGTGTTCAGAACCTACGAAGTCGCCTCGACGAAATCGGAACCCTCGGTTTCGACGTCAAGCTCAAACGTAGGATACTCGAGACCGTCTAGCTTCGAATTGAGACCAAGGAGGCCATATCGAAGGAGGGAAAACAATAGCGCCCCTACACAGACTCCGGATCAAGCGTTGCTTCGACGCAAGCAGGTCTACGAACAGCAGCTCTTCTCATTGCACGTAGGCTCCAACCGAGTCTCTCGATTCCGCGATCTCACGCCTGCATTATTTACAACAGACGCCGAGCTGGTTTCACGAGCACGCAAATGGATTAGACGGGAGCTCCAGGTCTTCACATTCCTCAATGCAGATGCCTCTTCTACGAGTAACGACCGCAGGGCGAATAATGCCGAGTTCTTACTGGAGTACATTGTGGCGATATTGAAGACGGTCGATATACAGGGGAGCGAAGCGCAGGCTGAAGAGATGTTGAAAGATTTCTTGGGGAGAGAAACTACGAGGTTATTTTTGCATGAGCTGAGTGCATGGTTGAGGAGTCCATACACGGAGCTGGCTGCCTGGGATGCCCATGTGCAGTATTCGGAGGGCTCGAATGTGGGACGAAAGGGTGGTGAAAATTCTCGATATACTAGTGATAGGCCGAGAGGACGAGGAGGCTACAGATGTTCAGGCAAAGGATATGACTCTGTGAGAGGGCGGCCGAGGTACAAGCCTTACGATAGGAGGCGATTCGGAGCCGATGGCTAAACCAGTAGAGGTCAGGTTAATGGCGTGATTCTCAGGATTGTTCACATCCTATGTAAGTTTCAGCCGCGTCATGTTGTCGCAAGATACAACTCTCACCATTACGGAGTATCTGTTCAGCGGGAAGGGCGCCGTGGGAAGAAGATCTGTGGGACCAAGCGCCGATGGATGAATATGCGAGGGAAAGGGATTGGTCAGGAGTCCTGTTGTGACTGTAAGTTCTTGAACGGATACTTATAGAAGGACTGAGATATATGTTTGAAGTTGACAACCAAAGTCAAACGGCGTGCTCAAATGTACTACGTCGCAGGCGTAAGTATTACCCCTCGAGGGTAGGGAAAACA